CCGAAATACTCGACGCAGTTGATCTTGATATCGCCCTCAGCACCATCTGCTGAGAGAGGCACTGACTCTATCCATGGCTGCAGCACAAACGGCCCCTCTGACCGGTCCACGGGCTGCACAGTAACGGTTGGCGAGGCCATTGCGGGAGATGGTGATGATGCCCCTCCACCCGGGCCATTGGATGTCATGACAGCGTGTCTCCTTCTGGTGATGTCATCTGAACACCGGGCTCATGGCTTTTTTCCGGGACGACGGCTTGAGGCGAAGTATCCGCGCTCGCAGCAAGAGCAGCGAGTTGGAGAGGCGAGTTGGAGGGGAAGCCTCGGAGTGCTCGTGTCTAAGGTGACGAATGCCCCAGCCTTTCGCCTAGCGCTAATACCTTGAGAGCTGCGAGCTGTTGCGGGCGAGGCTGAGGTGGGGCGCTGCTGGTGGCCCCTGTGGCTGGTTGTTCAGCACTAGGACACGCTGGAACTACGGGGCATCGGCACCTGGAACTTGGGAGCTTGCGTCGCCTTGTGCCGATGCGACTTTGGCTACGTCAACTCGTTTCACAACCGACAAGCACGCTGGCTATCCGCCAACCAGGAGCATTCAACCATTGGACCTGCGCCTTTTGCTCTCTGAATAACTACGAAGTCGACATTTCAATGCTTCCCTGACCGACCCTCTCTCTTCCGCAGCGGCGAAAAACACACACCACAGGAGCTCAACAACCATGTCGAACGATACAGAAGGGGCTGTGGCGCAGAGCAGCGGCCCCGATGCCGTCGGAGGAAACAAGTTCTCTCACGCCATCTCAGCGTGGAGGAGTATGTAGAGCATGCCGGGTATTCGTGCAATTGAATCCTCTGACCATATCGCATAGATGTTGACCTGACAACGCTGGTATCCAATCTGGACAATACGGCGTCGGAGATTGTGACCTACCAGCGAGACTCGACGGTGCAGCGCAAGGAACTGGCGCAAAAGACCAAGGATTTCAGAAAATCAGATGATGCTACAAAACTGGCGGAGATCAAAGGGCTTCTCAAAGGTGCATTCTTTTCTGGCCAACGATTCCTCGCAGCCAAAACAAGACTAACAAGCTGACATTGGGTGGCTGCAGCATACCAAACCTTTATCGATCTCCTAACGAATCATTCTAAATCGGTGAACTCGGCATTTCTCAAGGCATATACTTCGCTGTCTGAGGCCCCCGATCCATATCCTTTACTGGAAGCCTCGGTTGATTCGATGCTGGTGTCCGAAGATACGCTACCGAAAGTTACCGAAGAAAATAAGCACCTCCAAAAGAGCGTCTCAAAGCTTACGACGCAGCTCGAAGAATCAGAATCCAGGCTCCAAGACGAACGCGCTGCCCGCAAAGGACTTGAGGACAACTTGGAGGCCAAGGTAAAAGAGGTGGAAACATCATGGACCGCTGTGCTGGATGAGAAGAAGGACAATTGGGAGGCCAAAGAAAAGACGCTCGAAGAGAAGGTTGCGAATCAGGACCGCCTGCTAAGCGAATTGAAGGCCAACTACGAAGTCAATCAGCGACTGGGGAAAGCTAACAGCGAAGAACAAGATGGTCAGCGCAGCCAAGCCTTGAATGCGGAGCTTGAAATGCTTCATGTGGATCTCGAGCGGACGAGTTCCAGGCTAGCTGAAGTTGAAGCACGGAATGAGCAGATGAGACTCGAGCTGGCCCAGACCAAGTCGTCGAGACAATCTCAGAATTCATCCCTGGAGGATGATCCTGGATACATGCGAATGCGCTCGGAGAACTCTTCTCTCATCCGCAAGCTGGACGCAGCGAGGGTAGAGAAGGAAGGGTTCAAACGCGATCTCGATAGCAAGTTGCGATCCGTAGAGCGTGAAGTGGTCCTGTTGAAGGAGGAGAAAGAGTCCCTCAAAGAAAAGGTGGACAAATGGGGTGACTACGAGGAGGTGAAGCAGGAGCTGGAGGTTCTCAAGAGCATTGAGTTCTCAACTGGCGATGACGACGAGGTGCCACACGAAATCGAAGGGGTCACTGGCAAGGGCGATACATTGGAGAAACTCTTGTTGGCGCGAAATAAGAAACTCAACGATGAGCTTACGATTCTCCGGGTCTCGCATCAAGACTTGCAGCGCCGACTAGAAGATCTCCAGGAAGATCTTTCCAGAACCAATGCAGAGCTAGAGAAGGCGCAGAAATTGAATGAGAAGCTCGAGAGTGACCTGGAAAATCTCCAGGCAGAAGGGGCAAACGCTTTCCCATCTGGCGCATCTGTTGCTGGCACCTACATCACTCGCGCCCAAGGACGTAAGGGAGGGAGAATATCACCCACGTCATCCATCATTAGTGGAATAGACCCTCGGACAGCACCCGGCGAGCGTGAACCGATGGGAGGAGGATCAGGTATTCTCCCGATGGTGATGGCGCAGAGAGATCGCTTCAAGAAGAGGAACGCTCAGCTGGAGCAGGAGCTCTCCGAAAACCACCGGGCGGTTCAGCAGCTACGACATGAAGTGGCCGCCCTGCAGAAAGACAACTTGAATCTTTACGAGAAGACAAGGTATGTCTCAACCTACAGCCGAGGAGGGGCCACGACATCTTCGTCATCTGCCTACGCGACGAACCCCAACCCGTCGACAGTCACCATCGGTGGGACAGGAAATCCCGGCATGGAGCTGAACCGCTACCAAAAAGCGTACGAGTCCAGCATATCGCCGTTTGCAGCGTTCCGCGGCCGAGAGTCGGCCAGAGCGTACCGACGCATGAGCCTTCCAGAGAGGGTGGTCTATTCAATCACGCGCATGGTTCTAGCGTCGCGGACAAGCAGGAACTTGTTTGCCGCCTACTGCGTGGCGCTGCACATATTGGTCTTCTTCTCGCTGTACTGGCTGGGCACGGCAGACTTGGAGAGTCACGCCAGCAATTTCGGCTCGTCAGCGGCGGCGGCGGCGGCGGGAGCAGCTGCTGGTGGAGGGGGAGTAGGTGGAGGAGCGGCAAGCGGCGGAGGCCATGGAGACTGGCGGGAAGATGGATTTGATGGGTAAAGAGTCAATGGTAGATAAATGAAGAGGGGAGTGGTGGGATGGTCATTCGGTGCCGGTCAGCAGGAGGAGATTTTGATTGTCTTTTCTGGAAATGACCACATGTACTACTACTGCTACTACTATTATTGCTATATATGATACACACGGAGTGGTTTGTTGCTCTTGGCAGAATGGTGCACTCTGGGAAGACCAATATCTGCTGCCAGCAGAGCGCAGCTTGGTTGGAGAGAGCATGTGCGTGTTCATGTCATGTTACCTATGTCATGTATGTACTCGTAAGCGGTTTTGATATTGCGACTTGACGTTTGTAAGAGGTTCATCTGCTGCTTGCGAACGCGTGTATATCCAGAGATGAAGAGACTTGATAGGATGGCAGAGCCAAGAATGCGGTGGTGCTACTTTGTTCTAGACGCCGGCCGTCCAGTGCGGCCCAAGGAGGGGCATTTGCGTCTATTGATTGCGTATTGAAAGGCTAATCGGCTTGCTATTTTTACTATTATCAGTATTGATTTGATATACCTGTATCTCTTTTATTTGTTTCTGCTCGACTTGTGTGTTGAGTAAATGCGAGCGCTGTGTAATCGTTTTTAAATACTACGGCTTCTTGATCCTGCGAAGATAAACCTACTATGAGATAGCAGGTATGTAAAGTAGAGTCTATACTTGCCACGGCAAATGGACTGCCGAACTGGCGCTACACACTCATCTCGGAAATGCTTTGCATACATCTGTGCTCCGACCAACTAGTACCACTGTAGCAGCCAAATGAGATGCTATCGCGTGTGCGTGGGGCAATTCAGATGGAGAGAGAGATCGGAAAAAAGAGAACTGATGGTGGTTTTGGTTGGCTGGGAGGAGATGCTGAGATCTGTGGTGCTATTTTTGGAAACTTGGGTGGGATGGGGGTTTTCTGTGGATGGGTTCGTTTTGCTCGGTTTAACCGCCACGGCGGCGGGCCGAACATGTGGCGCCGGAAAATGGGCTGATTTTCTTTTCCTTGCATGTATGTACTGCATGTAAATGGATCAATTGGCTTCCATGGGTTTTCGATGGAGGCACGCGCGGATGATATGAGAGAGATGAGCTGAAGAAGATGGATATAGATGTGTATGCTTTTCTTGTGGAATTTACATTGATTGGCCACTGGCTGATTAACCGGCTTTGTGTTCTTTTGGCAATCAAGACTGTTATCTTTCCTTTCTCCGCAGCGTCTTACAGTTCCTTGCTTGAGAGGGCCCTTTGTCTAGCAACTGGTACAGCGTCGTAGTTCATCCGCTGTTACAACACTTCGCCGTGTTTAATTAATACAAGAGCTCACGCATCTCCATCAGCATCGTACCATGTTGATTGCCAGGCTCACCAAAGCCAAATAGATTGCGCCAAGCAGGCTATTCATATCCGTCCATATTGCTCCAGCGCTACCTACAGCACTGCTTCATGTTACCTGTAATATCCAGTATGAACCAGGTCGGGCGCCTAAATCGCCGCACGCGCAGCCAATCGCAGCCCCTGCCATCGCCTCAACCCTGACCCATGCGCGCCTCGCCCACCGTCGCCTCTCGTCCAATCAAGGCCTCTCAGCGGCAAAAGGAAGAAAGAGCGCGGGATGGACTCTAGATTCATAACAGAGAGAGAGAGAGAGAGGTCGGTTACCTTTCCCTTCCCTTCCCCCACTCACACAACCAATATTCTTCCCGTTCTCGCTCATTTCTATTTTCTGCGCTGCTAGGCGTTTGGCGCCGCTTCGGAAGGCGGCAAAAAACAGACAGCCAGAGAGAGGAATCTAATTAAAGTAAGCTAAAAAAGGAATTGCGCGTAGTACTACGGCTCAATAGTAAGGTAGCACTGCTTGTTATGCACGTAATTTTCTTTTGGACCCGCGTTCTAGATTGTGTGAGACACGATTGAAAGCTGGTGGGTTTATAAGAGAAGGTTGTTGGCCGCATTGTTTTGTGTTTTCGGAATCTTGGTAGAACCATCCCCCAGCTTGAATATCTTATCCCCAATTTCCTTTTTCGTCTTTTTTTTTTCCTTTTATTTCCTTGAGTCAGTATCTGGTATATCAACTTGTGCTTTTTTATCCCTTCAGCATAAAAACAAAAGAAAAGAAAAATTAGTGCGCTTGTCGGCTGGTCCTTGTTACGAAATCACCCATCACAACATCATCGCCATTGTCATCTACCAATCTGGTTATTGGAACTCAGTGTGTTGGTTGGAAACCGAAACCGAATCGCAAAAGAAAAACATCATCACCATCTTCTCCTCTTTTACTCTTCACATCCACATCTTCTCTCACACACAATGCGTCCATCAACATTCCTGGTATCATCACTGGCCATCTTTGGGGCCCACGCTGCTCCGGCAATCCCCAAGATCGACCTCAAAAATGTAGCCAACCCGGCGGCAGCCCTGGATGCCCTGTCAAATTACTTCAACCTGATTGCATCAAAGGTCCAGACTTCCAAAGTACAGCCCGTTGCGCCGATATGCGACATGTCCAAGGCACAGATGCCTGCTAGTAAGTATAGCTTCGGGACTAGATACAGACAGACAGACATGGACATGGACTAATCAATGGCATCATTCTAGTCAATGGACTGCCACCTCCCTCTGCAGGCCTGACGCTGCATCACGTTGCCGTCGGCCGCGGCACCCAGAACTACACGTGCGATACCAGCAACCCCAGCTCAGCTCCCGTGGCCGTTGGAGCACTGGCCACTCTCTTCAACGTCAGCTGCGTCGCGGCCATCAACCAAGATCTGCTGGAAAAGGTCCCTGCCATGGCCGTCAACTTCAACTTCGACGCCGTCACCTCCACGGGATCACTCGGCCCCATGACGCCTCCTCCCATCTCGGGCCACCACTTCTTCGTCGACAGCACGACGCCCTTCTTCAACCTGGACACACCCACCCTGAACATCGGCACAGTGCCCACCTCCAAGAACAACACCGTCGCTGCACCAGCCACGGCCGCAAAGGGACCCTCAGGCTCCAGCGCCGTTCCGTGGTTGAAGCTGCTTGCCAAGGATGGCGCCACCGGCGGCATCAAGGAGGTGTACAGAATCGACACCGCCGGAGGCAGCGCGCCAGCTACATGCCAGGGCCAGCCCGCCAACATTGAAGTGCAATACTCGGCAGTGTAAGTTGTCATCCCATGCTAGTCCATTAAAATGACGAATTGATGCTAACATGGCTTGTCTCTAGATACTGGTTCTGGGGAAGCAACTAAAGAGCGAGTGATGCGATGGGCGAAAACTGGTACCATGGGCGGCGGGCAAATGTCCCTTATTTTCTTCTTTGTAACTTGTTTTGATCCTTACTTTCATCACCCAAGTCTCGTATATAGACCTGGTAGTGTATTTCATTAATTATACGAGGGCTGGTTAGCGATCTTTTCATCTAAACATGAATCGACTTTGAACTGTATCGGGTGATGTAGGACACAAGTGCCTTTGCAGTGACTGAATCGACACCGAAATTGACAAGCCAATGCGCAAAAAGTACTTTGTAGATGCTCGTGAGCTGTCATTGGCTACCCTTTATGAGTAAGACTGCAAGGCAGCGGAGGTTTTGCGGATGATCTGCGTGGATGCGACACGTGGATGGATTATGGAATGGCAACGGACCCTGTTTGCGCCGCAATAGGCTGCTGTGGAACATGCCCTCCTGCTGGAGCAGCTCCTGTTAAATTGAGGTTTGTAATATGGTATTGAATACATACGTAATGCCGGTGAGTAGTAGGTTTGATCCGTGCCATGTATATATGTATGTGCATACATGTAGGTACATTGGTGGTGGGATTGCTCACCCCATGCACGCCTTATGTCGCCCAAAGCTGAATTAACATGCAGGCAAGTAGCCTCGGCACACTCTTCCACTATTCATGTCTGCTAAGCATTCCCATCGGACAAGTCAGAAAATAACCAGTTCCGAAAAGCGAAACCTGAATATGCATGCCGCAAGAGGGCCAAAACAAAACAAGATGCCGTCGATCACTTCGTTTGGCTGTGGCCAACTGAGCGCCGCATCGGAGCTAACGAGGCTAGCCAATATAAGGTTGCGTGGTAGGTACCTCGACCTCGTGATCTGCAAACCCCCGGCGAACGCTACCGCCTTGACCCCCTCAAGCAGAGTACCGGAACCTCAGGCAAGCAATGCTAGACATGCCAGAGCGCTCGGCCCCTGCCCCGCGGCCCCTGCTAGGCTCCTAGCGCCGTCGCTAGATTTTCGTTTAGCGGCTGCGGCGGCGCCTGTACGGAGCGCTCGGTCCTACTGACCCTCTGTAAATGCCCTCTGTGGCCCCGCCTCCACGCTGGCCGTTCTTAGTCGATGCGGCGTAATATTGGGGCTCCCATCGTAGTAATCCAAGGCGATCTGACATTTTGGTGTCACGCAGCGCTGAAGTATATTGATCATGACGTGAGGATGGAACAGTCTGGTCCGAGAAACGAATAGATTCACCTAGCTGAGGAGAACCATGACTCGCGGACTGTTCAAGATGGAAAGTAGGCATTCGCGAAGGAATACCCACAACCTGATCTACGTGACTCGAGTGCAGATAGAGAGGTGTTGAGGGTGTGAAATATCAAGATTATTGCATCCAGTCGATAGAGTAACACACGAATACTTGCCCGTTGCTCTGCCAAGTCTTATGTGATACTATCAAATACTATGACTATATGCTGGTATACAAGAGTAAAAGAAATCCATCCCCAACATCCCAAGTGAATCAAAGTCAACAACAGGAGCATCCGCATCGCCATTTTCTTAATTTTTCTGCTAATGGCAATTTTCCTCTTAAGATTTCTCAATCGATTCCATCACACCTCGCCCGTCTTCCCACAGCCAACTGAACCTCGAGCAGGGAATCAGCGTCGACTGGATGCACGTCTCGGAGTTGTCTCAGAGAAAGGAACACGCAAATACTCATACCGTGTCTTACATCTGGCACCAGCTCTCTACAAGTCGCAATTAATTAGTGCGGGAGAGCGATATTGGTAACGGAGATAAAAGGAGACGATTTTTCTGAACGTGTCTCAAGGCTGATAGTGAAGGGAGATCGAAGCTTTCAAGGCCTCATTCAGCACGGCTCTCTTCTTCCAACATCGCCTCAATTTTCAACTGGAAAGCAAAGGCCGCCTTGTTATTGTTCTTTAACAATTGTATCCCTATTCACTGCTCTAGAAATTATTATTCTGTTGGGTGGAGAGTTTGCTTGTCTGTTTGTTCACTTGTTTTCGCCAATTCACCCAACATGCCTCTGCTGGGGACGCCGTTTTCCATTGATCGGCTGCTGGGCCTGCACCTGTTTGACAGCGCATTCGGCCCAGCACCACCGCCTAGCAAGCCCGCCAGCACTGCTAAAAAACACCCCGCAACGACCTCGGCCGCTTCCTGCTTCGCTTCTTCTGCATCCTCCTCCAACATCCTCAAAACTGGCGCGTCCTCGACCTCTTCATCATCAGCGTTAGCCCTGCTCGGCCTCGTCGCCCAGGACCCCGATCCAGCATCATCTCCGTCGCCTGCCGCCGCTGTAGCCTCGCCGCCTGCCCCCATCGCTACGTGGCCAATGGCGCAGCTACCGGTCGAGATTTTCGAAATCATCACCAGGTATCTGACCCGGGCTGATGTCCAGGCCCTCCGCCTGGTGTGCAGGGAGTTCGAGGCCAAGGTCTCTGCCCAGTATTTCCGAAATGTCGTCGTGCCCTTCCGCGCTGAGCTGTACACCAGCCTAGATGACGACAACAACGCCGCCATCACGTCGAGGCTGTTTTCAAACGGCATGCGCATCTTCGAATCCTTTGGTCCTCACATCTTGCGCTTCGCCCTATCGCTCGAGCTGGACGAATTCATCCTCGCCTACCCGCCCGTCAAACCTGCCCAAGAAGCCGTCCCCGCCTTCTGGGGCATCTATCGATGGCCCCACGAAACGTACAACCGCTACAGAGACCTCGAAGGTCTGGAGCAGACGGCCGATGAAACCGACAGCATGAAGAAGGCTCTTCGCTGCCTGACCAAGGTAACCAACATCGGCCTCTGCTGCGATGCGGGCCTGGGATTTCTGGTTGGCCCTGAGCATGCGGCCCAGAAGATCAACAATCGTGACCCCGTCTTCGATGCCCGCGACTGGCATCCGGAAGGTCGTGTAAAGAAGGGTGATACGCTTGTTGCCGTGTCCGATTTTAATGGTGTTCGCCGAGATCTGACTAGCGCCACAGCCCAGCATGATACCTTCAAGCGTCGAGTCCTGGAGAAGATGATCTCTGATGCTGGCTTCGCCGGCTACTGCGTTCCCGAAGCGATCGACCTTCTACTCGAAACCGAGGGCGTTACCATTACCGAAATCGACTTTGACGAGCGAGAAGTTAACGTTGACGAGCAGCAGCAGCAGTTGCAGCAGCAGCAGCAAGAGGCACGCAGCTCTCGGAGAGCCCAGCGCCAGTTTCAAATCCATCACCTCCTACAGCAGCACAATCCACAACCACAGCCGCAACAGCCGCAGCTAGCAGCATTACCACAGCAGCATCAACAGCAGCAACAGAATGCTGACGTATTCGACATCTTTGGATTCCAGGTGCCTGACCATCACGGGGGACATATTCAGCTGCCTGTACCCCCAAATGGTAATGGCAACGAGACCACAACCTTTGGACCGCCCGAGGAAGACGCGGCGTTTGGGATCCCCATCAATCCTGCGCAACCGGTACCGGCATTGGCATTCCCTCCACGTCCAAATCCCATCCAACAGAGGGTAGCTCCACAGGAGGGCCAACGACAGGTCGCGCTCGAAACCGCCAATCGCCAGCCTCTTATTCCAACCAATCTTACCCGGGCTCAAAAGGAACTGCTTCTGGAGCTGGAGTGGGCTCATCGGGCCATGATCCAATCTTATGTTATCAGCATCATCGATAACGCCAGAGACAATTGCTTCACGCATTTGACGAATGTAACCATTGCCAAAATTCCCAGCGCTCACATTCACATCTTGTGCCACAAGGAACTCTGGGAGAATATTCCTAGTATCAAAACCGTCTCCCTTGCTGTTATTGCAGATTGGAGGAAGATTTCCAAGCCTTCCCCGGGCGTAGTCGAGGACGTTCATGTATCTCCCGTTGAAGCCGTGAGTAAGGTCTATCGGCTGCTGAATGATCATATCGGACGACAACCAAATATCGAGAGCCTTCGCTTCGAGTGGATCTGCGGTGGCGAGTTTGCGAGAGGCCCGTATCAGCGCAATCAATATGTTCTACCGGCTCCATTTGTTGAGTCCTCAGACTTGATGATTTCTCCCGAGGGCGCCAAAGATACCAATAGGCTGCTGTATCTGCCTTACATCAAGCACTTGTCACTCAAAAATTGCTGGTTCGCGCCGCACATTTTGTTCCAAACAACTCGTTACATGGCGCTACACTGTCTTGAAAAGCTGGAGTTTGAGACTGTTTCTATTTCTGGGCCTCCCACCATTCCTCCACAACAGCCTGCAAATCCTGCTCCGCTCGTTGCCGACGATCAAGGCGTTCCGATTCACCCACTCTTCCCCCCCTTTGCTGGCCCTATGCCAGGCGCCCCTTTCCAACCGCCTGTGATTCCTCCACCGCCCGAGGAACCGTCCGTTGACAGACTTGGGCTGCCAGAAACATTTTCATGGGCTGGTTTCTGCGAGCATTTCAGCCCTGGCATCAAGATGCGTCACCTTCCACGCTTTCGCGAATCGTCCGGCTCGGACACAGATGGAACCAACAGTAAATCCGAAGACCTTTCTCCTTTCTTACCGGATGCCAATAGGCTCAAGGTTGATGAGTCTCGGTATGGCCTCAGCTCCATATCTTTCAAGTCCTGTGGCTATGTCTTTATAGATGTACGCACCCTTGATATCAGGGCGATTCTGCCGACAGAGGCTCAGCTTGGTCATGCGTTTGCAAACGCTCTTCGACACGACATCTTCCACTCGATGCAGTACAGCAAAGACAAGTTCCTCGGGCGCATTGTGCCATTCATGCTGCCCGCCGAAATGAAGACGCTGGAGCATATTTTCTTCTTTGAGCAGGGCTGGAGCAAAGTGTACCCTGATCAGGTTCTTGAAGACGCTATTACTGATGGTTTTGACTGCCCTGGCATGGCACGCTTCTCTGGAACTCTCGAGGGAACTGGCGATGCTGAATCACTCGTGCTGACGGAATGATTTTGTTTTTCTTTCTTGGCCTCTATCTTGTCTGAACACATGTTTGTTTGCAGCTCAACACAGGGTTTTGTGGCTCCAGCTAACAAAATGATTCGATAATGGGCACGAAACTTGGGAATTAGAGAAAGGACTTTGCAGTTGTCAACTGTTTTTTTCCTGATTGCTTCACAAGCATTGCCAAAACGACAACTTGCTAGAGTATGTCTTCTGCTTTCTCTGTTCCTTTTTCACTCTTTGGAAGAACTCAATGGTCGAGCTCGGTTCACGAATACGAATGAACGAATAATATACATCCATTAAAAAAGAACAAAAAAATAGAATGAAGAGATACCCCTTTGGAATTGAAACTATGGGCTCATAGGGTTGGGAATTTCCGCCTTTTTCTTCTCACGAAGATGGAGACAAATTACAAGATTCTTGGTAAACGAAAAGCAAGATCTTTAAGGCTGAAGCATCTTTGCTTTTACTCCATGCGAGTGTGTTGTGTCTGACTTTAGACAAGGCTTGGTGCACCACATGCCTATATCTATTTTTCTTTTGTTAAATAAACACCATGAGGTGTTTGTATGCATTTGCGTGTTCAGGATCCTTTACTTGAACCGTTGGAGGATAACAGTCCCCCGCACACTTTGGCGTTGGAGCAAGAGAACATGATTGGCAGGGTTGCCATACGAATCGATGAAACACGGCTTATCAGCCGCCTATGGAAAATATTGTTTTTTTTTTACCCTTCTCAATTGTTGAGAGGGAGACACCAAAGAGAGAGATTACAGATAGAAGGAATATCTCTTACGTGTATACGTGGGAAACGAGGAACCTTTGTTTACTCGATGAAATGGCTTCGGTTTTTGATGAGATTTGAGGGTCCGATATTTACCTGTAGGACAATTGTACATGTACTTACTGTATTAGAATCTTTAGAATGGACAATTGATGGTTATCAAGGATGTGGTAGGTACATATATATGCGTGCAGTATTTAAGTCATAAAGGTAGGTATCCGTATCCCAGTCGCGGCAATCATGTCCCCTAATAGCATGTCACTCCAGCACAGTAGATTTTTTTGTAATTTTTTTTGTTTATTTCATGTCATTGATTCCGTCAAGAGAGAGAAAGGCCTCTCATGCGGAAAGATATAAAAAAAAGATTTGTTTGCATGCAAATAATTTTTGTATTCCCATTTAAATGCCATGCAAGAACCCTCCTTCCCCTTTCTTTCCGTAGCCTGCCCATACACCTGAAGAAGCCACGCGCAAGAAAAGTTGATTGTTCCCTATTTGCCTCCCAAGTGCTTTCGCAAAGAAGAATACCAGAAAGGCGAACTGTTCCGCTTTTTCTCCCCGTCGCTCCATTCGTTTAAAAAAACAAAGCCGTTTAATTGCACATCATCCGTGGTGCCGAATTTATGCGGCGGTGATGGCCTTGCGGGCACGGACGGCGCGCTGGCGGGCGGTGAGGCGCTCACGGCCAACAACCTCGTCGGACTTCTGGACGACCTCCTCACCCTCGGTCAGGATGAGCTCGATGTGGCAGGGGTTGGACATGTAGGGGTTGATCTGTGGAATAATGATTAGAAAATGAGCGTTTGCGAGAGTGCCGTTTTACCTTCTTTTCAGCGCTCAAGTGTTGGTTCAGACAAGTATATCTGGTCTTTACTGAGAAAGACGCAGCTATTCGCTGATGTTCTCCGACACATGTTGCGCTGAAGAGAAGAAAAACTGGCCATTGAAGTTCGAGGATATACGTACACGACCGTGAGCACGGTATGTCCTTCTTCGCTGCTTGGGAGCCTGGTTGACCTGGATGTGCTTGACGACGAGAGCGCCAGTGTCGAGGCCCTTAGCGTCGGCGTTGGCCTCAGCGTTCTTCAGGAGACCGAGCAGGAACTCGGCGGACTTGATGGGCCATCGAGCCTTGGAGACACCGAACTGCTTGCCTATTGCACGAAAGATCCATCAGCATGACATGTCCATAGCCCAAACGTAGTTTTTCTCTCTCGATTCGCTCTTTCATGAGATGTTCCACTCTATCTCAAATGTCCATAGAATAACCATGCTCGAATTGCAAATGGTGAAAATAGGGCTTCCAGGTCGTACCTTGGGCGGTGCGGCCAGTGCTACCGGCATATCGTCGCATGGGGACAGCCTCCTTGTGCTCCTTGACGTTCTCGAGGAACTGGACAGCTCGCTGCAGCTTCCAGCCGTTGATGGCCTGAGCGGTCTCTCGGGTGTTCTTGAAGGAAACTCGGAGGTAGGCACCGCGGGCGCGGGCCGACTTCGCGGGCTGGATCTCGGTCGCGGCGTATCGAACCTGGAGTTTCGCAAAAGAGACAGACGGTCAGTATATTGTCACATTTCTTGGTCTCGCAGTTTGTGCCATGATTCCCCTCCACGATCTCGGACTGCTCTTCAAAGATGCACGGTTTTGTCCATGTTTCGACAGCAGTTCCAATTCCTGGACAATGCCGTAATTTCCTCCTCTTTCAAACATTCCCTCGACCAAATCAAACGCAGCATAGGGGCAGGCACTCACCATCTCGACGGCTTATGGTGTGGTGACTGATTCGACGACGTGGGTTCGCGGGCTGAAGTTGAGAAATTCTGAACTTTTGCCCTAAAGCGCTGGCAGGGAACCACAATGTTCGCTTACCCCTTCGGGAAGTGTTAGGGCTACTCTGCCCTGGTCCAATCAAATGGCGGCAACCACGCTTCACTTACTAACAATACCTCGAAAACGGTGGGAACAGCGACAAAGTTACAGGAAAATAGACAAAAAAAAAAATTATTAAATCAGGAATTTTTTTCCCCAAGTCGATGCATTTATATAGAGCTCATTTACTGGCTAAAACAAGCCGTGCACACGGATTATCTCTTTGCAAAATTGAATATCTCAATGGCAACTTTCATTTGATGTCACATGATTCATTGCTGATTCATCAGAATATCGTCCACGTGATCATGATCTGAACTTTTTTTCACTTCTCGAAAAAAAATTCAGCCGGAACAATATCGGTGCGATAAGCTCCGCAAATCAATTCGCTCTAGCCGTAAATGGCCACAGTGGGGGCTGCAGACTAAAGCTTCTTGCGAAAAGCTTCAAAAATTTCTTTTTCTCGCCGAGCGCTCTCACAATTCAACCGTGTTTGGCAGACGCAATTACCAAGGCAACTCCAGCCTTTTGAGTCGATCTCCTGCCATCTATACTTTTCATAAGCCAATCTTTCTACTCAGCTCAATTTTTTGAGTTGAATTCCACTTTTCGCGTTCAATCGCCGCTCGAATTCGACCCCAAAAACTTTTTTCTTCTACCTTATCCCACTTCGTTGAGATGGCGCCTTTCACTGCTCGTGGCGGTCGCGGTGGCCCTGGTGGTGGCCGAGGAGGAGGTGCTCCTCGTGGAGGCCGCGGAGGCTTCAGCGGCCGTGGCTCTGCTAACGGTGTTCGTGGACGAGGTATGCTGCTCGTCTCTATCATGTCACTTGCGATTGAACTTTTGAGAGGCTAACTCATGATATCAGGCGGTGGTGGTCGTGGAGGCCCTCCCGGTCGTGGCGGCCGTGGTGGCCCCCCCCGTGGAGGACGAGGAGGCCGTGGTGGTGCCCGCGGTGGTCCTGGCGGCATGAAGGGCGGTGCCAAGGTCGTCATTGTACGTTGAAAACCCTCTCCAACCCATAACTCGTGATCTTCAAAAAGTGACAATGAACTGACCTCATTTCTACACAGGAGCCTCACCGTCACGCCGGTGTCTTCGTCGTTCGTGGTGGCAAAGAAGACGGTATTGCGACCCGTAACCTCACCCCCGGCGAGTCTGTCTACGGCGAGAAGCGCATCAGCGTTGACGAGCCCGTTGAGAACGATGACGGAACCACTACCACCACCAAGGTCGAGTACCGACTTTGGAACCCCTTCCGAAGCAAGCTTTGCGCTGCCATCGCTGGTGGCGCTGACGACATCTACATTCGTCCTGGTTCTCGTGTTCTCTACATTGGTGCTGCCTCTGGTACCTCCGTCTCTCACGTTGCCGACCTTGTTGGCCCTACTGGTTTTGTCTACGCCGTCGAGTTCTCTAACCGCTCTGGCCGTGATCTCATTGCCATGGCTGCCAAGCGACCCAACGTTGTCCCCATTGTCGAGGATGCCCGTCAGCCCGTCCGTTACCGCATGGTCGTCCCCATGGTCGATGTCATCTTTGCCGACGTTGCCCAGCCCGACCAGGCCCGTATTGTTGCCATGAACGCCAACTGGTTCCTCAAGCAGGGTGGTGGTGTCTTGATCTCCATCAAGGCCAACTGTATCGACAGCACAGCCCCCGCCGCCGAGGTTTTCGCCAGCGAAGTCCAGAAGATGCGCGCAGAGTCCATCAAGCCCAAGTTCCAGCTCACCTTAGGTAAGGATTTTCGCTATTCCCCAACACCGACTTGTATCTGGCGACAAAAGAGAACCAGCTTCTGACTAACTTACTCTTTTAGAACCCTTCGAGCGTGATCACTGTCTGGTTGCCGGTATTTACACACGCGGCGCCTAAACAGCGATAATGGGGTAAATGATGAACATCTATCGGCCTGTATAAAAAGTCCTGATCGCCAAAGAAGAAGAAAAAAGTTCTTGTTTGTTTGGTTTTCACGAAATGATTCCCAACATCAGGCTGCTACTTGCATCTAAGCTCTTCGTGCGCCGAACGGGTATCGGTTTTAAAGGGATTGATTCATTCAATAATGGCATGGGGCGTTCCGGATAAGGGGGTCTTGCTTAGCTTTTGAGCTTGTGTGTTACTTGTTACTATATAGGGTGTTTTAAGGCCCAGTGCAGAAGAATACTAGTACTTTTTTTCTTAAAATCTTGACGATTTTTCCTTGATTGGTCAGGCGGATTATAATATCAGGAAAAATAAAAAATGGTCTGTCTCATGCATGGTTACATCAGGCTGTAAGTTAGGCAGCAAAGCATTCAGCACCTATCAGCTTAAGCATTTAATGCCGGTAAGGTTCATTTGAGATCTTCGACTATACAAGTGCAATAAGCTTCATATTGAAATAAACAGTTCCTGCGCATATTTGAGACGATGAGCAATGTTAATTTCATCCCATTTGATTATAATGACGAAGTGTCCTGGCACCTCCGGCTCAGTAGTGTCAGAACCCCAACTCGTCGTCTTCCCCTTCCAGAACCCGCGCGGCTCAGAGCCGGCTCGAGTGTCAATGGGGGATACTGTGTTAACTGTCAAACCGTTGGCAATTTTGTTTCAAATCAACCCTTATTGAACAAGATTCCACGCCCAAAAGTTTCTAGCGGCTCAGATTCATACGCAAAACAATACGACAAGATACATGACACGATTAGGCTGGGGAATCTCGCAGATCTTGAGACGAATCAAGACTGCATATGCTGCCAGTCCATCATTTCTGCACTTCGAGAACAAGATGAGGTTACCCAGGCACAATTGCATGACTGGGAAGCGGAATTATGCTGGAACGGTGTCATCTTCTGCTGCATCCTTCACCGTCTTAATAACAATAGTGTTGAAGCGTTGCACCTTCGTCAGGCAAACGTAGCAAGCGACCGGGAATATAGACATCCAAAGCTGGTGTCCTTTTGGAAATATAACAGATTGATGGATGCCAACAAAATCGACACGTCAGTCATTCAAAAGTGGATCGAAACTTGCGACCGCATTCATGAGCCTGAGGCGCAGAGCGTTGCGCCTTTGTTATCCGCGAGTGAGCTTCCGTGGCTATATCTTATTGACTTGGAAAAGCAATGCCTAGTCAAAGTCGATACCGCTCAAAGTCCCCGATATGTAACTTTAAGTTATGTCTGGGGCGGAGTGGACATGTTGAAAACGACAGTCAACAACTTGGAACAGATGCTGCAACCCGGGGCACTGCTTGATAGCCAAGAAATGAAGCGACCGAAACTTGCACAAACCATCGTGGACGCCATGGACTTGGCAAGAACACTTGGCTGTCCTTTCTTTTGGACAGACTGCATATGCATTGTCCAAGACGCGGAAGATGAACGGACCATGTTTTTGAACGGAATGGGTTCCATATATGCCAATGCATACTTTACCATCGTCGCTGGCGAGGGAAAAGATGGCAATCACGGGATTCCGGGAATTGGCCGCTGTTCAAAGCCTCGGAATACTCTCTGCAGCAAGATTCGATTCCCTGGCCACTCACTCTTTCTTACTCCTCGTACTGATAAAGCAACCGCCCTAAAAAGTCCTGCCGTATACTGTACGGACAAAGAATGGTCGACTCGTGGATGGACACTTCAGGAATCCTATCTGTCACGACGGCTCCTTGTCTTTACATCAGTTGTTAGTTTCCACTGTCAGAAACACACAAGCGTTGAATGGGAGTTGGCAACCCACGGTGAAGGTCGCTTTCCGATTAACAGAACATCTTTTGCTTGCAATGTTCCAAACTGGCCTAATATTAACCACTTTATAACAGTGGCCGAAGAATATAGTCAGAAGCGCCTGTCGTTTGACGATGATATGCTTCATGCTTTTGCCGGTATAACGACAGTGCTGAAGCCGGCTTTCCATTCAGGGTTCCACTACGGACTGCCAGAGGTATTTTTCGACGCTTCTCTTCTGTGGGAATCCGACTGGAGAAGGCCGGATCCACCTCAACTTCGGAAGACACAGAAATTATCACTTCCGAGCTGGTCATGGGTGCGTATGAAGGGTTCTATCAGCACAAGCAATTGGCGGCTTTTTGCAAAGGACTTCTACAAAGAAACGTCGTCATCCAGAAGATTTCATGAGCTGAAGCCCCGAGTTAAATGGTGGAAAACGGGCTCTAAGGGGGAAGCATTGGAGTTGATTGAGTATCAACACTTCAATGACCATGCCTCGATGCCGCCAGGCTGGAACAGACTACGAGGCAGATTTCTGGAGAGCTATAGGCATCCCTTGTCCCCCAGGACAAGATATTCATACCCGTTTCCATTCCCCGACAGTGCGGAAGCGAATTCGCCGGATATTCAGTACGGCCCAATACTGCATTTCAACGCAAAACGAGGTTGGCTACTCAAATCAAACAAGCTCGAACAAGATAACGGTAATAAGAAGATATATGGCGTATTTAACCTTTGTGTCGGCGACGGAACCTGGGCTGGGATATTAATTGACGACCGATTGGACCAAAGCTTCACTCAAAGGTCTGATGAGAAATGCGAAGTAATTGCAATTGCTGAGGGACGGATTTTTTGTATCCGTAATTACATTGACTGGCCTGAGCTTGCGATGCCTCTGCAAGCACCCTTCCTGGGGAGGCCGCGGCCAAAATTACATGGAACATTCACGAATTTAGATGATTTTTGTTATGAATTTTACTTTATTCTTTGGATTGGTTGGATTGACGGCATTGCATATCGGAGGGGTATTGGAAGAGTTTTCAAGAGCATATGGGAAAGTATGGACCTTGAAGAGATTCAAGTGGATTTAGGCTAAAAAAAAAGTTACAAGTTATGTACCTATATAATGCACGTTTACGTTGGTTATCACAACACCATGCTACCTGCCTAGGTAGCCAATGACCCTTGATACCTGCATTCCATCGACAGAAAAGACGTTCCCAAATAAACGCCAGACACGCATATATCCATTCATAGAGTAGCCGTTAATCAACATTTATCTCTTTATTCCCTCTTCATAGCATGTTATTTTAATTGGCCAACTGCCGCCGTCTAAATTCAAACTCGGTATTCGGATTCGGCCCCTTTGTCATGACCAAAGCCATTGGCTGCGGCCGCTTGTCCCCCTTCTTCAACCTCACGTCATAATTGATGAGAAAGAAGGCCAAAATGAGCTTGATCTCATTCCCAGCAAAGAATCGACCCGGGCAGGCGTGCTTCCCCGCGCCAAAGTTGAGATTTGTGTCGTTGAGCGACGTAAACTGCCAGCGATTGCTCGCCTCGGCCGACTCTTGCCGCATGTGGTAGAATCGCAAGGGATCTAATTCCGTGGGGTTGGGGAAAAACTGGTCGTCTATGGAAATGCCCGCTTGGGGGGCTAGGACTCTCGTGCCCGCGGGTAAATGTGTGCCATCTGAGAGGTCGATGGGCTTTATAACCTTGCGAATAAAAGAAGCTGCCCATACTGTTAGTCATTGCACAGACAGGGAGGATGGAAGTGAAATTGGTAAATAACTTACTGACATTGCCACGGAGGCGTTGAACTTCTCGCATGAAGCTGTCGAGCTTCTTGAGCTTGGTCATGCTTTCCTTGCGAGCCCAGCCATTCTCTACCTCGAGAATTTGGTAAGCTTCTGCTCGCAGCTCTTCTTGAATCTCGGGGTGATCAGCAAGATCAGCCATGCACTCAAACAAGAGGTTATTCGTGGTGTGAATAGACGCCGCAGCCAAGATGAGTTGCAGTCTGGCGTGGACATCCACATCAGCCTTTTCTTCTTGGGGGAGAGCCTCAATAAGCCACTGCATTAGATCATTCGGTGGCTCATGGCAAGACGAAATCTCCATGTCGCGTATTCTTTCCTCCAGCAAGGGCTTCAACAAGGATTTGGCAATGTCGACATCCTTCCGTATCTTGCGCAAATCTGACACGGCGTATTGAGCAATGGGGCGAAACCATTCGGGGAAAAATTGCAGTTTGATAACGGACATGAAGACGTCAATGGCGAAATCGATGGTGACTTTGAGCCATTGCTCTTCGCGATTCAGCCAGGGTCCAACGAAGGCTCGGCCGCTCAATCGAGCAATGCCGCGTAGAGCAAAAGGCTGCCACTTGACAGGCGTCCAGTCATCGCAAGCTGGGAACTCGGTACCAATGTAATGCTCAAGTTCGCTCTTAAGCTGAGGAATGAGTTCAGCGAGATTCTGCGTTAGACGAGTTCTAACAAGAAGCGATAGCATATCGCCATTGTGTCCCGGCGTGAAATTGGTGTACTTGGTTTGAAGAGCCTATAATGATAAGAATTAGAAGATGGGAGGTGCAGAGGTGAAATCGGCGTCCTACATCAGCTACAGCCTCTGTGGCGCTGAGAGTATCCTCAGGTAAACCCTTGATCTCAGCAATGAATTTTGGAGGAATAATAGCCTGGGTTCCCTCAGTCGCCTTGATCTGATAAACCTGGTCTTGAAACTATATCGAAAGGTAAGTAAGTCACCAAGGCTTAAGACCAATAAGATGTAAACTGACCTCTTTGTAACTTTTGACAATCTGTGATTCTGCATCAAAAATCCATTTTAATTTGGAAGTCTTGTAGAAAGGCACGCAAAGCTTGCTAGATTCGGGTTTTGATCTCAGGAAAAGCCACACAGAAAGCAACACAGTGAAGATGGTCAGATAGTAGCCTGTGCGCGGTGTCCAGTAAGCAGACAAGGGTGATGATTCAATTGTCCACGGAAAGGACGTCGAGTTGGATTGAGGATCCATGGCGGCTGGAAGTGATTGCGGCGCCTTTGAGAGATGTGTCGTTTTGGATGAAGAGGACGATGGACGGTATTAAAGACAAGTTGCCGTAATCGCGAGCCAGCTGGAGAGGATATAAGCAGCGAACGAGCCTTGGCCATGTGAAACCGGCGTGTCGAGGGAGCAAGATTGGGCTGTCGGTCTCCTGCAGGGAGAAGCAAAAGCGTAGACTCTAGAGGCTCCTTGACCGCACATCACCTCCTTGCGCTGGAGTTTCACAAGACAGCCAGCAGACTGTGCTCGAGGATCCCGGATTGGCGCAGGCCGGCCATTAATACCACCAACCAGGAAGCCAGCGAGCGGGTCTCGAAGCGGCTGAGAGACGATGATCTCGACTAGCGGCGGCTCTGCACGGACTAGACGGAAGGTTACAATCAAGTCGAGAAAGACGCAGAAGAGAGAGAGGAGGGAGTGTAGGAGAGAGAAGACCCAACCGTTCAGCCGATGCCGTCCGCGTTCCTTATCCCCGACTACCTCCAACCACTGGCTGAAGCTGCAGCTGCAAATAACGAAGCGCAGCGCATCTTTACGCGCGCCCTCTGCGGTTATCAGGACCGCATCCGATCGGGTAAAATGGGCACAGGCGCAGAAAGAATGGCGGGCTCAATTCCATCGTCACGGACCGTTGCTGAAACAGGCCCAGGTGTGTCTCAGAAGTGTTCGGGAAGAGCTGCTCCCGGGTCTTAGTGCGTTTAATAGCGGCACCGCAGCGTGCCACGCGGGGCATCTAATTGTCCACCAGGGGATCGACCTACCTAAAATATATTAATCGCCAACTTTATTGGCCTGTTTTGTTTCCGTTTGTTTATCATGATTACTCTCTAGAACTTGTAAATGATTAATGATTCCTAAAATAGCATCATCTAGGCGTAGAAGCGGTAGAAGCTGTAGAAGAAGCTGGGGCGGCACAGGGTTCTGTGGCGTATCATTGTCGATTCGCTCAGCCTTGGCGGAGACGATCCCCTTCTCCCATGTCAGCACCCCCTATGTTACAGATGTGATTCGAATATTGTCCACTTTGCACGTGAATGGACCAGCCTCGTTCCGCAAAGGAGACCAAGGCCTTGACTGGGAAATATTGTCCTCTTTTATTCCTTACTGCAAGGGCCATGCCTCATCCGTCTTAATTGCATTGATTGCTGTCGTTGATGCCTTTGCGACACGAGCATAAGTTGAGATGTGGAGTTATCTATGAATACATGTGAAGATTTACTTTTACAGGTGAGATAAAATAGCAGTATTAAAGGTGCAGTACGCCTTGTCATCATGCGCGACAGCATCTGTTTGTTTGTATTGATTCCGCAGCGTTATGTTCATCTTAATGCTCCCCAGGGGCTACCTAGAAGTATTTGTATATTCTGTAACAAAACTACTAGAGAGATATCGTAAACGACGATACTCATTTCTAAGGCATATCCTATCACCTTACTCTAAGAACTGAGTTATCTTGTTGTAAATCTTAAAAAGGGAAAAAAAAAAAAAAAAAAAAGGTAGCTCCAGTGCAGTGTAGCTATGAGCAGCAACTTCAATGCCCTATGAAGCCAAATAACGTTGAATAATCCAAAAGCCTCAATCTTTGCCTCTTTTCCCATGGGCCTCGTCTGTAATCCATCATCATATGCTTCGTAGAGGCGCATAGACCAATCAGAATAGACGGCATCTTGCTTTAAGCCAGCTTCATCCGCCCAACCGCCCTTAATACCAGCTCTGACTCGCAGACACTCGTTACTTAGCACGCCCTGCATGAATTCTACACACATATTCCAACAGCCAAATCAACGTAAGCATTACGCAAACTACCATGTTCCAGCCCCATCGAATCTCCCCAACGGGGAATCAAATCCCGACCTACCATTTGAGGAGTTCCACCCTGAAGGAGCATCGACTAAGGGGACACGGTGAGCCAATCATTCCTTGACTCAAACACTGGGATACCAGGTAGTATTGTCTTCCAAGATCTGGCAATGCAGCTATTTTTATTCATTCCTAGATTACCTAGCATCGGGCCGCGTTGATCGTCATGCCGGGATCTCGCATGTGGGCCACTGCAGCATTCACTTCGGACGACGTTTCTATAAGTCGTATGACTATATTGGAAGCCAAACAGTTGGCATTGCAGTCTATAGTTCTTGAAGTTGATGATGAGCATATGCTAGCATGATGTATATCTATACATAAATGTCGTACAGGACTACCTTTATTCCAAGCTCTGCATGCTATCCAAGATTTCAGTATCGACACGGTCACAACCAAAGCAGCAGCAGTAGCAGCATCATCATTTTTATCAAAAATTTGAATTGTATATCTATAGGTATCTATCTATATGATAAGCTCAATCAAAAGAAAAACTCCAGCTTATGCATTGCTATCCATTTTCATTCCCAAAAATTTCATTATCCTCATCGTTTCTCCCTTGCGCTTAAGCACCATAGACCTTGACACGCTCGTCAATGTCCTGGAACTCCTTGGGGCCAGCCTCGCCAGACTTGCCACCAAAGACAAGCTGAGCATCCAGTCTCCAAGTGGCGGGGATCTTCCAGGCGGCAGCAACCTTGTCGTCAATCAGAGGGTTGTAGTGCTGCAGGTTGGCGCCCAGGCCTTCGAGCTCCAGCGCAGTCCAGACAAGCAGCTGCTCCATGCCCAGCGAGTGGACGGCCCAGGTAGGGAAGCGGTCGGCGTACAGGGCGAACTTGTCCTGCAGGGCCTTTGTGGCGGAGGTGTCCTCGAAGAAGAGCACCGTGCCGGCGGCGCCCTTGAAGAGCGCCAGCTTGTCGGCGGTGGCCTTGAAGTTCTCGGCGGGGACGATGCCTTTGAGCGTCTCCGAGGTGAGGTCCCACAGCTTCTCGTGCTCGCCGCCAAAGAGGACGACGGCGCGGTTGGTCTGGGAGTTGAAGGACGAGGGAGTGTGCAGGGTGGCGTCCTTGACGATCTCGTGGATGCGCGAGGTCGAGATGGGGAGGTCCTTGTTGAGGGTGTAGATGGAGCGACGGACCTTGGCCATCTGGAAGAGAAGATCGGCGGAGAGCTTGGCGGCCATTGTGACGTTTGTTGTGGTGTTGTTGTTTTGGTTGAGGGAGGAGTTGAAGGTTGTGAGGTTGGACACAAAGAGAAATGAGCTGAGAAGCTGAGAGAACTGAATGATGGCGGTGGTTTGCTTTGCAGAAGATGTTGTTTCTTGTCTAGAGCGGAGTGTCAACTACGACAACGAGGATGGGGGATGGTTATATAGATATTTCAACTCGAGTGCCTCGCTAACTCCGAGCAATAAGTCGTTGAAAACCCAGAAGCGATCGCCTCAAGCCAGCCGACCGAACCCCTGACCCACGCGGCAAAAAAAGAAACCCATATTAATTACTAGCATGATAGCATTTCAAAACTAGAAGGCGAAAGAAGACGCCATGGACGGGAAAAAAAAAGAATGGAGAACAACTTTTTTGGCACTCCGGCGCATTAGACATCATGACCAAAGCACTCTCAGAAGCTTATCCCACTCCCTCCCCTTGCCGAAAAAAAGGGCTCCACTTGGGTTCAATGGCAACATATCTTTGAGCCGAAACAGGCGAGTTGCCGCAGAAGTTTAGGACACACACACACTCATCACATAGTACTGCGAAAGTGCCGAGTGGATAGCCTATTCTCTTTTTCTTTCCTTTTTTTTGCCCTACAAATCAAACAAGAGTCGGAAAGAAACTGTCTCGCCATGTAACCTTTCCCTCTTCTTTTTTTTGGTGGGGGCTGCTTCTTTCCGCATACCCGATTTACATAGATACAAAGTGCCTTATACACTCACCTGATAACAAAAGCAATAAACCACTCAACCTAAGACTGTTTTTTTTTTTTTTTTTTAGCTTACTTGAAGATCATAAATGCATACATAAGGCATATCATGTAAGCGGAACAAAAGAAACAAAAATCCCAAAGCTTCAGGCCTCGGAAGTTCCATAATTGACAGGGGTCGTGGCTAATGCGGAAATACAAAAGCCCCATTAAAACGCAAAAAGAGCCGCGCGCTATTGAGCGAGGAATTAGATTAGAAAAGGGCAGCCAGTTGATTTCCCATCAGTTAACTAAGCATTTATAAGCCTCGAGGTTTGCGCAAACGGCTGTTATGACGGCACAAACTGTCCGTGCAATGCTATCATTTAGAGTTGACAGGGGCATGCGTGTAACATGTTCCTTCATTGGATAGGAACCGAAATGTTACGAAAACTACATGTGCGCTGCTATTACTGGTACACGTTCAATAATGGAAATACGGATTAACTGAATCCTTGGTCTTGTAAAGCTTCTTCTTTACCGGACATGACATCAATACCGCCCCTTATTCCGCGCTTCAAAGTAGATAAAATGGTCGTATTTAAACAGAATTAATAGACAGCCGATATTAAAGTTGACAACTGACTGCAACCCAATCGTAACCATTCCAATGGCAGCATATTCCGTCTTCTATGCATCATCTCGTCCCAAGTCTCATCCCACTTCACGCCAGTCCCTTTACAGCGTCGTTACCAATTAAACGTGTCAAGTTTCCTAATTTGGACAATCGTTATCTGAGAAGACGGATTTTCAAATTCTTGGTATAGGCTGCCTATCCCACCTCATTCAGACCGATAGTTTCCAAAAAGACATCAAGTAAGACAATTCAATTACCAGTATATACGCTTTCTCCCATCCACAGAGGCATGCCCACCCAAACATTTCATTTCCCAGGCATGCTCATTCAATCAAGTATGTAAAAACCCAACAAACAGAAAAGAAAAAGAAAAAAAACTCAAACTCCGTAATGCTTTGTTTTCCCTCCCATAACACTTATTTTCCCCGGGTTGCTTGCGCCCCAGATCAGTGCTTTTTGTCTACTCCTGTCGTTCTAGTAGAGCTGTTATATATTCCCCCTCCCTCGCCTGGTAATGTCTCCAAACTTGGCCCCTTCGGCAGGGGTCTGACCGATTTCATGTTTTTGCTCTTCCAATTTGTTTTTTTTTAATCTTTCCCACATGCAAATGCTGAGCCAGTATGGTAAAAGAAAAGAAAAAGAAGAAAAGAGAAAATGCAGAAAATTGTAAATGATAAAGTGCTCCAAGACGTTTCACAAAAAGAAAAAGACGATTCAAGCAAAAGTTGACGGTAAAAGAGAAGTTGAAACACTTCACCACGTCTCGGCAATGTACTGACCAGCCTCCTTCTTCAGCTGCCAGAAATTCCGAGCCTCTTCGCGCTCAAGGTTGCCCTTGGCCATGGCCACGTCCACAAGAGCCTCCTCAACGCCCTCGCCCATGCCCTTGGAGCTGCCGCACACAAAGATGCGGCCATCAACGGCGTTGACGATGCTCCACACCAGGTCGGACTGGTTTCGGACTTCCTCTTGCACGTATCTGCCCTCGCCGCGGCGGCTCTGTACCACCTTCTTCACCTCATCTTCGTGGACACCCCACTCGCCACTGTAGATTTCATCTACCAGCGAGTCTCGAATGCCCTGCAGCACCCACACCTTGTTGGCGCAGTTGGCCTGCTTCAGACGTCGCTGCACAAAGCCTCGGAAAGGGGCAATGCCCACGCCGGCTCCAATCAGCAACATCGGGCCCTCGGCGTTGAACTGCTTGGCCAATGGGTTCGCCATCAGGCCCTTGAACATGGGAATGTAGAATTCCGTCTTCTCACCGGCCTCTTGGGCCTTGATGAACTTGCGGGCCTGGCGCTCAAAGAAGCCAGAGCCCACGCCCGTTCGAGCTCCCTCGCGCCAGTCTCCAGTCTCATGAACCGTGACGGCGATCTCAATCAGGCGATGCTGCTTCTGGTCACCCCTCTGGAACGTATCGTGAGGGTCGTTGGAAAGTGAATAGAAGCGAGGCATGAGCTGCTGCAGGGCTGATAGCAGCTCGTCCATGGGTGGGTGCGCGCTAGGGAAGGCATGCAGCAACTGAGAAATGGAAATGCCAGGACCAGATCGGAAGTCGCAGAAAGCCCCTTGTCCCTCAGCGGCACAAAGGAAGCTGAGAATCTTCTTTTCGTTGTCTGCGGCAGCGTGCTCGGCCAATACTCGCAGCAGTGGCTTGGTGGGGGGATATGACTGGAGGTCTGCACACCAGGTGAGCAAATCCCGGCGAGTCGTGACGAGCTCACGGGGCTTGTCGTCTCCCCACACGGTAGGCCATCGGCCCTTGGACGTCTTCATCAGCACAGGCTTGTCTCGAAGGAAGCGTGGCACCATGAGGGCATCCAAGACGTCCTCGACAACCGCCTCAGAGTTGGGGGCCATGACGCCAATGGCACCGCCGACCTTGAAATCGCTGTCTTCCTCTTCGGGGTAATCTGTGATATCCAGGTCGAAGTGATAAGTGCGCTTCTCGGCACCAGGCTTCGTGAGCTCGCGCGCCGTGTGGATCTTGGCGGGAAAGACGTTATATGGAGGGTGAGGCTGGACGAATCGCGGCGGCTGAATGGTCGTGTCAACAGTCTTGAACCTTTCGAGTGGAATCTTGTTGAGCCTGGTGCTGTCAATCTCGTTATCGCGCTCCAGAGAGATTGCAGAATCTGTGGGAGAGGATGGGCTCGGCGGCTTGGGGACCGAGCTGAATGAGATGGTCTGCTCTGGGAGGTCGGCCAGCTTGGTCAGGGCGGCCGGGATGTCGCCAATCTTGAGGCCGAGGGACCGATAGGCGTCATTATCGGGCTCCGTGACTTTTTCGTATTCAATGCCAGCTGGTCTCGCGCCGCCCATCAAGCAGCAGCCACCGCCACAGCAGCGGGTGACAAACTCGGCCGTCGTCTCTCCCGTGATGCGTTGGATGTCACGAGCACTCTGGGCAATCAGTCTCGTTGAGGCGCGTCTCTGACGAGGCTGCTCGACCCGAATGGGCTCATCTTGGTCGTCTGATTCGTCCGAGTAGGTCAACGAGGGGGCTATAGACTCCGCCTTGGGAGCAGTGTGGATCGCCTCGTTTGTCCCGAGGGACAGGTTCTGCACTCGAGCAGACTGCAGCATTTTTGTTCTCGTGGTACGGATGTATTCAATAGGTCGAGCAAGAGACAAAGAAAGGAGTGAAGGAGAAGGAGAAGAATGATTAAAGGTTGTAAGAGTCAGCAAACAGAGGGCACTGCGCCTCTTTAGGTTGTGAGATCGGAATCGTCCGCCAAGGCAGCTAGAGGAAAAGAGGACAGAGGAATCCGGGGCTGCAGAGACGAAGTAACGGAAGATGCAAATGACCCGGGAGATTGGGACGCATGCACGGATGCGGTGAGCGGTCCAAGGGGACAAATTGAGTCGTACGAGAATCGAGGTTGGGTGGTTTGATGCTCGGCAGAGGTTTAAGGATTGCTGCGAGTGAGTAGGCAGGCTGGCAGGGTGGGAAAAATCCCGAGTACGGCTTATCCGAGGCTTTTGCTGTTTGATGGGGAAGCCCGCTAGAAAAATGCGCCGAGCCACACACGCAGGCAAAGACACAGTTTTTATTCGAATATTTTACGCATTCAATTGACCTGACCCCAGCGTCCGTTCTACGGAGCAGCCCACTCGACCCGCCCAATTTTCGACGTGCTTAGAAGAGCCCAGAGATTGATTACCAGGAAAGGCTCCCTGTCCCAGAGGCCCTGGGCGCTGCTGATTGGCGGGATGACCGTGCTGGGATGGGCGGTGGAGCTGGCCGTGATCGATTATTGGCGGACGACCAGCGCCACGATGAGCTAATGATGAATGATTGATTGCTGGGCACTGATTGATAAAAAATTCATGTTCCCACGCTGCACTGCACCCGCATTACTAGTGCTGGCGTACATAATCAGAGCGAAAAGCACACAGTGCAGTGCAGTGCAGTGCAGCAGCGCAGTGCAGCAGCGCAGTGGCAAGAGCCGGGCGCATTGCCGCTCTTTATCAATCAATGACGCATCGCTGTCGCACATTCCACGACGCTGTGGGCATCCCGCGTTTGTTGCCCGGAGAGGAGGCGTTCTGTTGCTTTCTCGCCTCCCTGGAATGCCAATTGAGAGATTGCTCCGCGTTAAGCCGGGTCCCTACTGCTAGTAGTTACTGAGTAGGAGCAGCATCAATTGCACCGATCGCCGGATCCCCCGCCCCATCTTTTGCAGGGACCCCCAACATTGTCGGGTTTTTTGCGCCTTTTAGACCTGGTTCAAACCTGGTTCTCTCCAGGAGACCCATCGCTTGCTGGAGCGGCAGGAAGCGGCAAAAGCGACCAAAACAGTAAGCTGCTGATCTCTGATTCCTATATCTCGATGCGAGCTTGCCTCTGCAGTTTCAGTTTACGCAGTAAAGCGGCCACAGCCACAGCAGTATCGATGTCTCGGCTGAATCGATCGGGAACTGTCTTTGCCACCACTAAACATTGGGAGCAAGCAGCGGCACAAATGGAAAACGTTTTCCCCTTCTATGGAGTAGAACAAATAGCACTAAAAAAGAAGAGAAAAAAAACCGGGCTGCCGTACAGTACGTACCAACTGGACACGGGCGTATTTGGGCTTGTGCTTCTCCGGGGGTTGGTTTCGCGTTACGCCAATCAGCACGCCGCTTGCGCCATTCCCAAACCGCCCAATGCGCGCCAAAGGGAGAGAACAGCAAGCAAAAAAAAAAAAAAGGACGCTGCGGCCATGCATGAAGGGCATGGGGGTCAATGCTGCGTGGGAGCGAATTATCTGATCCATCTTATCAATCCCATCTAATCGCACCTGCTTGTTTGCTCGGGCACATCTCCTTTTGCGGAGCCCAACATCACGGACGTGTCTCTGATTCAAGCATGCCGATTTCGGTATTTTTTTTTGTGTTAGCAAATAGTAGCAGTACGAGCCTTCATACTCCGCTTGTACTCTGTGATAATAATTTGCCATGTGCCATTTGCTGCTCATCTCACTATCCCATTCCTACCAGCCAAAGCCAATCGGATAGGTAGGTAGCCAAGGACGCAAATGCTGGCAAACAAATCATGCCACACAAACGCATTCTAGCCCAACATAGAGGATATCTTGTGCATAGTGCATGCCAAGCGCCCCCAAATTAGTACCAGCAAAAGGAAAGCAGAATAAGGCAGTATTGCATGAATGTCATCGGTGAAGCAGCTTCAATGTTAGTACGACACTCGGTGATACCCTGCAACAGCGGCCGTGTTACCTCAACACAACGCGGCCTCGTGTCTCAGCAGCCCTCCAGTAATCTAATCTCCCATCTGATAAGATCCAGCTGGAATTGCGGTGAGAAACAGCGATGGGGGAAAAAGGGACGGCTTGGCAGCTGTACTACGGGGTGTTGCACGCTTCAAGCCCTTCTCCCTATGTCAACGAACCCGCACTTGTACGACCTCGACCCGCCCTACGATCAAAACCGATCAGTCATGGCAGCCCAACAAAAAGTTTCCCTCCGGACGACTTCCGTTAGCCTTTTTATCCTCTGGTCCCAATAGTTTCTCTCGGCTGTTCATTGGCAAATGGGATTCATCGGATCTGCTACAATTTCCGACGTCTTGTGGTCAAGCTCACTAAGTGGCCTGATATTTCCCCCTTCTAACCCGCGTTCCGAAAAGCGATACTATAAGAGATTTGCGAATACGAGTGCCAATGGCTAGATGCCTTAAAGCATAGACTACCTACGTGCCTTGGCATTTCAAGAGAGCATGTGCTATTTGTTTTTCCTCTTTTTTGCTTCATCCGAGTGACGTCTAGGTTAACCACCCATGTAACTCTATTTGTTGCCTCAGCAAACTCTCGCAACATAGCCAAACTCAACTCAAATTAATAACTAACTAGAATCCCATGCTTTAATTTAAATCACTCCACCATTTTTAGTACACTGATGACATCTAATCTGAAGGTAAAGAATATTTCCTCAACGTGTTGTTCTTAATAACACATGTGATAGTCTGTAGGATATCCGAGTACATATGTATGTAAGCAATGCGTCATGTGACACACCCCTCCAAACTCCAACAGCCGCATTAGCGCACCGCTTTTAAGATACAACAAAAAAATATTGCGAAGAAGCAAAAAGAGAAAATCAAGACAAAAAACAAAAACATACAACAGCCGGTGTTCGCTGATGGTCACCCACTCAACTACTAATCTGCCGGTTAGTGGCTTGTCTATGGGGGAGCAGACGGGACCCCGAATTTTCCACTACCTATGGTCGTATGTGCTTGGTTTAGTGCTGAGTCTCCTTATATAGATATAATCCTAGGAGACTTGGGAAGAAAAAAAACAAAACATACAACAGCCGGTGTTCGCTGATGGTCACCCACTCAACTACTAATCTGCCGGTTAATGGCTTGTCTATGGGGGAGCAGACGGGACCCCGAATTTTCCATTACCTATGGTCGTATGTGATACTGTTGACTGCCAGAAGCACTTATATTACAGCTAAAACGTACTCTTGCGTAGAACGACATTCCAAGATTTTCACCTTTGCGCATGTATAGCATTACAAACCATGAGCATCCAAAGCTGATGACCAATGACATTTTCCGCAAGGAAGGTTGCAATTGGCAACCTTCGTAGATATTGGAAAGCTGAACCAAGATGGTCTCGTAAAGAATGTAGCGACCCGAGCCAGAGGAGGCGCGGAACTGAACCAACTGAAGCGCGAGTTCAAACCCCACCAAGTTTTAGTGTTCTCTATTGATTGCTTGTGCAACCGGCACAGGGTTCGTTATCAGCTCAGGAACAGCCCTATCGGAGGGCGACCCGAGGACTGGAGTCTTCTCATCGCATACCTCATGGTAGGCGCCGTCTTTATTATGGCTGGACTCGGAGAAATGGCTGCATTTCTCCCCGTAGCCCATGAACAAGGGTTTTGGAGGATATGCTAGCCGCATGGGAGACCTGGCGTATAGCAGCGCAGAGACATAAATGCTAACACGGCTCTCCGTTCGGGTTCGCAACCAGCTGGAATTTATTTTTCCACGGTAAATCATCGCGACGCCGTCAAGTCTGACAGCAGCAGGACTCATTATTCCATTACTGGAGGTCTGATCTAAACTTCGGGAACTAAATTGCAATTCTCGGAGCCGTCATCATTTCTATAAATGCATAACGTCATTCTTGGACAGTGGTGCCGTATGCGCGCTAGCTGTACAGCAGCGGAATATCCAACAAGGCTGACATGATACAATATTGGCAGCGTATAAGAGGGTGAACAAATGCTCCGAACGAGTTTCGATCCAATGAAGATGATTTGATGAGCAACAGCCGTATAATTAATTGGTGACGACAATTAGATCGGCTTGACCCTGTGAGGGTTTAAACTACGCTACCACAGCTACCTAAAAGTTGGAAGTCAAGACGAGGCAACGCACGTACAATTGACGTCATAAGCATTGGCCAGTAACACATCCATGAGCATATGGAAAGGCTATGATGTAGTCGATGTAGCCGCTTGGGATTGACCAGGTAATATAATGAGTCCAACCATCGTTTATTTCGAAGAATGTGTTCTTGTATCTGATCCCATATTTTACACACTAAGTATCTTACGTACCTACTACACGTACAATACTACCTATTATTAACTATCCAACAACCCCGAAACGTTTAATACTACAACATGTCGGACATCATCAAAGGTTTCTCTAACTTGATCGCCTCGATCGTTGAGATTTTCAAAGGAGTTTTCTCCACTGCATTTGGCGCGGTCGAGTCAGCCCTGGGATTGGTTGTGGGAATTTTCAGAAACCTCTTCAATGTCGCTGAAGGATTTATTGGCTTTATCATAGGTAAGGTCCAAATTCTGGTTGCTAGAATTAAACTAATTATGGCAGGAAACATCTTCGTTATTGGAACGATTGCTGCAGTATATTTTGCATATGTATTGTACCACCAACGCCAAGGGAGAGCTATTGCACCCAAATCACAATGAAGGGGGATTGACATGAATATTTGTATTATCTGGATATAAGAATAATCAGGAAACGATTGCATATTATATTATTAACTTATTGCTCAAAATGTTCGACCGTTGTGAAGACAGTTATGGACTCGTAGCAATGTAACGGCCACTATCAGCACTGCTCGATTATAAAAACCATTCTAAAGTGCTTAGAAAAGACCTCCCAAATGGCACATCGATGACTAAGAAACAATTTTTAGCTCTTGACATCCCAACCAGGCCATACTTTGCACCGCAAGGGGAATGACAGCCTCTGCACGTTTCGAGTTCGGCGAAACAGAGTTCTGGCTTGGTCTATGTAAGCTTCTGATCACAGACCTGCTTCGAATATACTGGGGTGGAGGTCGTTGAAATGACATTTGGCGATACACTGAATCCGAAAGGAAGAACATTCCCAGAGCTGTGAAGTAGACTTTCTCGCGGATTGCCGTCTTTTACATCCTGGGCACGTCTGTGCCAAGCGATAATGAGATGCCGGTTGATGCTCTTTTAGATTTAGAGCTACTAGGTGCAAAAGGTGGAAGACATTGCACTCAAGAGAAGTGCCTGATGGGACCCCGAGTTTTCCACTACCTATGGTCGTATGTATTAGGTTCAGGACATAGTTTGCCCTATATATGCATCTAGTATAGAGTACTAACCTACCTAGGCACACTAGTTCATAGCAGTGACTACAAATAGCTAATATAAAATAGCCAGACTCAAAGAGTATTGCCCCAAGCAATTGTGAGAGACGAAACAAAAGCTAATGCTAAAGGCATATCTAAGTGAGCTCGCCTATCTTGGTAGCTAGGTCTTTGTGTGCAACATTCAGAACCTGTCCAAGTCTAGTCCCGGTTGCCTCAATGGTTCCATCAATGCTTTCTCCAAGCGTGGTGGTAATGTCAACAACAGTGTCTATTTTCGTAGCAAGCTCCTTTTGATTGGCTTGGATGGTCTGGTTGATGTTGGTGTCGCGTTTTCCAATCATGTCAAAGATTTGGTCCACTTTTGCGGTAAAATTGTCAATGTCTCTTCCCGACGTTTAGTTTCCATTGTGACACTCATTATCATCCATGATTATTTTGATCTTCGCCAGATCGCGCGTCCATTCATCATCCCTAGTATCTTTAGCATACGATGCTATTTCTCTCCAGACGTCTGCGGCCGGGTAGCTTAAGGTCATTTCTGGGATGTTAACATTCATTGGGTCCATTATGATCAGTTGTGTAAGGTCAGATTTCACCTCTTCTTTCTAGGCTGTGATGTTGGACAAGTGTTCTTTCACGGCCCAGTGGTGAATCAGTTATCTAAGTGGCGCTAATGACCCCTTATTATAATACACCCACACAGATAATTCTACCTAACTATTATTCAGCACCCCAACTATGGCTTCAAGGCTATTAGTCTACCTATATATGAAACTGTTATATACACTTAGAAGCAGTAGAAGCAGTAGAATAGCTAGAGATTCGTGGCATTACCACGGCTGGGGTGTTGGCAAACGAGACTGGGGTGCTGAATAATAACTCCTTCATTCTATTGTAACATTGGTTTTGGTCCTTTCATTTCAAAATGGGCACCTAGTTAGTGGTCTAGCGTATTACATGCAGGCTGCAATCTTTTCTAAAACATCAACAACCTGCGATCGGAAGGCTTCCTGTAGTTTTAAGTCTTCCTTTGTATCATTAGAACATTGGAAGTTGCCTCTTAAGCAAGCAAGAACGACGGCCTGGTACTTTTCGCCCATCTTAGCTCCCAACCGCTTTTCTGCATGACGGATGAGAATCTCTGTGATTGTCTTCGTCTGTACACGAGCGAAGCCAGACTTCTTGAGCGCCAAGGCTGGCTGCCAGAGACCTGCCAGAGATTAGTCCAGGCTCATTGGATTAGAAAAGGGCACGCACCTATCTCAAGAAGCACAACGCCCATGGCGTAAATGTCATGTAGCTTGGTGAATGGCTGCGTGGGGTTCTGTTGGCGGTCCGGATGGCGGTAGATGTCTCGGGCCAGGCATGTGTCTCCAAGTCCTGCAGTGAAGTACGTCTCGGGGCGACTGAATTCGAAGCCTAGAACCCAGGGCTCTGCTAAATCGACTTGAGATATGGATATAGCGTTCTTCTCCCCACAACCACTCTTTAAGAAGAAAAGGACGTTTTCGCTTCTGAAACTCTCGTGGACCTTTTCGATAATTAGCCGTCTAGAGCATCATCTAGTTGAAGTAGGACACATACCCATTTAACAAGCTGCAGTTGGGATATACACCTGGAGAGCCTGGGCGCAAGCCAAAATTTCTGGCCGAGCGTTGGAGGCGGAGACTCGCTGGACAAGAGGCTCAGCAAGCTCACAGGGGTGGGTTCGACCGCATCAGGGATAACAAACATAAAGGCCACGCGGTTGTGCTGCATTTGGGAGACCCAGCCCTCGCAGTATGGCGTTCGGAAACCCATTTCTTTAGGCTGGTGTAATAGATTAGCCAAATTATTCACGAGATACCGAGTCCTGCTGCTCATCTCGACCGCAACAGGAGACCCTGTCTGGTAAGGACGATATTCTACAAGCATTGGCTTGTTTCTCCATTCCAGGACTCCAAATCGATCCTCCACGCTCTTCACATCCTTGAGCCGTTGATAGAGCTCAACATCCTTGATCTCGAGGCTCTGAGACATATCCTGAACCTGTGATGCCGCGATCTGGAGCCTGGCATCAATGTTGAAGCCCAGGGCCCGAGAATTATGGTCATTCTCAAGCCGTCGGAGATGCTGCAGGTCCACCCCTATTGCAGTCCCAAGACACCAGAGCTTGATGTTCTCATGTATCCGGCTATTCAGTTCGCCAAAATTTCGAACAATGGACTCAAGCCGCTTCTTATCGCGAAATGACCACCACAGTCGTTGCAACGGCCTAGGGTATTTAGAGGACTCATCACTTGGAGCTGGAGAAGCGGGCCTAGAGGCTATTAGAGGCTTCCGCTTCAACTTAAAGCTGGAGAATATTTTGTTTGGTGGTTTCTCAGGTATCTTGGAATCCTTGCCCTCTGCCGCCGTCTGCTGCCATTGATATAGGAGCTGGTATGCTTGATCCAAAACCACTACTGCCTCTTCGAGGAAGATACGTATCTGGTCCTGGACATCAGCGTCAAACTGCTCGAATAATGACTTTCCTCCGTAGATCTGCGAAATGTGAGCACACACCAGAGCAAGCAGATGATTAGTTGGACGCACGCTTGATGGCTCAAACAAGAGCATCTTCAATGCTCGATTTCTATTGTTTTCGTCCTTGATCTTGGTCTCTAGTGCCTTGCTATCCTGTTCAAGCGTTAGCTAGGCTTTGTTGATGCGCTGTTTGGATAAGGCTCGCCTCATCAAAATCTCGATAGTTTGCGACCAGTTCCGCGGTTGCTTCTCCCACTTTCCATAGTCGGTCCAGAACTGAGACGGTCAAGCCGGCAATAGCGAGAGGATCCATGGTTTCTCTGCCCCCCTAATTATCAAAATATGAATTTTTTGGGGGAATCTTGTTCTGCTGCAGAGACTGATGATGTTCTATAATATACATGAGCCTGGGCAGGGCTCCGCTGTCGAGGCGGGGTACATGCAGTGAGAGTGTCCATGGCGAGGCTGGCCAAACATCTTGCGACACGACTGTATGTATGCATGTATGCCTTAGGTAAAGTATGTGGCCAGACAGCGGCAAATAGCGTCCTGTGACTTCAAATGAGCCATGCTGTCACTAGAGCTGGTTAGCAGTCGTTATGCTCAGCTTCAATTTCCCCTTCCATAGCCCGTATTTTCTGAATGTTGTATTGAAAGTGACGCATTTACGAGAATGGCAGACGACAATAGAGACTGTGTAGTCTGTGGCAAAGTAAGAATCATCTCAAGAGGCTTAGTTCATTACTGACTTAATGCTGCCCGAGCCAGGATGAGGCTGCGTCGGTCGCATCAACTTTCAGCTGGAATACATTTCTACTTCGGACAAACATATCCAGCCTGACTTGCGCCAAGTTTTCCGAGCAGGAAACCCACTTTCTTCATGGCCTTGATGATGTCATCCGGGCCGTCAATGCTCTTGGTGTTCGTCGATACAGCCATGAAGAGATTGCTAGGGAGGAGAAGGTAGGCGAGGGCGCGACCTACTTCGTCGAACGCTGCGTCGTGGCGAATCAAGTCCTCGCCGTCAAACACCTGAAGACAAACTCTGCATTAGACGACCAGCCATCTCACCGGCGGCTGCGCGCAGTAATTTTGGAGCTTCAGATCTTGAGACACAGACCCTTACAGAACCACCCCAACTTTCCTTCTGTCTTCGGATACGACTGGAACATGAACGGCGGCCAAGTCATGCCTTACATCCTCGTCCAGTATGCCCCGAAAGGAACGCTACGGCAATATATAAATTCCACATCGCCGCCAGTCCCACGACAGGATTTGCAGATTCTTGCCGGCGACGTGGCATCAGCCCTCTCTGCTCTTCACACATGCGGTATTGTCCATGGTGATGTCAAGCTCGACAATGTCCTTGTGTTCCACTCCTGGGATCGGCCTGCTGGGGCCCTCGCAAAACTGACCGATTTCGGTCATGCCCTGGTTTTTGAACGACAAGTCCAGCAAGCACGGTGGCACAATGAGATATGTAGGAACGTTCATGTACAGGCTCTGGTCCTTCTTTATGGTTTGCCATACGCTAACCGGTGGACAGATACAACGCGCCAGAGGTTCATGAGCAAGATACCTTTCCTATCGACCGAGACGCCATGCCACAGTGCGATATCTGGGCGTTCGGCGTGCTTGTCTGGGAGCTCTTCCTCCTGGGAGAAGATCACCTCTCCTACAGCAGGAGGAGATGGCCCGAGGTAGAAGCGCGGATGTCGGAGCAGAGATTAAATCCGGCTGATGTGAGGCGATATGCCATGGCATCAGTGCCTGGAAAGCCAGAATATGTGCTGATTCGCGCAACCTTGTGTTACACCCTTCAAGAAGATCCCACAAAGCGAATTACCAACCTGGAAGACCTCCCGTTACTAACAGAATGGAAGTGAGTGTTCTTAAGTCGACTTTATTGTGGTTAATGATAAATTTGACTAACAAACATGCAAGTGATACTGGTATAAGTGGTCTCGAGTCAGGACTTGCGCTTCACCTCGAAAGCCCATCTCCTACGTTTGAAGTACGATAACTATATATATATACAATTTGTGAGAGGGACTAACATGTGGCAGATGTTTCGGTCTGAAAATGGCCGTGAAATTCCCTGGAGACACGAAGAGCAGATATTTCAGGCGCTCAAGCGCACACACGCCAACAAGAATGCCAAGGACAACTCTTTGGTTTCATGGCAAATTGCTCTCTGCCACCATGTCGGCTTCGGTACGCCACGGAGTCCGGCATCCGCAAGCCAATATGCGAAAATAGCCCAAGAAGAAGGGCACCCGGTCGCGGTAGCTTTTGCTACGCTGATGGACCTGGACTCTACGGGGCTGTCAGAACCCTACACGACAAAGATCTCGAAACTTCTTCGGTCAACTATTTCACCTCATAGTCTGCCCCCTGTGATACAGGCTTGCATTGACGGTGACTCAAAAATGCTCGAATCTCTCCTCTCTCAACAGGAAGATCCGAACTCTTCGACCATCGATGGGTCCACAATGTTCCATTGGTTCTTCATGCTGGAGAACCCAGAAGCCATGGCGAAGATGTTGAAGTCTAAGTTTGCGGGGCAAGTCCCTCTTCACTCAGACTTACCATTTTCATGCCCGAGGAAGGCTCACGATCAATGGCCCCTACAATTACTTGGGACCCCATTAGGGGCGGCAATCTCAGTCAACAGTCTACCTGCAGTTAAGGCTTTGATAATCCTCGGTGCGGATCCTTTATCTTACATTTACCGCAAAGAGGACTTTCCGGCCGGAGATCTGAGAGTACAATGGACAGCACTTCATATGGCAGCCAAATATCACTGCAGCGAGATCCTTCTTTATCTGATATCGTTAGTGCCGAAAGAGTCCCTGACAGCCATTTGCCCTTTAGCATGTGCTCTGCCTTTCTCGACATCACTAGAGCGTCTTTCTATGCATGGCGCTCAGCGACAAGCGGAGCTCGACAAAACTGTTGCCATCATTCGCAAGGTTCAGAGTCTCCAGACGGTTCTTCTGAGCGGCATGACAGCACTCACGCAGGCCATTGACTTCCAGGACTATGACGTGGTTGCTGCGCTTTTGCGTGCTGAGCCCAAGCTTGCGTCACGTCAACTGGCCTCAGTAGAAGACCCAACCGTGTTCAATCTTCCGATTCATCTAGCCGCGCAGCTTGCAGCTAGACGAGACGTTCCTGAAGCCTTGTCCATATTGCAATTAATCAATGAACACACCAAAGATCTCAACCCCCAAACAAAACCATCTCGCGATCATCTCGGCATGACTCTACTACATCTCGCCGTCACAGGGCCTTCCAGCCGCGCGACGAGGTGGATATTGGAGCAGCGGATCGGTTTGATCGAAGTTGAGGACAATCTGGGGAGAACTGCGTTACATTGCTGCGCATCTGAGGCCAATCTTGAACTTCTTGTCAACAAAGGCAGCGCCGTTATTCATACTGATAAGTATGGCATGAGCACTCTCCACAGGGCATGCCTGCGAGGAGAGCTGGACCTTGTCCGCGGTCTTCTGAAACACAACCAGCCTCTAGATTTGAGGAACAACAAGTACGGTACCCCCCTTCACTGCGCCATAATCAATGGCTCTATCGAAGTGGTCATGGCACTTCTGGAAGCCGGTGCGCCAATCAACGCGCAAGACAATAGAGGAAACACCCCGGTTCATGTCGCTGTTCGCATGGGAAGATACGTAATATTAAGGAATCTGCTCCAGAGAGGAGGCTCCCATTCCATCCAAAACTTTAATGGAAGGGATCCGGAAAATCTGGCTTCTATTATCGGGACTACTCAAAGCATCGTCGCACTCAGAATCTTACAGGGCGATCGGAAACTAAATTCAGAAGATTACCTGTTCTCAGAGTCAGCCAATTTTGGGTTTCTTCCACATTGCACATATACAGATGAAGCTCTACCTCCGGAGTTTTCTTGTGACACCGACAATGTCGCCCACGTGGAGCTTTCCGAGGCAAATGCTTCAAGCCTAGATGAGGCTCCGCCGCCAGATTTTTCTTGGGAAACCAATGATTTCGCTCATGAAGAGCTCCCTGAGAGCAATAGTTCAAATCTGGAAGAGGCTCCGCCTCCAGACTTTGCCTGGGATATCGATGAGTTCACGCATGAGGAGCTCGCTGAAAGCGATACTTCAAGTCTGGAAGAGACTCTGCGTCCGGAATTCGCCTGGGACACCGGCGATGTCGCCTACGAAGAGCCCCTTGAAAACAATACTTTGTGCATGGATGAGGTTCCGCCTCCAGACTTTGCCTGGAATCTTAACGATGTTGCTTACGAGACTTTACCCGAAAGCAATACTTCAAATCTGGATGAGATCGGCACAATGAGAAATGAAGAGCTGCCTACATTTCCCGATGTCAGGAAGGAGAAGAAGAAGCTTCTTGAAAAGCTTACGAATGCCATAGTCAAGGATATACCCTACTCCCAAAGAAGATTTTTTGGGAGCGTTACTACCATCAGATTGCATGCTCAGATCATTCCTTATCTTGATGACTCCATCTGGAAAGATAACGAACTGTCTGCTGTCCCTATTGGAAAAATTCTGGCCGGGACTGTCCTTGGCATCTGTAGAATTATGGGAATGGACGTGGACGATTTTATGAAAATAGAATTGGACGATTCTATGGATATGGATATGGAAGATTCTATGGATATGGATTTGGACGATGAGCAGCCAATCTCCTCTTCTTCATCTCGGAAAGGCTTTCGTATCGACAAGTTTGGGAAATGGCTTAATGATGGTCGATGGCCAATGGCGTTTTCGTCTTCGAAAGGCATTGGTATCGACAAAACTACGAAAATGCTCAACGACTATCGGCGGCCAATGACCTTTTTTCCGTCTCGGATAAGTGAACAAGACGTAGTAACAAAGCCTGAACAAAAGGCTATCGAATGAACACTCGAGATTGTTGAAAAAACAAAACCCAACTGGGCAATGCCGGGTAGGTCGCAATGTCATTTGAGAACCATCATCAATCACGAAATGGCCCGGATTCGAACAACAGGCGACACGAGCGCCTTCAACGCTCCCCTAAACGGGGGCCCTATGCCCATGGCCCATCCAATTTTGGAAAGCTCTTCCACCTCAGAGGACCGAAAGAGAACGCGGACCAAGCTACTGCAGAATAAGTGGCGCTATGAGCGGGCAACATACCGTATCATAGGGATCGCGGTGGCTAACTATACAATTCTGCGATCAGACCTGGGCATAATGGCTGAGAATAAGAAAAGAGAGATAGACGAGGAAGAGGAAGAGTGGAACAGCTGGCCCTTAAATACTCACGGCCTTCTTTAATACAGTTCATCTGGACACGTAATATCAATCTAAATAGACACAATAGGCCGAACCCAAGTTTTAAGCAGGAAGCTAAGGCTACCGGGGCCACTTTTGATTATCTTACTCTAGCAACCTATCATGGACATCTGGGTATTAAAACTTAATTTCAACATCCTTTTCTCTTAATAGCTGTGTATTTGTAATAGCCCCAATAACACGAGCATTGCCTATAGATGCTACTCTATTCCAATGCTCTACTTCTAGATAAATATCAGGCTCATCTTCTTCGATCTGCTCAGGGCGCATGAATAGCCAAACTGGGCATCCAGCATGCTCTCAAAGGTTACAAGCGTTATTCAGATGCTTGGGAGCTCCCAGAATAAGATGGGTGTATACACACATGCTACATACATCGCATGAAAAAATACAGATCCTGTACAGAATTATAGTACCCGCTATAGATTAGGAAAGTTCAAGTCTCTACTAGCATTTTTATCCAGAGCTAAATGTTAATCTATTAACTCTCTTGAGGTCTTCTTGGAAGACCCTTAATGAATTATCCAGCTGGTATCCAACAGCTATACTTCATTTACTTATGTCAAATAATATTTAATACTAATATGGTAAGAAAAAAAAAAAAGCTTCTTGGCAAGACTGTAATAGTCGCGCTGGCTACCGTCCTTCACATCATTTACCCTCTGACTAAACGAAACCGCATTAAAGTTGAGCGTCGCGCGTTTGACTTTACCATAACGAGTATAGAACCTGAATTTCTGTTCACTTTTCGCCTATAAAATATCATGGCGAACGATTTTCACTATTGCCAGTGATAGATCTTGACCCAGCACCATTGACACTGGTAGGATTGTAAGGAAAGAGGAAGAGAGATTGGAACATTGGTACTGCAAGGTATATAGCAGTGAAGGAGTACCTAGCCTTAATCACATTTTAGGCTTATTAATGCTTGCGTACATAAAATTTCAAACTAATATCAAACCCATCTTGTTATATTTCACTTTTCTTCTAATTAACACAGCCCGCCTAGAAGGAGTGTTCTATGCCTTAACCCCAGAATAATTTCTCCCAGACCTTGGGTATAATTTTCCTAAGATAACATGCTGACTCCGAGTTGAGTTCTTCGAGAAAACTAGAATATTTTCGATTCCGGGACTCTGGATTAACCTCTTCATAAAACATCAAAATTTGCTGATATTGGGACTCCAGATTTCCTTCTTCCGAAAAGCTAGAATATTGCCGACTTCGGAGTTCTGCTCCCTCAAATTTGCCGGTAACAATCCAGAGGGCATACGCCATATATGTGAAAAAGCATAACATACTGAAAGTACTAACGATAGTGATTTGGGGGAGAGTTTACATGTTAGCTCAAAATCTATCACGCAGACGAGAGGGGGCACCATACCTATCAGCCACACATGTATGCCTTGAAGCCAGATCTGAGCCCAGAACATGAGAAGTCCCCTTGATATAACAGGCCATTTGAGATAGAACTTATAGGGGATAACAAGCGGAACCAGGCTGATAATTGTCGCTTGTATGGATTGTGACTCAATAGATGAACCACCTTTGACAAAAGAGAAATACATGCTCAAGTGCAGTAACCAGTAGAAGGAGAGATATAAGGCTCCTTCGCTGATCTCGCTGTGATCAACCTCTGTTAAACTGCGGTTCGAAGGTTCGTATTTTTGAGGGTGGAATTTCCGGCACATTCTAGCCAATGCTGCTTTTAAGTGCAGAATGACTTTTCGCTGAATCCCTGCCCACATTATGGTACTGGCAATTAGTAGAACATGCGTCGCACCGGAATAAACGAGACTAGGTATAGCCATGATGTTCTTATTGGCCAGAGAGGCAATTTTGAAGATGGGCCGTTTGCTGTGGTTTTTATATAGATATACAAATCAAAGTTGAAGCGATGTAGTATGTGAAATAAAATGCCTCCGCTATTGGGGAGAGATATAGGCACTTATATACTCAAGGGGAGCCCCGTATTGCCGCCACTTTATTCTTAAACTTTCATGCTGCATCTGAGTTTTATCCAAGAACGCCACCAGCCACCAAAAGGGTTCTCTTATCAGTGTGGTTCTTTAACAGAAGAAAGTTCTAGGGAAAAAGAAAAGGGGGAGGGAGAACCGTAGCCGCGCCAGATGGTCGATTTTTCTTGAGGGGTGTCTCCGATTAGGCGACATCTTCCATAGATGAGTCTCAAATCGCTTGCCTCGCAACTGTTTGTTTCAGAGAGCTTATAGCACTATAGAACTCAGGGTTTCACAAGGAAAGAGGCGAGCTATAAGGATAGTTGAAATAAATAAAGGGAGCCGTTATCCAGCACCCCAGTTCAGTTATCCAACACCCCAAAAATAAAGAGAGAAGTAACATGTATCTAGCACCCCGATTATGTTATTTAGCACTCCAGCTGTAGCTTAGGCTGCTGCTGCTGCTACTGCTGCTACTGCTGCTACTACTGCTACTACTGCTACTACTGCTACTACTGCTACTACTGCTACTACTGCTACTACTGCTACTACTGCTACTACTGCTACTACTGCTACTACTGCTACTACTGCTACTACTGCTACTACTGCTACTACTGCTACTACTGTTGCTACTGTTGCTATTTTAACAAGTATTTGGCAGCTGTATATTTAACATATAAACTGGCTGCCCTATTATACTACAGTTGGGTTGTTGGGTAATGAAATTAGGGTGCTGAATAACTTCTCCCTAAATAAAAAGGATGTCAGGAAGAAAAAAAACAAAAACATACAACAGCCGGTGTTCGCTGATGGTCACCCACTCAACTACTAATCTGCCGGTTAGTGGCTTATCTATGGGGGAGCAGACGGGACCCCGAGTTTTCCACTACCTATGGTCGTATGTACATTGTTTCTATCTACTCTATATTATATGTGAATGAGTATAAGATTGAGTACCCCCTGAGAATGGTCGAGGAAGATTGCATGTCTCCCACCTAGGGCATCCTGAACCCCGTAATAAGTCAAGTTCATAGTTCGAACATGACTCAATAGCTCAACGCTCAAGCCTTCTACCAGTGAGGAGCTTTGATATGCTTTGTGACAAAATACGGTTGGCTACCACAAGAGACAAGGCTGCAAAATTTATATCAGCAAGGGATTTGAATGTGTAGGCTCGTCTCACGCCGATTCTTTTGGAGCGGCGGAGACGCAATGCAGGCATTGTGGCACGGCTTTCTTACAATGCCAACTCCAATGGCACGAGAGTCGTTGCAAAGGCAAGTGTGGTCGTTGCCAGGATCGACACGCCTTACAAACGACAAGGAGGTAAGGGGGAGTGCGGCAGATGCATTCAAGATCAAGAGCAATGCGACAGACCGTGGGTAAAGGATGAGAAGGATGTTTGAGTTTGATAAGAACGCTTTTATTCTATCAAATACCACAATAATTTCCGCCCACTCTATACACTTTTCTAAAAGAATCTCCACACACTATAATATTTGATTCTGTTTTTTTCCCCCTTAGTTCACGCCAGCGAGTGACCTAATTCCTATCTATTTGCCTTCCCTTTAATAGTGCCTATTCCAGCTCAATACTAGTAGTACCGGGGGACCTTGACGTTCTAAAAACAATATCAGCTCAAGAGTCGAGTCTAACATGGGCAAAGACATTTACTTACAAATCATAGACAACGCGGGACACACCCTCCACATGATTGCAAATGGTGCGTGAGACATCCTGGGTTTGATAGTTTAGCATAGATGTGAGAGTACGGTATACAGTTGAGATGTCAACTCACCGCTAGGAAGGAATGGTCAAAGTCAAACAATCTTTGGTACGAACCCAGAAACACCAACACTACGGCTAGTATCGAGACCAGAATAGGCTCACTAATTTTCCTAACTCATCCTAAGCTCGACCAAACTGGCTTTACCATATACTTACAACAAACATCTCCAGGAGAGCTGGGAACCCATGCCAGATCATGTCAAGACCATCTCCGACAGCATACAGATCGCAAACGGTATCCTCTCGACCGGAGCGGATGCCAGCTGCACTAGACCCAACCCTTCTCGCCACAGACCTTGCCGACTTCCTCGTCAGAAAGGTGTGCCTTTCCGCGAGACACATCATATTTCAGGACAAGTCGCGAAGAGCGAGGAGCTGGGCATTCCCATGGACAAACTCTCACTTGAACAACTAAAGGCTATTGATGGTCGATTTACAGATGAAGTCATGCATACGTTTAACTATTAGACAGGCGTTGAATCAATGTCAGCGAAAGGTGGTACTAGCCGATCAAGTATTCTAGAGCAGATCAAGGTCATTAAGACTATGTTAAGCTTCAGCATAGTCGCCATGATGATTATGTGAATTTAAAGGTGTAAAAAAAGACATTAAACTCTGGTAAAGATTTTATTTTCCGCTACCTTTGGTCGTATACATAGCATATGGCGCAGATAATGTCTTATAAACTTGTCCAAATTCACAGAGTCCCGCAATAAAACTGCCTTGTAGGCCGTCCATCACTCGTCAGCAGCCATTCAAACCAATACGGCATTAACAGATTATCCAATTGAGAGGAAAAAGACGCTTCAACATCCATCAATGAGCTTAATTCATATGTGTACGTATATATAGTAGCGGTATGGAATAAAAATGAAGATGAAAACAGTAAGATCATAGTAATGGGACACAAATGAAACCAATGCTGATAAGCCCAATGCCACGCTCTGCATAACACGCGATGAAAGGGTACTTGGCAAATGACGATGCTGGTGCAGTCGCTATGCAGAGAAGTGTGGTTGAAGAAAAAAAAAAAATAGAGTAGCAATAAGCAAAAATTATGCGGGCGAAGAAGAAATCAAAGGTATAAATAGCCTTCCCCTTTTTCTTTCACCTTTTTTTCCCAACCCAATACACAATATCCAATATAACGTCCTTCTTTTTTCGTTACTGTTGTACTTTTCTTTTTCGGTTTTCTTTATTTTTTTTTTCTCTTTTGCGTCATGACTTGTCGGCTTCTGCATCCATCTTCCGCTCCAAACTTCTGGTTGCGGCCGCGGCTGTCCCCTTGACAGGTCGTGGACTCAACACTTGAGGCACTGACTGTGCAATGCGAGTCTGTGATCCAACGGGCTGCGTCGAAATACTTTGGCTCGTTCCTCTCGATATATCATCCGTCTCCCCTCCCAGCTTGCGCAATAGCATCGCTGACTGCTGTTGAGCAAGCTTCTCTAATTGCGCTGTGGGATCCTTGTCAGGAAACTCCACGTCAGCTACCCAGCATATATGTGTAGTCTATTTAGCTGTTTTCGATTGATTAGTACGTACCCATTCGGCCTGTGACGGCACGCCCTCAGCTGCCGGCAGACCTTTTCCAGCGGCTTCACGCCCCCGAGGAACTGGGGCCGGTGTGACTGGCAAGCTGGGTCGCTCCGTCTCAGTAGGGAAGTCAGTAACCTTGAAGCCACGCTTTGTCTGTTCCTGTTCATCTTCGTCGTCGTCTACGTCCTCATCTCCTCCCTGTCCACGGCTGCTCGATCGGTGGCGCTTCTCAACTGCTTCCGCATACTTGGAGATGCCGGGGTCTTCATCCCAGGCATTGCCTCGAGAGTATGTTGTCCAAGATGCCGTGCCGGCCTCGCTCTGTTTGTCCGATGTCTTGGATACTGGAGACTTGGGAGGCGATTTGGTTACTGAGGAACGGGCACCCGAAGGCTTGGTGGTCGCAGCTTGCGGCTGCAGTTCTGGCTCATCACCGTAGAAGGATCTGGTAGCCTTGGTCTGCTTGCTTTCCCACGGGAAGATTTGTCGTGGTGCCTGGTTCTGGCCACCCCAGTTTTGAGGTGTATCATTTCGAGTATCAGCCAGGGAAGCACTCCTGATGTTTCAATCGTGTTAATATATATTCAAGGTGTGATAGAGCGTCTGAACACAAGAGAATCGTCATCTTACTTCTGAGCCTCGTAAGCTGTGTTATAGTTTCCACTGCCGTTGGCAAGCTGAGAAATTTCCTAAGTGAAAGAATTAGCAGTGTTTTTTTTTTTTTTTTTTTTTTTTTGATGTAATTGAATATTACTGCTGGAAACTCACCTTCTCGCGGTAGTGACGATCATACACGGCCCACCATCGGCCAACCATTTCGTCGTAGGCTGAGCTGCCATATGAGGCGTTGCGGCCAGCGCGCCAGGGCTTGTCCGGACCAATGAAGTGGACCATGTTGATGCTGGACTGGAAGTGTCGGTAGGCAGGGAGGTATTGGTAGTGCGCGGAAGGAGTGACGTTGTAGGTGAAGGGCAGACGGTGGAAGTTGTTCTTGAAGTAGATGTTGAGGAGACCCTGGTCGGCGCCATCGAAGGAGATGCCCCTCTCGGTCATGGCGACCATGGCGTGGTAATCACCGTTGTTGGGCGTCAGCGCCATGACACCAGAGTTGAAGAGGTCTGGCCAACCAATATCGGGGGAGGCCGCAAAGGCGTGTGGGAGGTCGAAGAGCTCGTCCGGAGCCCGGTAGGCAACGACGTCGGCATCGATGTAGACAATTCGAGAGAACTGCGTCTGCTTCCACAGGTTGATCTTGGTAAAGGCAGAGTGCAGATCAGCTCGGTTCATGAGGTACAGGTTGGCGGGCTTGTCATTGCGGATTCGAGGAACAGGCAAGACATAGTCGTAAACGGTCTAATTGCTCGTGCAAAGAGGAGAGAAGGCGCAAGTCAGCCAATTGTTCTCCAACGTACATTGTAAAAAACGCATATTTTGACTCAGAAGCGTACCTTGAGCTGGACAACAGCCTCGGCAGTCACACCGTCGAGAGTGACGAGAACTGCGAGCTTCTTGGTGGTTCCGGCGTCGCGCAGCGAGTGAGCAAGCACCAATGCGCCTGATATTTCGTTAGTGACAACACGTCTTAAAGAGTGATTGGCTAGAGAAAACTCACCAGGAAGGTAGGCATCGTTCAACAGAAGCTATATCAAGAGAGCCACGCCGCGGCGATAAGTCAGCTTGCCGTTCTTTGAGCTATATACAACGCAGATAACAGGCGGGGAAGGGAGCAGCAAGGACGAACCGTAGCATAAGCATGCTCGCCCGAGCTTGGATCAGCCATTATGAGCTAGATGAGCAAAAAGTTATAGCTAGATGCGCAAAAGAGAATGGAAGAAGACGTTGAGAGGGGTATTCCGCAGATCTCTGAAGACACGCTTACGGGACAGAGACGCGAGGAACGGCCTTTACGGAGGAGGAGCAGAGGGAATAAGAAGAAGAGGGGAAGGGAAGAAGAGGAGCTCCGGGAGTGGGAACAGCAGCGGTAGAAATAACGAAAGCGTTGGGAGGCAACAGTACGGTGATGGAGGTTGGAATTGGGTACGGCGCAAGAGGGTGGCGTAGTTTAAGGTGCCGTCGGGCTGGCGCTACTTTTTCTCGCCTTCTTGAATCGTCGATGCGACTGCGACTGCCTGCTGCTGCTACCTGATTGCTGCTAGGCCTGGCCGCCGCTCATCTACCCACAACCTGCTAAGCAGGCACTAATCCGCCTGCTCTGGCGCTGCCATGCCCATTGCCTGAGGCCATCTCCATCGCCGGCGGCACCTAGGCCATCCAGGTAGCTGTCTGTCCGAAAGCTGCCCTGCGGCACAGCGCCCATTGGACCCCGCCAGCCCACCTGTCATCGAGCTAGCAGCCACTAGGCGCGCTGCAGCAGCTCCTGTGCGGCCTTTCCCGGGTCCAGCTCGCTGATAGCGGACGGCTTGCATGATGGCTTGCAAGCGAACCAGCCCAGCCTGCAGCTGCGGCGATGCGCAGCACATCAGGCAAATGTCATGCACATGCTCGTATCGTATCGACGGAGAGGTTGGAAAAGGAGGGGGAGGGGTAAATAACTCGGAACCCCTCCAGCTCGTCGTCATTAGCCAACCACGTTGCTGCGAAATTTTCTCTTCGGTGCAGGCGAACGCCGTCCGCAGATTCGTTCGCGCTTTTTGAGTTCTAGATAACAAACATTGTGCCTCAACGGTTGATCGATTTTACCAACATGGCAGATGGGTCAAGCACCCAATGCTCGAGATAAGCAGATGCTCAACCAGTACTGGTATGTACATATAACTAGTGGCTTCTCTCTCTCTTTCTCTCACTCACATCTCAAGATATCAAAGGTACCAGGATAGAAACCGTGCCCATTTATACTAGCATCATATCCAATTCGTCACCTTTATGCAACATCCCACCCAAAGGCGCCACTCTATAAGCCAGACGTCCAGGCAGCTTGCAGAAAGCGAAAATTTTTATTCTCTCACCATTTCTCGCCTCCGCGCCATGCCATGCCCATGCCATGCCATGCATGCTTGCAGATGGCTGTGCATGAAAGAAAGAAGAGCGAAGGGGGAAAAAAGCTCGCAAAACAGCAACCTCTAGTGGCTTTCGCGACCTCCGCTGGGCCCCTCCCGGATGCTTGTTGCAGAAAGGCTCCGCAGTTGGGACTCATTGCTTCTGTGGTTCTGCGGTTCTGGGCTGCCGCGTCCTCAGATTTGCGATAATTACCTGCTGGGAGACGGCGCAGCGACAGCCCAACGCCGCCTTCGTCGGGCTCCCGCGCATGGTTTATCAGTTCCCATGCAAATGCGCGCAATTCTCGTGCGGCCGCGGCTGCTCCTCATCACGTCCCATCATGCTGCTGCGAGCAGTCCTGATTAGCTGGCTCGCCGTGCGTCTCCATTTGCAATGTACGGCGCGGCTGCACATCCAGAGTCTTGCTCGTCTCTCACGCCACGGAGATGGCTTCAAACGTCGGGCCGTTAATAATTCATGACAAGGCAACGTCGTATTTAGTGCCGTGCAGTCTGTCCATCCTCTCAACGGTCATCTCATTATCAATTGGACATCCCCCCTCCTTTTATCCGTCGAGTCATCCGGATAATGGAATGGAATTGATACCTAAACGCAGGCCACATCCGGCCGCCTCGACGCTTCCTGTAGTAATTGTCGGGCAGAATGGCTCCCCCTATCTTTCCGCATCTGTTTGTAGACGCGTTCTTGGCCTTGCTTTCGAGATGGGGCAATCTGAGCTGCAGCCTTCGAATACTACCTAGACCGACCCAGGCGTCTTTAGGTCAACAAGGATGCGAATAATCATGGCAGCTCTCCACTTCGGCTATGACCTCCTCTTCGTCAACGATTTAGATTCTCCGTATTAGTCTCCACTGCATCGCTTGCTCCCCCCCGCACCTTGGTATGCTGGGAGTTGCGTCTGCTCGAGAGCCAACCAACAAAGATGTCGTGGCTGCGAAACCTGCAGGATGTCCAGTTTATATGGTCTTTTCTAACGTCTCTTTCACATGCAAATTTTGACAAGGTTATAAAATCACAGATATTATGACTGAGTAGGTAGTCGTAGCCGATACACTAGTAGCAGTAAAAAGTCCTCCGTTGTGCACCATCATACTCTGGCCCCTCTTCCGCAAGAGCTAGGATGCGACGTAGAGCAATATAACAATATTCAAAAATGATACGATACTAATGCGCCTATGACTCCGTGGCATACCCTTCACTTCGAAATGACGAAACAGCCGCAGATATGAGAAGAAAAAAAGCGTGATAAATCAAGGGAGGGGAGAACAAAAAAAAGCCTCTTTCATGCATGCATACTGCAGTACAAGTCTCTCGCAGCAACCTCAAAGGTCCTTCTTGTAGGCGTGCTCCGGCTTGTGAGTGGTCTCGTAGTCAATATGAACGTAGGCCCGCTCAACGTCGGGCAGGCTCTCGAGCTTGAACTGCAGCTCTTCTGCGACATCGTGCGTGTCTCTAAGCGTCCGCGATGCATCCATGACAATGTCCACTTCGGCAATCAGCCGCGGTCCCGAGTGGTAGACTCGAACCGTATCAATGCCCTCAACGGCATCCGAGTGGGTCAGGCACACATATGTGATGAGCTGCTGCATGTCTAGAGGCGCAACAACGCCAACCAGTAGCAGGAACTCGTTGAAGGCAGTGTAGAGCCAGATGCCAGAAGTCAGGAGAGACAAGAGAATAGCACCGATGGGATCAATCCACCATTCCAGCTTTGCACCACCTACCGAAGTCAAGATACCAAAGCCATTAACAAGCAGATCGTTGCGGTGATCCTGCCACAGAATGTTGACCTGGCTGTATTTGTCCTTTAGAGACCAGCAGTACAGGAAGAGGCAGAATTTGGTCGCAAAGGCCGCACAAACGGAGATGACCGACGGGAGATGGAACTTCTTGTCGCCATCCCCGGAGGCTAGCTCTCTAGCTGAGAAGGCGATGATGATGAGGGCCACGGCGCTCATGAGAAAGCAGAAGACAATGTTGCCCACCGTCTCGAGTCGCGCCTTGCCAGCAGGAAAGCGTCGCGGGTCCACCTTGCTAATAGCGCGGTTGGACAGAATGAGAGCGAGGGTGCTAAGCGGGTCAAAAACAGCATCCGCCATGGTGGTGAACAGAGACAGCGATCCGGAGGTGATGGCGGCATAGAGCTGGAGGGCGGTGAGGACAATGTTGGCTGCAAGCGAGCCATAGATGGCAATCTTGACCTTTGTCTGGTCCTCCCCTTGCTCGACACGGGCTTCCTCTACGTGCTCTTCAACCGACTTCAGCATTCGCTCGATGGTGGCGTTTTGATTCTCGTAAAAGCCGCGGACTTTGCGGTGGTCGCGCTTTGGGCCATTTCCCTGGGCTCCATTGGCACCTCGCTCACTGTCCCTCTTTCGAGATGAGTTGGCCTTGATTTGCTCGAGATCCGAATCCGTTTTATAGGATAGAGATAGTCCGTAGGGGTCGCTTTCGGCTGATAGACGCGGAACGCGAGAGTTGCGGGTTGCGGTGAACTGGCTCTCTACATCGGTGAGGGCGGAGTGGTGGCGCTCGACCGGATCTTGGTCCTTCACTTCGAGAGCCTCGACGCCGGTGCTAGAAGCATTTGGGGCGGCAGGTCCTTTCGAGCTGCTGCGGCTGGAGCCTGGTTGCAGACGCTGGAGGTTGAAGACATTGGGGTGGTGCGTGATGGTGTTTTTTGCGTCGGGCGTCATGATGGGCGGCCGAGCGTCTCTAACTTGACTGTGAAGAGAAGAAGCTGGCGAAATCAACCAAATGACGGCAGCGATGATGGGAGTAATTCTCCGTCGTCGGGGTTATCCCTTTCACCGGTGCCGCCGGTAGAGAGGCGGGACTGCGCGTGGGGGTTTGGCACGTTCCCACCAAGGAGGCCTCTGAGAAAGTCTTGGCTGTTCGACGCAAACAAAGAGAGCTCCAGAAAGGCCAATGGATCGATAGTTCGATTCTGGATAGGTATGGATAGAACAATCAGGATAAACAATCTGGCGCTAGTAAAATCTCGATGATGCTGAAGGTGCAGGCTGGATCGCGATAACGCAGGTGAGCGATAGATTTACGCAAGGGGCAAGAGAGTGGTAATTTGACCGAGACAACAGCTGTGGAGAGCTCTCGCACTGGCGCAAGCAAATAAGGGACACAGTCAGCGCAGACGTGGGGCATTTCTGGTTGAAGGACGAGGATAAGCTGAGGTGGAAGAGACGAAAAGGTTGGTCGGATTACTGTGTTTTTAGCAAGGCCTCAAATTGATGGATATGGCAATCTCAATACGAAGTAGATGGGGCTGGGTGAGGAGAGAAACAGGGGGCATGGAGCTCTCGAGCGGTGAAGTCGCCACCGGCCAAGTTTGACGCAGGCAGTACCTACAGATCTACTGCCGTATTGTGTCGCCCCTCAATCTCAGATGATGTTACGCGTTTGCTTGCTCGTTAAGCAGCTTCAGCAAATAACGTCAACGGATGAGCGCACGCCGATCCCCATTGTGGCACAAATGACTAAGCTCCGAGGCTGAGCTGTTGTGGGACATCAACGCTTGTTGAGACGTGTTGCAGACGAAGAGATCTGCTTGCAGAAGCAGCAGTGCCAGCGCTCACGCCAATTCGACATGATATAACGTCGATATTGAAGAAATCTGTGTAACAACAGTTGAAATAACCTTTCTAGATGCAGTGGAGATTGCCTAGATCTTAAATAGATCTCGATTCAGCTTTAGTAATGGCAGGTCGGGCAACTTCGGAACCATCCACGCTTCCTTCCATTCGCGGCTCAACTGCCGACCCACGCTGCGCCTCAGCCCGTTGCTGCAGAATATTATTCGTGGATGCACAAAGATGCATATGATGGCGTTCTCCTGTGAATTTAGTATTAGAGAGATAGACTACTAGTATATATGCAAGATTTCGGTCATCTTCATATCTTAACTACTACGGCCTGATTGTCCGAATAGCCGAATTCTACTAGGTATATGCGAGAGAGCTCAATGGTCTAGCACAGCAAATAAAGCGACACCAGCGTCATCAGCTATCCTGAATTAAAATGTGAGATTAAATGTAATATAATAAAACGCCTTGATGCAAGCTTCGCGACAGCACGACCCATTTCCAAACCGCCCACCCCTTACAGCTTGGGCTCTATCTTGGATCGCTTCACTATCCAATCAATCACATCCTTTGTGAACTCGTCCTTGCACAGATCCGCATGAAGCTGATGATACCCGCCCTCGTAAGACTTGGTCTCCTTATCCTCAACAGCCGTCTGCCCATTCACAAACTTGACAGCCGCATCATAACTGCACGTCAAGTCATTGGTGCCATGCGTCAAAAACAGCGAACGCACATCGGCCCCCAACTTGACGCCTCCGCCTGCCAGCGTCGCCGTCCGATCCAGCAACGCCGCCAAGCCCTCCAGCGTGCCCGTGTTGTGGCACAGCGCATCGTTCCTAATCGACTCAACCACCTGCGGGTCGCGGCTCAGATGCTCCGGAGGCACCACATGCTTGAGCTGCTGCCGCGGCAACAGGCGTCCGACCAGTCTCCCGACAAACACCTTGAGCGAGCTGGGCACCTCGGTGGGCGAGAAGCCGATGAAGGGCGCCTCGAGCACCCAGCCGCGGATCTGGCCCACCAGCTGCTTGTACTGCGCGTCCCCCGCCAGCGTGAGGACCTCGCCGCCGCCCATGGAGTGGCCCATGACGAAGACAGGCACGTCCGAGGGCAGCTTGTCCTGGATAAAGGCGGCCACGTCGGCCACGACCCGCGCCGTCGGCCCCGTGAGGCCCTTCTCGGCGGGCTTCGTCACGCTGCGGCCCCAGCCGCGCTGGTCCCATGCAAAGACCTGGATGCCGTGCTCGGCGAGCTTGGCGAAGAAGTCATTGTAGCGGTTGATGTGCTCGCTGAAGCCGTGGACGAAGATGACCTTGGCTACCACGGGGTTCGTCGGCTGGATGATGGAATTAGCAGGTTTGTTCGGGGGACGAGAAATCACATGCTAATATTGATGTTGAAAAAGGGGAAAGGCGGGTAGACGAACCGTCCATGTCTTTGTGTAGAAGCTCGCATCGCCGACCTTGAACTGGCCCTCAGTAGTCGTCGCCATGATGAATGAATGCTACCAGGCGACTTATATACAAGATACAGTATAACAAGGGACCTGAAACGACGCTCCCTCCGGTTGATAAACGATACAGTGAAAACAATGGGAGGCGCCGGAATAATAAGCAGAGCTTGACAAGGCGCTGAGATGCACCTGTAATGTCACTGTGGGCTAGTGGCTTGTCCGTCTGCAGCCGGAGCTGTGCCTAACTGGATCGGGTCCTGAGCTGGCCTTTTCCTTTTATAGTGGAGCTTCGGGTAGATCGTCAGCTTCCTCGGTAGAAACTATTTCACAGCTCGTCTCAAGTTATGGAGGTTTGTGCTTCTACGTTGGTGCTTTCGAAGTGGTGTTACCAATGGACACCGCGTGGTTTTACAATATCAAATCGTCCCATATCCAATATTCCAGCAAATAGCCTCAGGTAATTTAGCAATGCAAAACACATCACCACGCCATAAATCAAAGATTTCTCATTCGTTAAACTCTTTCCTCCTACACTGTTTGCTCTTATATATAATACATTTTGCACAACTTGCTATCCTCAAGACATTGTCTCCCGAAATACGAGTCCGAGTGGAGTTATTACTACTACCTTGCCACCTATAGATCCGTAGTTTTCGTCCATGTCGCTGCCCACAGGGGACAAGCTGACGTCTTATGCGTAAAAACAATCAGTGTTTAGCTCTGGTACGCCCTTTTGAACCCGCCGTAGATAATATACAAGTTTGATCAGTCAACACAACACAACTCAACTCAACTCCATTATTTTGATATTTTTGGTTTAGTTCGTGAGTAAACTCAGCGTTTTGGGACCGAGTTCAAGGACGCCCTGATTTATCTTCTGTTGATTGAGCAGCCTTCTCTCGGTTCGCTTCTTCGGTTTCTTCGACAAATCGTTCCGCGTCCTCGTCTCTAGCAAGGTCGTCTTCAATCTCCTCAAATTCGGTGATGTGGCTTGTAGCTTCCGTTGAGGGCCGCTTTACCGGGATCTCGCCGCCGCTCATTTGCCACTCCATCAGCTTGCTAAAGGCGCTTTCTTTATCGGCAGCAAGCTTGACGTAGCTGCCAATCTCCGCCACCATGCCATCCTTGTTCAGGACGATGATGAGATCAGACCGTTTGATCGTAGACAGTCGGTGGGCAATGGATATCGTAGTGTTATTGCCTCCGAGGAGCTTAGCGAGGGCCTCGTTGACCAATGTTTCTGATTCCGCATCGAGAGCTGAAGTGGCCTCGTCAAGAATCAAAATATCAGGGTCCTTGAGCAACGCCCTGGCTATGGCAATGCGCTGCTTTTGGCCACCTGAGAGCTGCGATCCACGGGCGCCAACCTGGGTTTCTAAGCCGTCAGGCAGATCGCTGATGAACGTACAGTTGGCTCTCCTAGCAGCAGAGATGATTTCCGCGCGGCTTGCATGTGGCTTTCCGTAAGCGATATTCTCGGCAATAGTACCGGAGAACAGAACAGGCTCCTGAGACACAACGCCGATGCGTCGCCTTAGCGATTTGACGTTCATGGTCGAGATATCAACGCCGTTAATGGTGATGGATCCGGACGTAGGATTGTAGAATCGCAATAACAAAGACGCCACTGTGGATTTGCCGCCTCCAGATGGACCAACAACGCAGACGTTGCTTCCAGACGCAATCTCAAAATCCAAGCCGTTGAAAATTTTTACAGCCGGTCGAGTAGGGTAAGCAAAATGAACATTGGAGAATCGTATGTTGCCCTGGGCAGACCTGACGGGAAGTCCAACTGTCTGATGAATGTTGGGCTTTCGATCCTGCAGTTCGAATAAACGGCTCGCAGCGCCAACACCCTTCATAAGCTCCGAGTAGAAGCCTGAGAGACCAAACAGACTGGAACCTGCAAATGCGGTATACATCATGAACGAGGTCAAATCTCCCAAGGACATGGCACCGGATCTCACGAGATTTCCTCCAACAACAAGCATGGCTAGGAGGGTCATGTTGCCGGCCCAGCCCGTCGAAGAAAAGAACGTTGCGGCAATGTATGACTCCTTCCTACCAAGAGCAAAAATCTTGCGGACCTGTTTGTTGTACCGTCCAACCTCTTGAACCTCTCCAACAAATGCCTGGCTGGTCTTGATGTTTCCGAGTCGCTCTTCTGCGATTTTTGTCAGGGTACCGAGATTTTGCTGTATCGCCCTGCTCACGTTTCGAATAGCTCGTCCGTAAAAGAAGGCGCCGATAGCAATGGGCGGAAACATGAGACATAAGATACCGGTAAGCTTGGCACTTGTCCAGATCATGATTGCGAATCCGGCGCCGCCACTGAAGATTGCTCGAAGACCATCGCTCAAGTTGGACGTAATGGACTTGCCAACAATGACCGAGTCAGATCCAAGTCGCGATATGAGATCACCAACCCGGTTAGCATCGAAGAATTCGGCATCTTGAACATAAGTCCGCCTGTAGAGCTGAGATCGTAGTCTGGCGACAACTCTCTCTCCAATGATACGCAGCAGAATGATTCGTCCAAAGCTGGTCATTGCGCCGAGCGTCAGAACTCCGCCCAAAGCAATGAAAAACTGATTCAAAGAAAGGCCAAAGATGTCAACGTCGTCGATGCTGCCCTTGGTCGAGATATCCAAGATGCGTCCAACGGAAAACGGGATGAGCATGGTAACGCCAGAGGAAACCACCAGAAAGCAAAAGGCCAAACCTAGCCAACGAGCTTCTGGCTTGGCAATCGAGAGCAATCTCCAGATTTCTCTCATGCCAGCTTTTGCCGGAGCCTTTCCTTCTTTTGACAACCTAGCAGCCAGGTTGACATGCGCCGCATTAGCTGCCCTTTCGCTCTTTTGGAATTCTTCGCTGGTCTCGTTCTCGGCGTCCTTTGCCTGCTTCACAGGCTCTACCGTCCGCGGAGTCGCATCCTGAGAATTTGATTGAAGTTCCCGTGCAGCGGGCGAAGTGCTAGAGAAATGCCGAGCCAGCTGTAAAATGTGTCCATGTCCGAGAGGTGATTGGGCTGAAATGCCAGAGTGCGATTGAGTCGTCCGTAAAGATCCTGCAAGAGTATGAAATGCGGCGGGAGTAAAAGCGGGAAGAGAGCGCGGAACAGCAATTGAGGGCCCAAGGAACTGCGGCTGGCGCACAAGAGTTTCGGAGGTCGAGAAGCATTGCGACAAAGATGCTCGAGCAAAAGCTGTTGATTCTTGCGCCTGCGATGCTAGCCTGGGAGGCAGCGCTCTTCGCAGCGCCCCGGCATTCATGTTAACCGAGGGGACCTTTATTCGGCCGCCCAGCGGTACGGCATCGAGTAGCTGGGAGCTGGATGGAGGGGAGAGCCGGGATCGGTGCTGAAGGAGAGAAATCCGGCGACAAGTTGTAAGGAGAGCAAAGGTAGAGAAGAGAGAGAGAAAAGAGGGCTGGAGCCAAGGATTTCCGCAGCTGTGCTAGCAGATACCGTCATAACTAACTCGCGGGATTTACAGCTGAATGCGCTGGAAGCCTGCGCTGCATGCGCCAGTTAGCAGCTGAAGCGCCGTAATTAGTGGGCAAGGCTCGGCCGAAAGTCGGTAGTACGTGCATTCTGCTGCGCTCCGGATCCCGTACGGGCCTGAGGCCGAGCTCACAGGTCCGAGATCCGATGCTGAATTGGGCCAGAAACGGCGAATTGTGCTTCACGTCACGGCGGCAGTGTTTTACGCAGGGTAGTGCTGGATCTTTATATGGCTGCAAGCCCCTATAGCCACTATCACAAGAAATACTATATAACCTGTTCATGATATCGAGGACCGAGCAGGCCTCAGGACCCAACTACATGGCAGTACCCAAGGAGCTCCTCCAAGGGGTTGAACCGCATCCGGCTTTGACATGTTGAAAAGTCTTGCTCGGCAACTTCGCAATAGCCAAGCCATAGCTGGTACTGATATTCGACAAGCTACTATAAGTGAATCGATCAAATCGCATCGTAAGATCTGAAGATGATGTTCCGCCACCGCAGTTTTGATAACCCTACTCCATTTATAGAAAAGCAACAGCATCCTCTCTTTAAATCAAACATCGCTGTTTTCTTTCAACATTTCTGCCACTTCAGGATCTATCTCGCCATCGTTTCCGAGATCGGGAAAGTCGTCCCCATCGTCCACTCGTCGCCTTTTATTAGAGCCGCTGGTCGATATGGGTAGTGACTGAGTGAATGTGGTGGAGGGCTCGGTTGCTGAAATGTCCTCTGAAGACTTCACATCCATACTGTCTTCAGTATTCTCGACCGCCTCCGGCATAGTGTCGTCAAAGTCATCGTCCATACCAGGCGGCGTCAGAGCTTCCATTTCTGGGCGATCAAGCTCGGTCGGTGGGCTGCCAGATTCCCCTTCCGCGTGAGACCCATTGTTTTCCGCAGGTCCAAGTGCTCTCATGATGGCAACCTCGACCTGCTGCTTCTTATCTTCAATCTCTCGTTTGCGGGTTGAGAATTCGAAAGCTGTATTCTTCTCGCTTTCCAGAGCCGCTCTATTCGAATCCAGCATCTTCTCCAGCCCTGAGATCAGGCTCTCTCGAGCCTTAACGCACTCAGCCACTGCGCTCTCTGCACTCGCAAGGGTCTTGAGCAAGCCATTCAGGCGAGCTGCATAGACCGGCGCTGAAGGAACCGGCACTGAAACATCAACTTGCTTTTCATACTCTTGATTTGCGGAGGCGATAGTCGTCTTCAGCGATACGCTGAGCTTGGTGACCGTCTGGTGAGCTGATACAAGAGGAGTGAACTCTGAAGGCACCGCCGCAGATGATCCGCCGCCAAATGGGGAGCCTCCAAAACCAGGCTTCACAGACCCGCGAGCTTTGTCCAGTTCTAAGATCGAAGTTAGCATCGGCAATTCTTTAATGAACGGTCTCGAAGATTCGTACCATTTAGTCGCGATTCGATGGCTGCCTGAATCGGTGCCTCGAAAATTGCCCTGTCTTTCCAGACGTCAATCACTCGTCTCAATTTGCCTTGAATTTCAGCTGGCGCTCCTTTGTAGGCGACTGCAGCGGCTTCTGCTATCACAGGAGAAAATGCGATGATGAAGTCCTCCTTGTGGCGAATCCTAGACTGCTGGGCAACCTCTAGTCACATATTAGCATCTCTAACTATGTATATATAGCAGGCCAAAGACCGCAGTTTGAAATTATTATTCTGTATAATCGTAAGGAACGCATACCATTGGCAAGATAAACCAAGCTTAATCGTTTCGTACTAGAGGAGTCTTTGAGTCGTTGCATCCAAAGGGCTACCGTTCGATCTGCGTGTCGTCTAGATAATTGGTGGGGTCAGCGCACATTCTCTGGATAGACGTGTTGTTATTCAAAAGGAAAATGCATCTTACCTATGAAACATGATCCATTGAGCTGCGGTCGCAATGCTATCATGGCTCTCATTGAGGGCTGACAGACGCGCCAGCACGGAATCGTCGTTGTATGCCATTATGACGGCTATGCTCGAGTTGAAGATTGCGCCCAAGGTTTTATTGAATACAATGAAAAAATGCCACCTGAAAATTTATAGGCGGTGCGCCTTATTGGAGTAGATTTGAGTTGCGACGCGATTGGAAAGAGTCTACAGCAACCAGTGGACCTTGGCCTCGAAGCTCAGCTACAGGCGTGCTATCAACTAGGAGCTGGGCAATTGAGGCGAAATGGGTGTGAATAAGGGGATGCAAATCTGGCTGTGTGTGTGACAGCTCAACACAGAGTAGAAAATATATAAATAAGAGGCTGCAGATAGAATGGAAGTAGAAAATAACTTCAAATGTCAAGAAGAAAGTTTGACGCAAGCTGGATGCTCTGGAGTCTTATCCGCTAGAAGACTGGATAAATGCAATGTTGGCGCGCTTGTATGGCCTTATGCAATACCATGCGCCCAGAGCTACGCCTCAGCAGCGCTCACCGCCCGGCAGAACGTGGCAGCAGTAGCCAGGGACAACAGAGTGGTCACTGCTAACGAACGCTCTGTTTGTTTCGCAAGCTAATATTAATCCGACCACTACACTCTCCTTTGACTGGATCTCTGGATTTCTTCGTTATCAACTTGCGTTTGGCAAATCATCAAGTGTTCTCGAATCTAGCTACTTTCGCACAAATTCAAGATGGCCGACCGTTTCCCTTCTCTCGAGGACTTCGACTCTGGAGGTAAGCTCCTGAATGGACCCAGGCGCCTTTGCTTGTGGCTGACCATTGCTTTCCAGCGCAAACCGATATCAAAGATGTTTCCGACGAGCCCTCCGCCGAGGATTTCCTTGCCAGAGAAAAGGCTCTCCTAGGCGATGATGCGAATCAGTTCACGACCAGTGATGACGCAAACGTATTGGCTGAGACTGGTGGAGACCTCTTGGGAGAGACCGCCGCTGCCGAATCTTCATTCGAATCTCAATTCCCAGACCTCGCCAACCCTGCCGCTGTGCGTAAACATTGGATCTTCATACAAGTCGTGCGACGCTAATAGGACTCGTTCATTTAGGGCCTGGCAGGCGTGGATGGGAACATCATGACCGGCCCTTCTGTGAGCTACAACTCCGGTTACCAAACATATGCAGCCGATGAGGAGGAGCCAGAGGTCATCAAGCAGTGGAGAGAGAGCCGAGACGCGCAGATTGCGAAGCGGTCCGAGCAGTTCGCTGCTCAGCGAGAGGAGACGATAAAGGAAGCTCAGCAGAACATCGATGACTTCTACGACAACTACAACTCCAAGAAAGAGAAAGGCATTGCGCAGACACGTAAAGAGGCAGAGGAGTTCCTTGCGAACCGGGAGGATACCGTTTCTGGTGGCACGAGCTGGGACCGCATCGCAAAGCTGGTTGATATTAGCGGAAAGGGGGCCACTGGCGGAGCCGCCGGATCTGGCAAGGAGCGTTTCCGTGAAATGCTCATGAGTCTGCGCAAGGACGAAAAGGCACCAGGCGCAACTGGCTACTGATTTTTGATAGACTGAATTTACGACCAATTTAGTGATATTACAGGGCTTGGGTCAACAGGCGAGGAAGGGCCGGATATCTGTTATGCGACTTATTTGATTCGCATTCTCTTTTTTTTCTTCTACCACGCAAATATTATATAGTGGCACATGGGAATAATGGCTACGCATAATTGAAAGAAAGAAAACTTATGGAATACCAGATACAACGGGCAAACAAAATGATGGCGGGACCAAGCTGAAGGAGGTGTAAAAAATGGACCGACAAAATCCTATATTTACTGTCTATAAGACTGCAACTCATACAAGCTCCCAATCCCACATTTAATGCAAGTCGGGGCAAAATCAATTGGCTCGTCCCAAATATATGTTGGTAGCTTAGTCCTTGCTGAACCAAGTGTTGTGTCCAGCGACCTTTCGGCTGGCGGCGTACAGGGTAGCTATGACTCTTTAGTTTGAATCCCGTAACAATTGTTTCAATCGTAGACTCACCACCGAAGCCTCCCCAGAGGGCAGCCAGGTAGGGAACCATGTACCAGCGGCTGCGTGGGTTCTGACACTGAGTTAGCATTGTTCCGGCGTTTGCGATATCGTCGATCTGTGCGTACAATCATCCACAGACGGGTGTGCGCCTTGTAGGCCTGCTGGTAGAAGCGCTGGTGCTCCGTCACCTTGTTCTTGGCGTTGATCATGCTATGATACTGCGTCAGCCGAAGTCTTCGAAGCTATGTGCATGATGCAGAGGCGCCGCGCGCCCCGCGGGCAGGTTGCAATTGGGGGTTTCCGCATGCCCTGATTTTAGAAAAGGCCGTACCTCATTTTGGCGGTGGGTTGAAGATGCTTGCTGGGCTTCTCTTCTCAAATGTGCTTCGTTGTAGAGGGATCTTGAGGTTCGGAACGGCAGAAAGAGCCTTGGTTAGAGAAATGAGGCCATATTCTAGCTCGAAGTGGGTAGCTGGATGACTCAGCAAACCGGGCCATCAAAAATGCACACAAAGTGGGAGTGGGTAGGTGCCGAGCTAGGAGCCGCCAATGAGAAGCGCTGGAGTGAATATCAGAGTCCAGTAGAATCTAACAAAGGCTTCGACTTTTGTTCCGTTCGGATTTACAGCTGTGACATCGCATACCCAAAGCGCCTCGAGCGTAACGCATTATTGGCGGTGCCGCAAAAGCAAACATCCCAATGCGGTGATAAGCACCAAAGCTCGGCGGCCTGCTGGAGACGAGACAATCCCAGGAATGCGAAGAGCCTTGCCGTCTAGATCAAATCGCCTAGAACCGACCCGAATCGTTTCCAAGCCCTCGGCGCAAAGATTGCAGACAAGGCTTCGGCAATATTTTCAGCATTCTTCTGCCCTAGTTCGCCCATCTACTACTCCAGCAACAAATCGTATTCTACATCGAGCTCCTAACTTTGTTCTTGGAGGCTTTGATCGGAATCCATGGCGAGCACTCTCTGCTGGGAAACCAAGTTCCTTGCTGCAGCCATCAGAATGGAGAGAATACGGGAGTCTAGGGCAGGCGCGGCAGCGACGTGATGTACCATTGGGTGTTCTACCGTCAAACGAATCCCTCGCAGCAAGAATCGACAAGACTCTTCAGGATACAGAGGCAGATATTCAACCCTACGATGTCGCCACTTGGGAGGCTGTATGCGGCGTGCTGTCTGATATGTATGGCCCTGATGGCGTTTGGGCCGTCTTTCAGTCTATTTGGCAGAGTGGGAAACATAAAATCATTACCTTTAACGATGCCGAAGCCCTGCGTTGCAAAATCTTGTCAGCTGCGTTAAGCTCTGAATCAAGACTGTCTTTGCTTTTCGCTGCGGCTCGACAGCTTGTTGCTCAGGAGAATTTCCAATGGCCTGGGCTTTACACGAAAATTGTCCACTTTTTCCTAGAACGCGGCGATTATGAAAAGGCAGTTCGCTGGGATGAATCACTGGCTCCTATCTTTCCAGCTGGAGCGGAAGAATTTGGAGCCTTACTAGCAACCTTTGTTATCAAGCCAACTCCCGAGATGCAGAGCACTCTGACAGCGCTTTATGTCTCCGGCGCCAATCGCCAACTATACGACCATGTAATACCGGCTCTCTTCGCTTCCGGCCAGTCCAAATTGGCCCGTACATGGCGGAAAAAGCTTGTCTTGTTTAAAGATGTTCCATTCACAGCAAAGTCGCGTCCGTTTCTCCTTTTTCTCGCCAACTACTATCCCCATGTGCCGCTCACAGAGAGTGAGCTAGCTGTTGCCGAACTCAACCGTGAGTGGTTAGCTGCTGAACCCGAAGAAGATGAATCGTTCTTCGAAGTCGATAGAAAAGGAGTCCATAGAAAGGGATCCCATAGTGATGCTTTCATCGCAAAATGGTTTGCCAGCACATGGACATCTCTGGAATTTGCAATCAACCTCATATATAAGCTTGGAGTCCGCACTATTGGCCCACGCGCGTTACAGTCTCTTGCGCTACGAGACCCAGATACCAAGGAAGTTGCGTCTCGTATAGCTCAGGTGGAGAGACTGGGCATCAGAATCTCTTCTCAATCGTACTGCAAGATTTTGATTGCTTTCGCCAGGAATGGAGAGGACGATCTACTGATTGATCTACTTCACTGCGACATTCACCCCGACGAATTTGATGATATGGAAACTCGGCATACTCTCATGGCTGAGGCCGCTAGGACAGGAGATTGGAAGATGGAGCGACTTCTTCAAGGCATCGAGTGGGCTATCGAAACTGGACCAACATCTCGACGCCTCAACTCCCTGCTCAGGAGCGAGATTTCTAAGCGAAGTTTAGGCAAGGCGAGAGAGGTTCTCGACCGTATGGAAGCACTGAAAATCAGCATGGCCCAAGCCAGTGCGACTGGGCTCCTCAAGAGAGTGTTTTGGAAGCTCGACTCTCACCCTCAGCGATCTCAACGAGCACCGCAAAGTGATGGTGGATCGCGTGACTTTGATGATCCCTTTTTGGATAGAGCCTTGAATGTCATCCGCCGCATTTCTTGCCACGACGTTGCAATCCCTATTCGATACTGGAAGATGCTCCTCTACAAGCTGGGACGCTCAAGACGTCTTGACGAATTAGAACAACTGAGCTTGGAAATCATGCAATTCTACACCCCCCCGTACGGAGGGTTAGTGCCTGTACATCGGGAGGATCTACCAAAGAAACTCAACACCGAAGAAAGAGAATCAATACCAGCTGATTTACCATTCGTTCATCACCATCATCCGATCCGACTGCTATTTGACCCTTCGCTGCAGCGCTCCATCGTGAGATGGGGGTTTGACCAGACGCTGGCAACCAAGCCCCAGCCACCGGCAACCGTCACATCTCTACAAACGCCGAGCTTTTCACAGTTTGATGTTGCTCGTGGGGTCCGCCTACTAGCCACACTGCGAGACCAGGGAGCTTTGATAGACACGCAGGTGGTCCGATCAAGCGTCGTCTCTCGCATCGCCACTGGAATGGTGCCTGGGCGGCCCAGACACCGAGCAAGAGATAGCATCGAGTTCTCTGTAGAAAACCTGATGGATCTTATCGAGAAGGCGTGGGGCTCAGAGATGTTTCCCGACGCGCCAAAGGTGGTTCGAGAAATCGAAGCGCGGAAGTCAAAGCTGTGGCACCGGTATCCAAAGTTGATCGATAGGACATTCAATCAAGATTCCACATGAGGAGCAAGCAAGCAAACGCAAGTACTAGCACTAACACATGGCACATATGAATCTATCTCGAGGCACGCGCAGGAGAGCCCCGCTGTACAATACTATCTACAGAAACATGTAAATAAATTCTAATCAAAACCCCCCCATTAAACTCCAAGTGTATCATTGGTTTTTCTTTTTCCTTGGGGAGCACTATTCGCTCCATTATTGATACACATGGCCACACATCAAAAGCAATATGACCATCAAACCGCTTGTCACAACGCCATGCTGAGCCACAGTTACCACGAAAAAGAGAGAGCGGACTTGCTCTCATTTTGACTGCGTCATCTCGACGCACAACGCCGAATTTCCCTTCCCACCTCTATCGAACTTTTTGATTCCCAGCTCATCTTAATCCAGGTGCCTAGTCCCTATTCTTCTTAGGTTTGACCAAAAGCAGAATGAATAGGCCAGCAACCAATAGCAGTAGCAAGAGTATAACCTTCCTCTTGATACTCCTTTTCTGATAGCCAGACGCTATTATCAGCTCTTTATCGGCAGCTTTGACTTCTGTGTTCATGCGCTCAACGTTATAGTCGATCCGGTCCAGCATGGTGCCCTGGTCAATGATCATGGTCTGGAGATCTCGGAAAAGGTCGGACAGCTCGATGATGCCTTGTGCGATTTCTTCGATTTCTCGCTCCCGCTGGGCGATGGCGGTGTCGTTTGAGTGCAGCGTCTTTTGCTGCATGGCTACCTGTAGCGTCGATTGGGAGAAGGACCGGTCGGCATCTGATTCTTGAAGGGACGGGTCCATGTAGGAAGAGCCCGGCATTGGAGATGTTGGACGGTCAATGGGACTGATTGCGCCGAGGCCACCCATTCCGCGGAGTTCTAATACTTGTGGTCAGCAAATTGGGAGGAATCTCAAGGTGCCATCAAGAACATACTCTTGAGATATGCGCTCTGCTTCTTTCTAAAGTTTGCACTTGCATCTTGGACCCTTGTGGCAAGGGATATCTGTATGTTCTTCGCCATTGTCTCCTCGGCTCTGCTGATGCTGTCGGACTGCTTCGACTCGCGAACCATGGCCTCAAGCTTCTGGATCCGCTGGTGGCACTGGTGAAAGCCCTTTGTGATGTCTTGGGTGAGTCTCTCGATCTGCACCTCCTCGGCCCGCTTGGTCTCGTCGTCGTCGAAGCCCGGGAGCACATGCGTCTGGTGCAGCTTGTCGAGGCGCTGGCTCTTTGTGGCAATCTCGGCGAGCAGCTCTGTGATGTCGTCCGAGATGTCCGACCACCGCGGCGGCAGCAGGTCCATCTCGATTACAGCGTCGCCATCATCTTCGAATGCGCCGCTCGAGAGCAGCCCGCGCCGGTCTTCGTGCGCAAAGCTGCTGCTCGAGTAGGCGTCCGAGAAGCCGCCCTGGGCATATTTGGATCGTTGGTTGGGATGATGAGCGTACGACTGCCGGTAGGAGATGTAGCTATACGGGTTTGTTTCCCCAGGGTCAGATATGACAGACGCACTCAATTAGGCGAGAATGCCTTGGCTTGGGGTGTTCGCATCCGAGCTGCAAGGGCCTGGGGATGGCGGCATAACGTACAGGTTTGTGCGGTCGCGCCACATGGCGGACGCTAAAGGGGGGGCGTCTGGTGGCCTGTCAGGAGAGAAGCAAGTCGACGATGGATGGAGCGGCTCGAAATATGGACGCAGTATTCCGGGACTTCACGTAATGACGGGCATGATTGAACACTGAGATGGTCGACCTGCGCCAATGCTCGAAGCTGGCTGGATGCATTACGACACTGCTGCGGCGGCATATAGGCACTCAGCGCTAGCCCGAAGCGGACGATGGCTGTCTGAGTTTGGGAGCTCAGGCCAATGCAGCTGAGGGACCGTGGGCGGTGTTTACACGTGTCACGAGCGTTTCTGGCCATGACGGGTATACCTCCCGGGCGTCAGCCCTCTGTAGGTACAACACAGCCAGTATGTAGCATCACAGCTGAGTACCTGTATACAATACTCACACTCACAGCAACGTCTCATCATGGGAGTTCAAGTCCAGTCCTGTTCAGCTCGTCCCAATCAAGCCAGATGACCTGCACAGTGCGAGCCGCGGTCCTAGCAGGTCCCGGACAGGCCTTCAGGGGCCTCCTAGGCTAGCCGAAACGGCGGCAAATGGCCTGCGACCCAGTCCTAGCATGGGGCCTGCCTCAGGATTGATACTGTCTGTCGATTCTGCCTTACGGGTCCCCTGACAGCACGCTTTAGGTGGCCCGGCCTTCGTCTCTCTCCCCACGTCAACGACGACCACAAGCAAAAAGCTTCCGCCTTCGCTAAGACGCCACTAACGCTTGCTGTCGTATTAAACCGGCCCTCTCTGCCTCTCTCAACTTTCAACTCTACACTCTTTGCTCGCTCTCCATAACCCTATTCACAATGGTGCGTGGCGCGCAGCCGCCCTCTATCGAGCTGTCTCTGCATGGTCGCTACCCCGCGACCGTGGAGGGCTGCCCCCCCAAACTTCAGGAGCTTTTGTGTGGCTAACCAGCGAGCCCTCGACAGGCTGATTCTCTTACCGAAGAGCAGGTCTCTGAGTTCAAGGAGGCCTTCTCTCTCTTTGTAAGTCTCTGGATGGTCTTTTGCGACAAATCTGCAGGCGATTTGGGTGCTAATCTGGTGGCTACAGGACAAGGACGGCGATGGTACGTAGTGGCTAGTGACGCGATACTCCTCTTTCCCCTCCTCACCGTCTCCCCCCTATTTGTGCGAACCATTATTGGAGCACCTGAACCTGCGACACCGATCGAAATTCCACCGACTGGCAATTTTTATGACGAAGGAACGGGCAAGAAACTAACAGGCGTGATTTCGCAGGCCAGATCACCACCAAGGAGCTGGGCACTGTCATGCGCTCTTTGGGACAGAACCCCTCCGAGTCAGAGCTGCAGGACATGATCAACGAGGTCGATGCCGACAACAACGGATCCATCGATTTCCCTGGTATGTCATTAGCTGAAACACATGGGACGGCTGCCGAATACGGGCTAATCTAGAGCGGTGAAGAGTTCCTTACCATGATGGCACGAAAAATGAAGGACACTGATTCCGAGGAGGAGATCCGAGAGGCTTTCAAGGTTTGTTTTTCACACACTTGTGTGCATGCTTTATTTTGAAACTAATACTTGGCAACTAGGTCTTTGACCGTGATAACAACGGCTTCATCTCAGCTGCTGAGCTGCGCCATGTCATGACATCTATTGGCGAGAAGCTCACCGACGACGAGGTCGATGAGATGATTCGCGAGGCTGATCAGGATGGTGATGGCCGAATTGATTGTGAGTTTTAAGTCGACAGAAGACGTTCTATATGTTTATCCTCAGATTTTAAGAGCTTTAGCTAACCAAGATTTGCAGACAACGAGTTTGTTCAGCTCATGATGCAAAAATAAGGGACTGTGTTTGGAGTTATTTGCGACTAAGCCAACTGTTGAGCCTTGTTAGAGGCCATGGATATGGTTAATTCTTATGGCGAGACCCAGTTGTTAGCACGCACACAACCTGTTTTTTCTTTAAGAAAATCAACGAGTTGATTTTATTCCCTATACTGTCAAATCTACAAGCGATTCTCGAAATTGCTGGCCTGTCGAAAGAGTCGTGATGTTCAATTCTGGTAGCAGTCTAGGTAGATACCCTGGGCCTTTCTATGGATACCATCAAGTTATAAACCAGCGGCTTGCCGCGTACGCGCATGTGTGGGCAGCCATCTCTTGAACAGAGTGGGCAGGCCGTAGATCGAAACGTAGCACAGTAGGACTTGCTGTTGATGCTGTGTTGGTCACAAGACCGACGGAAGGCAGACGAGGAGCAAACAAGCGTGATATCAGGCTTCTATGATACCGAGTCCCCCGTTCAAAGAGAGTCAAGTATCACAAGTGTAACCATGCTCCTTGGTAGGCAGCAGTTTGTAGGCAAGTACAGTAAGGAGCCTACCCCGGTATACGCTTATAGGCAGCCATTTAATAAAATTAACCTAAAAATACAAAAGTACAAAAAAATTGCGCATATAGGCGATCGAATCACATATTACCGTGAAATTAATGTTGTGTAAGTCGTGAGGTACCGTAGCGGAGGTAGCATTTTGGAGGCTCATTGTTGGAAGCGGGAAAGGACTTGGCAGTGCTAGCGGTACAAGGAACCGAAGCCTCGCCGGGCCATTGCTTTTCCGCCCGCATCCCTCGTGTCCCAGGTCCATGATGCAGCGTGGCCTGCCCCACGTCGAATTAGACCCAGGTACATTGCCAGTACGGAGCGTATTAGGGAGCAGTAGTGCTGTAGCCAGCGACGCTGGTGGCATTGCGATTCATACACGTTCCACGATTCACAGCTGTCCCGCTCAACGTCGAGGCTCGAAGCCGTTCTCGCCATTCCGCCATAGGTCAGCACTAGCCGGTTCGCAAGAGGGAGCCTGGGAATTGCTGGTGCGATACCACTGCTTCTGCCGCCTACCGCCTCTGCCGTTCCTTGGATAACAACCTGCGAGGTGGCCCAGTCGCCGGGTCGAGCTCTTACTTTACCCCAAGATGAGTTCCTGTGAGACAGCTCTGGTCATTACGTTATTCGCGTTGTGAGGTCCTGACGGCTGACGGTTGCTCCTTTGTTTCAAATTACAGTAAAGCAATTCATCCGCAACGTGCGTGCGGCGAAGACGATCGCGGACGAGCGAGCGGTCATCCAGAAAGAGAGCGCAGCGATCAGAGCCAGTTTCCGCGAAGAAGGCCACGACCACAGCATACGGTGGGTTATTCAATGCCGAACCTCTGCGCATCCGAACAATGAATAAGAGTGCTCATTCGTGAAAATGGGAAACAGCCGTAACAATGTCGCGAAACTCCTCTACCTCTTCACCCTGGGCGAGCGAACCCACTTCGGTCAAGTCGAATGCTTGAAGCTCCTTGCGTCTCCGCGATTTGCAGACAAGCGTCTTGGCCATCTTGCTACAAGCTTGCTGCTTGACGAAAAACAGGAGGTCCTGACACTGGTGACCAACTCTTTGAAGAAGTAACTTGCCCGCCCCCTCCCCCCTTTTTTATTGCTCTGCGATTCAGCAGTAGACGGAGTCTGACTATGGCCTTAGCGATTTGGGACACTCTAATCAATATGTTGTCGGACTCGCCCTCTGCACTCTTGGAAATATCGCGTCTGACGAAATGTCGAGGGATCTGTTCCCGGAGATTGAGAATTTGATCTCGACCGCAAACCCATATATCAGGAGAAAGGCTGCACTCTGTGCCATGCGAATATGTCGCAAGGTGCCTGATCTTCAGGAGCATTTTATCGAAAAAGCCACCGCTCTTCTCTCAGATCGAAACCACGGCGTCCTTCTCTGCGGACTAACCCTAGTCACGAGTCTTTGCGAAGCAGATGAGGAAGAAGGTGGCGAAGAGGGCATAGTTGAGAAGTTCAGGGTCCTTGTACCTGGACTGGTGAAAACGCTAAAGGGTCTTTCGACGTCAGGCTATGCTCCGGAACACGATGTTACAGGCATCACCGACCCCTTCTTGCAGGTCAAGCTTATACGACTGCTGAAAGTGCTGGCTGTTGGCGATGCCCAGACGAGCGAGCAAATCAACGATATCTTGGCCCAAGTAGCAACGAACACCGACTCATCCAAAAACGTTGGCAACTCGATTCTTTACGAGGCTGTGCTTACCATTCTGGATATTGAGGCTGATTCTGGCCTGAGGGTTCTCGGTGTGAATATTCTGGGCAAGTTCCTCACCAACCGGGACAACAACGTTCGCTACGTGGCGCTCAACACCCTCATCAAGGTGGTTGCTATCGAGCCTAATGCGGTACAAAGGCATCGTAACACAATTCTGGAATGTCTCCGCGACCCTGATATCAGTATAAGGAGAAGGGCCCTCGACCTGAGCTTCACCCTCATCAATGAATCCAATGTTCGGGTACTCATCAGAGAACTCTTGGCTTTCCTCGAGGTTGCAGACAACGAGTTCAAGCCAACCATGACTAGCCAGATTGGAATCGCTGCCGATAAATATGCCCCGAACAAGCGATGGCACTTTGACACCATGCTGCGCGTCTTGTCATTAGCAGGCAACTACGTCAAAGAACAGATTCTTTCGTCATTCATCCGGCTCATCGCCACCACCCAGGAGCTTCAGACATATGCAGTACAGAAGCTGTATGTTAACCTCAAAAAAGACATTACTCAAGAAAGCTTGACCCAGGCTGGCGCTTGGTGCATCGGCGAGTATGGTGATGCCCTGCTCAGAGGCGGGCAGTATGAAGAGGCAGAGCTTGTTCAGGAGGTCAAGGAGGCTGATGTCGTCGATCTGTTTTCGCTCATCTTAAACAGCAGCTATGCCAACCAGGTATCCACAGAGTACATTGTCACAGCGCTGATGAAGCTCAGCACACGATTCACTGACCCCGCCCCGGTGGAAAAAATTAGACGCATCCTGCAGACACACCAGACTAGTTTGGATGTCGAGGTGCAGCAGCGAGCTGTTGAGTACGGCAACCTGTTTGCATTTGACCAGGTTCGTCGAGGAGTGCTTGAGAAGATGCCTCCGCCCCAGATCAAGGAGGAGTCTAGAGTGCTGGGTCGGGCTCCTTCAAAGAAGGCCAAGAGCGCCAACAGGAAATCCAAGATTATCAAACCTACCGAGCAAGACTTGCTGGATATCATGGATACACCAGCAGCTGTGGCTGCGCCTACGAATGGATCCCAGGCGACAAACTCTGATCTTCTGGCTGATATTCTTGGAGGCGTATCGACAGGTTCTGGGCCTGCTTCTCCTGCCCCTCCGCAGTCTAATATTACTTCCATCATGGATCTCTTTGGCTCGGGATCTGCAGGCTCGCCTTCACCCGCACCTGCTTCGGCCGGTCTCGATATCATGTCCCCTGTGGCATCCCCGCCACCACAGCAGTCATCTCCAGCAACTCAAGGCCAATGGATTCCCTGCTACAATGCTAATGACCTGAACGTAACCTTTCAAGTTCAACGCAACGCCGAGGGACTTATCCAAGCAACGGCTCGGTTCCAGAACATGTCTGGTTCGGCGGCTCTGTCTAATGTTGGATTGCAAGCCGCGGTTCCCAAATCTCAGAAGTTGCAGCTGCTGCCCATCTCTTCGGCAGAGCTTGGACCAGGAGCGGATACTACTCAGATGATGAGAGTAGCCGGATGCAAGGGGGTAAGCAGTTTTCTATTATTCCTATTTTTCCTCTCTTTCTAATCTCTCAAATTCTTCTTCTTGACATCATATGCTGACACTGATTTCATGTAGCCGCTACGACTGCGACTGCGTATCACGCTCACTCACCCTGCAGCGGGACAAGTGGTGGATCAGGTGAACTGGGCAGAGTCATCATAAGCGGGAACTTGATTACAGCGAGCAGTTTACGTTACTGGGCTTTTATAGTGGTTTAATATGGAACATAAATACGGAGGTACTTGCGGAGCGGTTGTAGATATCAAAATTTCAAGGGGAGTAGGTACATTAAGTGAAGGACGATCTGAAGATGTATGACGGGGCCGACTGGTCGAAATAGGCGTAATTGCGTAGAAACATCAATGAGATTTGGTCTACTCTGAAATTAAAAGGGTGCTGTGATATTATTCGTCGTCAGTTGTAGATACTATAAGCTTCGGCTAGTCAGTCCGCATAAAGTGAGCCGTCGATCTGCTTCGGGATATAGTGCCAATTCTCTGTTAAAGCTCGATGACACTGCACTTACGACTACGCAACTTACAAGACATTGGTACATTGAAACAATCAGCCGATGCTCTACAGAATCTTACCCAACAGATCCTTTACACGATTGGCAGTGCCTCTGCTTCACCCTGGCTCTTCACTCTGCGGGCGGTCATTTAATAGCTTAGGCGCAGCAACCATGGGAAAGCAGCGAGAGGGGCATCTTGAGAGGACCGCGGCTGAGCCGAGAGATGCAGTAAAAACCCCCTTTTCTCTTCTGATATGTTTCCTGTTCTTCTTGTTTTCTTGACGAATATTTTTTTGGGGGGAGAAAGGTATGCTGATTTCTCTTATCAGGATTTCCATGAGGTGCGGCTGGGTCGGGTTGAGCAAGTCAATGAGAGAGTGAGGCTGTTTCGACTAGATCTTGTATCTGGTCCTATAAAGGCAAGTCAAGCCAATTCCCTTTATTTTAACATCATTTATTCATATAATCATGATGATCCGAGCAAAATTAAATAAATAAATGCTAACAGATAAACAAAACATTCAGTTCTTGCCCGGCCAATGGCTCGACACATACATCCCCGACGTGCCCAAAGCAGGCGGCTTCACCATCACATCCGCCCCTTCAGCCGCTCTCACGGGCCCATCGCCGTACTTGGAGCTCGCGGTGCAGGAATCGCCCGAGAACGAACCCGCGGCCTGGCTGTGGCGACCCGTGGGCGAAATTCTGGGCGCGAGGCTGCGTGTTCGCGTGGGTGGCAGGTTCGTCTTTCCTCCCCAGAGCGGCGGCGAGGGTGTTGCTGCTTCTGTTTTGAAGAGAGTCGTTTTCGTTGCTGGTGGCGTGGGAGTGAATCCCCTGGTGAGCATGCTGAGCTACATTGCCGAGGGCCATGAGCGAGATGCTGCCGCTCTGGATGTGAGCTTCATGTACGCAAGCAAGATGCCAACGAGCGGCAATCTCTCCGATATTGTCTTCCTCGATAGGATTACTCGGGATTTTGGAGAGGGTAAAGTGAAGGGCAAGGTGAAGCTGTTTATAACAGCTGCTAGAGACGTTGCAACTTCACAGCAGCAGCAAGAGACGAGATATATCAATGGAGCTCCAGTGGAGATGCAGCCGCGCCGCCTTACGATTGCGGATATTGGCGAAGCAATTGGAGGCGAGGACCATGAAGGGACTGTTGTGTATGTGTGTGGACCGCCGCCAATGACGGATGAGCTGGTTGAGAAGCTCGCGGCGGTGATGGATTCGCGCCGTGTTTTGACGGAGAGATGGTGGTGACGGGAATGTTCATTTCATAACAGCTGCAATAGTTGACTAGCTCATCAATGGGCGAGAGATATAGTCACGTCAAGTGTTTCATATGCAGAGCTGAATTCATGATAGCGATATGTATGTATATATGCCCGTATGCGCACGCGCGACCCCAACGCCCATGGTATCAATCAATACGGCCGTCCCAGTAGTCCAATTTCGCTGGCAATTGTCCTCCCCCTTTCCATCATATAAATACTATTTGCGCAAAAAGCTCATACCACCCAGCGAACCAAAGCGAATACCAATCTTTAATTTATCTCTTCCCTCAGCAACTCATGAAAACAAATCCTCAGCTTTTTGTCTCCTTTTCGGCTGATTCGCATTGAATAATTCCTTGCCGGCATTACCTGACCCAAATTTACCAGGGAATAACTCTTGCGCGTTGGCTGCTCCCTTTATCGAAAACCCACTGCCTCCGGTTCGCTGAGAAGCAGCACCTCGAATGTTTAAGCCATCGCCTGTTGATTCGGCAACGATCTTGGGCATGTCCTCCTCTTTCAAATGAGCCGAGCCAATGGACTTTTCGAGCTGGTCTAGCATTCCACCTCCCCCTCTACTAGACGGCTTAGTAGGGAAGAGCTCTTTCGATCTAGATTCGCTTGCGAGGCGGCCTCGAATGGCCCGAGCCTTTTCTCTATTACCTGACGAGCTGGCAAAGCTATCCATAGCTGCATCTCCATCACCGTCGCGGCGAGGGGACGCTGATCTGTCCCTTCTGGAGGTCGATCGTCCAACACTGCGGCCCGAGAATAGCTCTTTACCGCGATTACTTTCTTGAGCTGATGGTCTGTCATCCCTGGAAGCCTGCGGCGCATCGTCGTACATGCTTGCCTCAAAAGTCTCCACCGCATCGTCTGAATAGCGTCTTCGTCGCCCTGATGATCCCCGGTTGTCGCGGCTATCACGGTCACGATATCGAGAGCGATTTTCTTGGTACCGCCGTCGCCTTTCTTCAGGATCGTGCTCGGGGTGCAAAAGGTAATATCGGCTGCGAAGCGCCGCGCCAGCCTGCTTTCTGTCGGCTTGCGTCGCAAAGCGAATCTGTAGAGAAGTTTCGGGTTTCCCTTCGAGAGCCTTGGCCGGGACAGACTCGCCAACGCCCAACGCCGTCGCATCTGCAATGTCAATAGCACTAAGAGCGACAATTGCATCGCGCGCAGAAGGTTCGGAGCTGAAGACGAGGTTTGCAGAGGTATCGTCGATCCACTCTACCCGGTCCACAATCCCGTAATGGGCCTTGACATATGATTTGATGTCGTCGGTGTGTAGATTGTCTAGGCCTTTTATGTGAATCTTTGTGGGAACAATGGCGTTTGACGCGTCGTCCTCATTCACTTCTCCATCATCAGCCACTTCGCCTGGCTCTTCCGGCTCGTCTGGTACCAAGATATCGTCGCCTCGGGGGAGATCTTCATGGATTTCCTGGAAAGCCTCGCCGCCGGCGCCATCGTCCATGTCGATGTCCAAATCCATGATTCGTGCTGAGTGGTGATGGACCAGGCACAAGCGGAGAAAGTAGGTGGCGGATGCAGAGTATAAGATTGACTCGGGATTGGAAGTGGTGAGCAGGAAGAAGAGAAGAAGAAAGAGATGCAATCGGAATAAAAGCAGATGATATTAGAGGAGGAGCAAGATTGGCTTTTTGCTTATTTCTAATTCCAAGAAAATGCAAAGCGATGCGCAAATGGCGAGCAGCAGGGGATAAGACGGAGAGATCGCTGAGTGGCAGAAAGGCGGCTTTGCGACGCGAGACCCGGGCTGGCGGGAGAGCAGCGCGGCTGTTTGGGCGGTGACGGCGCTTGTGCTCTGGCGACAGGCGCCGCGCATGCGCTGCAGAGGTACCTGCAAGCGCAGCGGTACAAGGCGCAGCTCCAGGCGGTACCTCTGCCTCGAAAAAGGACTCGTGCGCCTTAACACAAGCCACCTGTGGCGCTCGCGAGCCCCGCGACCCGAAAATCCCACCGTCGAGATTCCAGGCAATTGATCACGACGCAGCTCCCGCCCAGCTCCAGCACGCATCGTCTCATTGCGACACCAACTCGCCAAAGCGGCATCGCGGCTCCTACGTGTATCTTCGTATCCCTGCGTAACTCATTTTGTATCCGCCATCTTCTCTGCCGTCGTCGCCGCATCTGCCCCTTCGCTGCGGCTCAGTCTGTTGCGCCTCCACAGACCACTCATCGCCAACCCCACCAACAATGTGTCGTCTCTCATAGACAGCTCTTCTTCCCATCACGATACTCCAATGTCTTCGGATCCCCGCAACGCCCTCAGCGCCCTCCTTCGGGCCGCTGATATCGAAGACCACGAACAGATTCTCAACGCCGCCAATGCTGCCCTCAAGGCCGACAGGACCGACCATGACGCCGAACACACCAAGGTGGTCGCCCTCCTGAAGCTCGATCGCTTCGACGATGCCCTCCGCATGATCAGCGGCGGGGGAATCAAGCTTCAGGCCGTCTGCATTCTCGAACAGGCCTATGCGCTGTACAAGACCGGCAAGCTGACTGAGGCTTCCGATCTGCTCGAGACACGTGGCTTGGAGAAACGAAGCCTTCGGCACGTTGCCGCCCAGGTCGCTTACAGAGCCGAGAAATTCCACAACGCCGAGAGCATTTACAGGCACCTGCTGGATACAGAACCCAAAAACGAAGAGAGCGATCTCAAAATCAACATCACCGCCGCTGTTGCTCAGAGCCAATGGACAGACATCCCCTCCTCTAGCCTGGCAGTGGCCCCCGAAACGCTGGATACCTTTGAGCTGTGCTACAACATGGCCTGCGGCGAGCTTGCTCGGGGAAACACAAGCGTTGCCCTTACTCTCTTACAGCGCGCTGCCATGCTTTGCGACAACTCAGACGAGCTCAGCGACGAAGATAAGAAGATTGAGCTGAGATCTATCCGCGCCCAACAGGCGTATCTGTTTGCCAAGATTGGAAAGCCTAGTTCGGCCCTGGAAGTCTACGAGATGCTCGGTCCTCCAACGTAAGTAGGATTCTCAACTAGCTCTTTGCTCTTTTTCTGGCTCAGTCAAATCTTCTAACATATTTGGTGCTACAGCGGCAAAGATGGCCGTGACTTCGCCGTCATTACCCAAAACAACCACTTTGCTCTGGAGGAAGCCGGCAATCCATTCGTGCGCCAGCGGAAGGCAGAGTCCTTGATGGCATCAGCAGCACAAAGCGACCTCTTCAGCTACCAGTCCAACATCCTCAAACGAAACAACCTGGTCATTGACCTTGGTGCCTTCAAGACCAAGGGCGTCGCGGAGAGGACAGAAAAGACTCTGACCCAGGCAAAGCTCCCTTCAGCAAACCCGCAAATCAACATCTCCTCCGTCATCAATGCGGCTGCTCACACTCAAGGTCTGGACAGCAAAGAGGCTCTTCGGAAATTGCAGGCCTTGGCGGCTAAGCGTCCCAGCGATGTCGGCATCGTCTTGGCTGTCGTGCAGCTACAGATAAGGGAACAGCAGGGCGGCGCTGCTCTGACGACTCTCACGTCTTTCCTCAGCCGCTTGGAGAATTCCGAGGATGCAAACGATATAGACACCCGCTACAGTCCTGGTATAGTTGCCCTGACGGTGTCGTTGATGCGATCGCAGCGGCGGGAATCATCGGCCAAGGCTGAGCTTGTCAAGGCCGCCAAGTGGTGGCAGAACCGTCCCACCCATTCCGTCGGCTCACTCCTCCTCGAGGCTGGAATCGAGCTCATGCGATCTTCCAACACAGACGACTTGAAGTTGGCGGGCGCATCCTTTGACAAGCTATTCCGAGAGGCACAGGAGTCCGACATTGCTGCGGCTGGGCTGGTAGCTGCCTTTGCGGCATCTGAAGCCAACAAGGTCAAGCAATACTCGGACAAGCTGCCGCCCGTCCACGACCTCATTAGCGGCATCGACGTGGACGCCCTCTTCGACGCTGGCGTGGCCGTCGCCCGCAGCAACACCGCCTCCAAGAAGCGACCAGCCTCAGACGAGGCCAACGCCGAAAAGGCAACCAAGCGACGAAGGAGAAAGCTCCCCAAGAACTACGTCGAGGGCAAGACTGCCGATCCAGAGCGATGGCTGCCCCTCCGCGACAGGTCGTCGTACCGACCTAAAGGCAAGAAGGGCAAGAAGAGAGCCGGAGAGGCCACGCAGGGAGGCATCGTCAAAGAGGAGGAAACGCTCGGCCTTGTAGGTGGAGGGGGCGTCAAGGTGGAAAAGGCACCCGCGCCTTCATCGAACAACAAGAAGAAGAAGAAGGGCAAGAAATAGATGCTCTCTTTTTCTTTTTCTTTCTTTTTTTCTTTTTTATTGTAATCATCTTGAAGCCAGGGGAATCTGATATCTAGTACATATATGGATGGGTGGATGTTGCATATGAAGTGAATAGGAGGAGGGGAGCTTAATTTAAGAAATTCATCAAGAGGTCTGGTTTATTTAGGAAGAGGAAAAGGAAAAATAAGAAGAAATGAAATGTATACCATCTTCTCTCTATCTTGTCATATGAATTATCAAAATCGTCAAAAACATTCATCATCACGGCAGGAAAAACAACAAAAAGAAAAATATGCGTCAGAAAAAGTTCTATATATCTCAGTTCCTGAGTAGTATAATATAATATAGGTAATATATAAGGTATATGATATGATGTATGTTTTCTCCACGTGGTCTCATACGGGGTATATAAGCCACACCAATTTTCAAAATGATTAAATAGAGACATAGAGAGTGTGTATGTAAAGAAAAAAAAAAGGAGTAAAAGAGAGAGTGTGTGTGAGACGGCTGATCAGCTCAACAAAAGAGAATGTGTGTATGCCAAAGTGCGCAACCCTTTTTTCTTTTTCATGTCGGTTTTTCTTTTTCTTTTTCTTTTTCTTCTCCTGTTTCTTCAGCTCAAAGGTATAATAAAATGGTAGTTGGAAAAGAGAGTGAGTGAAGAAGAGGAAGAGAAAGAAGAAAGTGAAAAGCACACAAAGTAAAAAAAAACATAGAAGTAGAGACATCAGAGGTTATTTCCATATGCAGCCCCCCATCATGGTCAAGTAAAAAAATTGACGAAAAAAAATGAAATAAAGAAAATGAAAGCCCTCCTTTTGGTTTCGCCGTCACTCGCGAGCTCCACGCTCGAACAATAATAATTCGCTAAATAGACATACATATTCGCACTCTTCTAAAACAGGAAATTCTGCACTCGCCATTTCTTCTATTCACTTCGCTTTGGTTTTCCATTCAGTTCATGCATTGACTGCTTGGAGAGGTCGATTTGGTAGAGATTCAGACCCCTCAGCCTCTTCATTTGCGGGCTCTTTTTCCCGCGCCAGATTTTCCGTTTTGCGCTCTAATTGTTTCTCGTCGTCTTGTTCCAGCTCCAATGTGGTATCTTCTTCATCCTCGCTTATAGCCGCTTCATCGAGAGCCAAGCCCTTTGCGCCATTCTCATCTTCTTCTGTTTCCATGGGGGGCAGAGGAGATCTTCGTCCGTCGGAAAAGCTCACTGCCACCTCACTATCCGCATCTGAGGGAACCGCCAGCCTTCCGGCCGCGGATACACTTCGATGTTGAGCAGACGAATATTTCCGGTGGAGTTCGCGGAAACTTCTGGCCGTAGCCGTGCTAGCACTCGCGGCAGACGCTCTCCGATCACGAGACTCACCATCGCGAGACTCGTCCTCGACTTCGCCCTCGCCATCGCCCTCCTCTATGGGGGCCTCAAGAACAGAATAAAAATCATCATCAACGTCTTCATTCGGCATAGGAGCAGGTGGCTGATCACATGATTGCCGATTGCTTTGCTGCTGCTGTTTTCGAGCCAGAATCTGCTCTTCATTGCTCAAGACCTGCAGCTCGGTGCCGAGGTGGATAACGGAGGCCTTCTTTCCGTGAACAACAAAGCTTCCAGTGCCTCGCGCCAATGTACTGTCGCGAGCAGCATCTTCTGAAGACGCGGCCGGGCCTCCCTCCCTGCCTTTCCTGCTCCGGTGGTGGGAGAGGTGACCAGCACTCTCCCTAAGGGTGCGTTGGAGACTGCGTCGAATCTTGTTTCTCTCGAATTTATCCCCAGATTCAGCAGCTTCTCCGGTAGTCGACGTGATAGCCTTGTCGGATGGATCCCTCCCAACTCTTCCATGCAGCAGGCCAGCTTGTTTCAAGAATTGTCGTTCGTCGGCGTCCACTTCGTCACCGCCTGCGCGGTCAGACTTGACTGATGCCGCCTCGTCTTCGTCATGAGGCTCGAGCTGCGTGCTTTGTATCTTGCCTAATGGTAGCTGCGCAGGGGATGCAGTAATACTTGAAACGGAGCCGTGTCTGATGCTTCCAAGATCGGCCTTGGGCGTTTCTTGCACTTCAGGCGGTGGGTACACTTCACTCGTTGGCCGTGTTGCTGGCCGTGTTGCGGGAGGAGATGCTGGTCTAGCCGGATCTTGCAGCTCCAAGGTAAAGTCGTCCTTGTCCGTGAAGAAGGGTAGGAGATTTTCTGGAGCAGTCGACTGTGGTATCTTTTCGGACACTGCTACCGACGCCTGGGATTGGGATTCGGGTCGTTTACCTGCGGATGGCTGTGGTGCTGAAGACACGCGACGCTCTTCAACCGCAAGTGGGACTTCGGCCGCAACGTTCTTCTCCGTAGCGACTTCTCCGTCTTCTTTGAGATCCAGAACCAGGATATCGCGGTGACATATTTCCTTCCAAATCTCCATTCGCGCCCACCGAAGCTGCGCAGACATGCGGGCCGCAGCCAGAAGAAGCTGTTCTCTGGTCCTCGGTTGGATAGGCGCAAGTATCTGCAGATGGCGAGCATTCCTGAGCTGGTTCTCCAGAGCCTTCTTGGAGTCTTCAATCTTTTGATCTGCCTCGGCAATCTTTTCCTGCATAAACTCACGTCTCGCCAGTTGAATATCTTGAGCCATCTTGTAATCAATCCGGCTCTTGGCAATCGATACTAGACCAGTTGGGGTGTCAACAACTTGAGTGGCGTCGGAGCTCTCAAGTCTTCTAAAAGCCCGACGACTGTGGCCGTCATATGTGCCTCCACCAACGCCACGCATCTTCACGCCGGATGTTCCAAAGGCAGCGGCGTAGTTGAGCTTTGCCAGCCAGTCATTAAGCTCGTTTTCATCATCGGCTAGAAGAACTTCGTCCAAACCCCCTTGCCTCACGTAGATGAAAGCGTTCTTATGTTTTTTGTACGAAGTGTCAAGGAGGGCTACGGCGCCCTTGGTAGACATGAGGGCATCGGGCTTAAACTCTTCCAGCGGAGGCTTGAAAGTGATTGGTATCCCATCGTGTCCTGCTTTGATATGGCTGTCATACTGGTGCATGAGGTTCTTCACCCAGCCGGTGTTGCGAAAGAAATAGAGCTGAGCGCCAGTGAGAATGGCTCCCCATTCCTGCCATGGAGATCGCGTCTTTCTCTTTTTGGCTTCTTTGCGCCACAAAAGGCCGACTTTTGTGATTTTGATGTCGACGATTCCGGGGGCATCGTCTGTGTTCTCTAGAGGGTTATCGGACATGAATGCGTCAGGACGAGACCTCGCGGAGACGATTTGCAAGACACCAGTCCTGAAGAATGTCTTTTGCAGGTCCTTGAGATTGAGGGACTGCGCCGAGCCCATGTAATTATACTGGTCTTCCAAAGGTATGGTGGCCTTGAGATTCGGTCTCAAGACATCTAGGTTTCCGTCAATGATGAGAGTATAGGGGTCGAGGGGCTCTTTTGCCGCCCGCTTGGCAGGATCGGCCACAGGGGCTGGGATGGCAAGTTTTCTCTTCGTCTTGATGCTGCCTGGGCCATGGCGCTCGCTGTTGACATCAAGGTCATCTTCAACATGGATGAAAGGGGTATAGCAAATGTTGTCATAGAAACACTCAAGGATGTCGTCGAAGATGCCCTCCCCGCGAGTGTTTTTCAGATAGTCTGTCTTTTGCATTTTGTGCTTGTTGTTCTTGTTGAAAACATCCGTATGGAGAATAAGCAGAGAGAAGGCGATGAAATATGCCTGATCGGGAGTAGAGTAGATGCCGGGGTTGCATTCGTGATAGCGATTCGCAAACGCTTGCAGAAATCGGTCAATCTGCTGCGTCTCTTTGGGGAGCTCAACCTCCATCAACAGCTTGCGAATGGCCATGTCCATGGGGTCTCCGAAAAAGCTTAAGGTTCTCATGAAGCTTCTCAGAGCAGCGACAGAGAAGGGATCTGTTCCCTTTGACAGCGCAGCAGCTACAACACCTCGGCTAATCATGCCTTCGATACGGGCAATATACTTGGCAGGAGACTCATCCTCGAATCGCTCTGGAAGGACGACAGACTCTTCTCTAGGTAGCTGGAGAGAATTGGTCTTGGACGCGATAGATCCTGGCGTGGCGGGCGTGAACGAGCCTTGCCGGCTTAGATCGGAGTTCTGGCGAAGACGAGTCAAGCCCAATAGGTCGCCAAAGCTCTTGCGGCCGATGGAGGTTGATGTTCGCGGAGCAACGGGGGGAACGAGATGCTCATCGTTGGAATCTCTGCCTACAGAGCTCAATGTAGACGATCTGCCCCGTCGCATAGGTGTCCGTGTGGGAGAGGAGTGGTCAGAAGGAGGTCCACCGTTTGCATTGAAAAGGGCAATGGCTGGGTTTAGCTGAGGGCCTTGTTCGATTTCGCCGGGATGAGTGCCTGCACTCTGGGCCGAAGTTGGGCGCGGTGTGGCCTCCACGCCCAGCGATGTAGTCGAGGATCGATCAGTCGCGGCGCCGCTGCCCTCTTGTCGAAGGTGTGCAAAAGGAAATAGCGGTTCCGGGGGCTTCTTGTTTCGCCTTAATTTGCTGAAAAAGGGCGTAGAAGGCAATGGCTTCTTGGGGGTGGAACCAAGGCCGGTGTGAGAGACACGATCAGTGGAACTAACATCTGATCGTGAAGATTCAGACGGTCGAGGCGCTATGTTGAGTCCCGTGCCGGCGGAATCGACCGTGGTCTGGGTCGACGGCCGCGGCGATTGAGGCTCATCCGTAACGCTCAGCGAGGGCCGTCCTTGGTCGCCTGTAGACTTTCTAGGCATGGGATCGTGGTGACGGCGGTTGGCACTGCTGGATAAAGGATCGTCACGAGGGATGTCCGTGGAGCGCCGCAGCATGGCGGCCAGTCCCAGGCGGGAGGCGGATTTCTTTAGGTTTCCCATTTCCATGGTGGGAGCTGTGGTGATGATGGCAGGAGCTAGACACGAGGGGAAAAGGGCACAAGTCAGTCGCCATGAGGTCTCGCTACGTCTGGACAGAGGGGAGGGGTCTGGTTACGTCGAGGGACAGGAGGGGGCTTCTCGGCCGCTTGCTTGACTCGGAGAGACAGCTGAGAATCGGAAGCATTTCGAAATCGCAGGACGGAGAAGCGCCGGTGCTTGTTGGACTGCGGCTGGACCGGCGGGGTGATGGGACGATCCAGCGAAGTGTCAGATTCGCGGCTCTGCGGCCGAGATGTCGCGGACTCGGGCTCGGGCTCGGGTTCAGTGGCCTCTTCTGGCACCTTGATCTGGAGCGGCAGTTCAGGGACGTCGTCGGCTTGCGGCGCAAAGGGTGTGTTATGGCGACGCATGTCAGTCTCACTGGCCATGATGCCGCGGCGGCGTAGAAATGGCATGACGGCGGCCGATGCTCATGATCTACAAGGGCTCGCCTGGCCGCTGGAGATTCCGGTGCGGCCGCTGAGCTTCCGACAACTCGATTTCGATTCGATTCGCTTCGCTTCACAATAGAATAGAAAGGAGCGACGAGAGACAGAGGGGAGTGGCGTGTCCCTGGCTAGCTGAATGCGCCCGGCGCGTCGAGAAAGGGCATTGAGCAAAGGTCGTTGGAGCGTCTGGAGATTGTGCCGGACGGATCTGGTCTGAGATGCAAGGTGGACGCAAGAGATGAGAGCCCCAGGGGGTCCGTTCAGTTCAGTGCGCAAGTACCGGTACGCGAGCAAGAGCCAGCATCGACGCCATAGCCTTAGCAGAGATGATATTGCATGGATGGCACCAGCAGCAGTTCCCACGGTGGAGAGGCGTCCTTTGCAGGCCCAGGGGGTTGGGTTGGCATTTGCTCAAGGGGGCCACAGCTCCTAGTGGACGCGCGTGTGCTTCGTAGGAAGCTGGCGGCACGGCGTTGCAATTGGCCGCTGCAGCACGAGAGGCGGCCATGAGGCTGATGCGCAGTGGATCCTCGCCCCCGTCCAGAACACTGGCAGAAGCAGCAGCAAGCAAGCAAAGGCCGCTATAATAAGCTATACACGGACTGCTGCTAGTCATCGGGCAGCGCCTGGCGATTCAGAGGGGGAATGGCGACTTTCGCTACTCATGTCATCTTCTCACAACGTCCGAGTGCCACACCATGCCACGAGACGCGGTGCTGACGGGTGTGGCGGATGACACGCTGCGCTACAGCGCATCCGGCGTGCTGAACCTTATTGGCCTCTGCGCTCTACCGATGCGCCGTATAGAGTTGCATGGACATGCCAGTTGAGCAGTCCAGTAATCCTGCCCACCTGGGACGTCTGGATTACGAGGTCGTGGCCGCATGCCAAGGCGTTTTCCCAGCGCTTTTACGGCGGGCTCATTCATGCATCACCCCCGGAAACAACGGGCTAACTGCGCAAGAAACCCACTCTGGCAATCGGTACCGGTACGAGGCCCTCAGCAGGAGCTCTCGCTGCTCTGTCGACTCCAGCGCTCGCTGGGCACAGCCCCGCCATCAGGTACAGGCTACCTCCGGGCTGGTACGTGTATTCGGTAGCCACGCGCTGCGGCCCCTAGCACGCAGTACATGTGCCCCCATGTTCCCTCTACTCCGTAAATTCTCCGGGGCCTCCATGTCTGCAGCGGACACCTGTTGCTGCTCCAGGCTCTAGAGCATCGCCTAGCACTGGTGCTGGAGCATGGCAGCCGCTATTGCGTCCCGGTTTCTTCTAAATTATTGCCTAGAGCATAGCCTCGCCGAATCGCAGTTCTAGTTAGCCACCTCCCAGTTGCAACGCTCAAATCCCTAATATCAATTACCACCACCTTATTTGCTGCCGCTACCTAAAGTACCTGCGCTACCACTAACCTACGACGCAAAAAAGAAAAAGTCGCCTCCCAGCAGCTCCATCGCCAGCGCCATGTACATTGAATAATCGATCCCATTTCCTACTTGTCGCGTGTCTCATAGCAATTTGCTCGACATCACTTTCATTTCAGTGACCCCGCCGAGCCGAGTCGCTCGCTCCAAACCGAGATGAAGGCGACGGTCGCTCCTCTGGTGGCCTCGTTGGCGCTGCTCGGCCCAGCCTATGGCGCGGGCATCTCAGCATCATCGCGAGTCCCCTCGACCAGCAGCCACGGCGCCAACACGGCCGTCTTCCCGTTCCTGACGAAGCTCCGCGATAGTGCCATTGAGTTCATCTTTGGCCGCCACCCCTCCAAGGCTGCTCAGCCGTCTCCTCCCAGCTACTCGCAGTCTCGATACGTCAACGAGCTGGTCCTGCGATTCAATGTCTCGACTGCCGTTGAAGAGGCCGCTCTCGCCGAGGCGACTTCTCGTCTCTTCCTGGACGTATGGGCCTTTACCGATCAGTTTGTCGACATTCGACTCCATGCCGACGAAGTTGGCCCGCTGCTCGGCCTCCTGCCTCGGTCTCTCCAGCTATCTCAATCGACGCTGATCCCCGATCTGGCCGCCGCCGTCTATCAGTCCATGCCTTCATCCAAGGACACCACCATGGCTTCGGACAGAATGACGTGGGCACTGGCAGAGCCCCTGAGGCCTGCCGATAATCTCTTCTTCCAGGACTACCAGCCGCTACCCGTCATCATCCGCTGGATGCGCCTCCTGGAAGCCATGTTCCCGTCATATGTCAAGTATATTACGATTGGAAAGTCGTTTGAAGGGCGAGAGATACCTGCTCTCCGCGTGGGAGTCCCGCAGCTCGCCGACCCCAGCAAGCCACGAAAGATGATTGTCGTCACAGGCGGACTCCACGCCCGCGAGTGGATTTCAACCAGCACTGTCAACTACGTGGCATGGTCATTCATCACCTCATTCGGCAAAGAGCCAATGATTACAAAGTTCCTCAATCACTTTGATATTGTCTTCATTCCGGCGGTCAATCCTGATGGCGTGGAATACAGCTGGCAGGTCGACCGTCTGTGGCGCAAAAGCCGGCAGCAAACCAACCTGCGGTTCTGTCGAGGCATGGACTTGGACCACACATTTAGCTTTGGCTGGGATAGTGCCGAGGCTCAAAGCGATCCATGCTCGGAGAGCTACGGCGGAGACAAGCCCTTCCAGGCCGTGGAGGCTGCCGAGCTCGCAAACTGGGCTGTGAACCAGACTGAGAATAACGTCAAGTTTGTGGGTTTGCTGGATCTCCATTCATACTCCCAACAGGTTCTCTTCCCATATTCATACACTTGCGACACCGAGCCGCCCAACCTGGAAAACTTGGAGGAGCTTGCCATGGGAATTGCCAAGGCAATTCGTCTGTCTAATGGAGAATTATACTCGGTCACTTCCGCCTGTGAGGGCGCCGTGGCTTCCAAAGATGCCAAAGTCCGCGATCCCGTGTGGTCTCGCATCGAATCGGGCGGCGGGTCTGCCATTGACTGGTTCTACCACGAGCTGGGCGCGCACTTTAGCTATCAAATCAAGCTTCGAGACACGGGGAGCTATGGGTTCCTCCTCCCCAAAGAATACATTATCCCCACGGGAGAAGAAGTATTTGATGCGATGAAGTACTTTGGCGACTATCTACTGGGAAACAATGGCATTGAGAAGACAATACCAGGCAAGTACATGGAGGACGAGGACGAGGCAGAGGATGAGGTGGAGGAACTAGGCGTCGCAGATGTGGAATTCGACGACGGCCAGCAGGACACCTTGCCAGTTCAGGAGCTACGGCGGCGCAGATTACGAAGATGAGATGTTTTGATGTACGTTGCTGGAATTGGCGTTTTTTTCGTGTTTTTATTGGCGATGAGTTTTTTAATTCTCTCTTCTTCCGCCCATCATGATATCCTACATAATTACTGTTTGAAGAGCAACACTTGTAATGAATTGATTACAAAAAAAGGAAGAAGCAAACAAAATGACTTACATGGGCCGTTTTATTCTGTTCACAAACTACATGAGAGAAAATTCCTAGGCACAAAATTCATACCTAAGCCCACAAACACATGGCGGGAAGAGATGGTACGTGGGCAATCATAGCTTTGAGGCAAACATTTGCGGTTTCAGTTCAGGAGCAAGGGGGCTTCTATTGTGGCCGAGAAGATTGTTACAGGGCGACGGCTGAAACAAGCACGCGCCTTCTTGTCAAGGCATTTCTTACAATGAAAATCGTAGTAGCATCTGGATTAACTGAATTGTAATTCTATTTTCCTCTAGTAAAGTAAAGATTGGTCTATCTCGCAAAAATAAGAAGCTCAAGTGAAAAAAAAAGGCAGATGTAGAAGAACTTAGTTGCTTGTGATAACCAGGTAAGAGGTGTAGGCAGCCATCAGCTTGAGAGCAAGATCCGCGGCACCGGAGAAATAAGCACCACTAGAAAAAAAAAATAGCAGTTAGAAAAGGGGGAAACTCGTGAAATTTGCAATTGTTGTGCTCAGAAGACTCACAATGTTCGGCCCTTGGGGCCAGAGTTGCTGGTGTAGCCGTAGAGGTAAACCACGCGGCCAAAGGACCATGTGGCGCCGAGGAGGGCAGCGGCGACGGGGAAGTTGAGGCCGGCGATGAGAAGGGAGCCGACGGCGGGGACGAGGTTCTCGGTGTAGTTGTTGTGGGCGCGTTGAGCTGGGATATCGAGTCAGTAACGGGTGTTTTTGTGCGGTTTTGGGTGGTTTTATGCCACGATTCAGTTTCGACTCGCATGCCGTTCATCGAATGAGGCAAAGAATTATGAGTTTCAGCTACGAAGGGCATGGTTTTTCCAACTTACCGCAGTTAAACTTGTACGCGTTGGGGTCCTTCTCGGCCTGCTCGTGAGAAGCATAGGCGTTGGGATAGGTGACGCCGCTGGCCTTGCGGAACTTGCCGGTGCGCGCCATGTGCAGGACGTTGACGAAGAAGGCAGACGTGGCGGCGGCCAGGACGAAGCTGTGCAATGATTTAGCAATTGAACCAATGGGGGTGTGATGGTGTTTTTTGGGGGGGCTTTTCTATTAGTGATGGCGTGTTGCTGAGACCTACCCGTATGAGTTGGAGATTTCGAAAGCAAAAGGCATCTTGGGCAGCTTTTTGTGATGTGTGGTGAATGATGGGATTGAGTGTCAATTCTTGGTCAATTCGAGTTGATTAGAGAATGGGAGAGAAGAGGAAATGAGCTTGGTAGGTAACAGGAGCAGCAATGGCGGTGGGCATCGATGTCAATTTAAGCATTCAATGTCCGCAACCTCGGAAGATCTCGTCGCTCTCCCCTGACTCGATCCATCCGAGCCCGACTCGAGCCAAAGAAGGAGTCGATGCTTGCATACGAGCCACTAACACGCAGCACTTACAGCAGATGCTACGCAATAGTCCATCACTATAGCTGCCTACCACTAGTAAATAACTGGCACTTTGGTTAGCTACAGGCTACGGGTTTCAACGGGCTTCAATTCCTGACACTTTGAGACAATCGCCTCCACCAACATGATACCTGCTTCAAGGCAGTAGTTCAGTTGAGTAGCGGGTGGGCTAAGCCGCGCAAAAGAGGCCCCACCACCACAGCTACTGTATACGTGGTTTTTTCTTTCTACGCCTATTCTTTGTTTCTGTCCTTTTCCAGTCCAATTTTTTTTTTTTCCCTTTTAAGTCGGGCATCGAGGAATTCCGAATGCCGCTATTCCTTGCGTTTCTACCCTGCGTGGAGACATGGATAACACGGCAGATTGGCCTCCTTGGTCTAATAGTTTTTTTTGCCTTGTTCGTTGCGGAGTGTTTTTGAAGGATCGTGTAATGTTTCCTTAATGGGCATTGCGTGTGTATTTACATACGTACGTAGCTACGCTGCCTTGCATTAGACAAGCCTACAGTACACTTTGATGTTGGCCAAAAGATGGTCCCAACGGAGAATTGTTGCTTTAATCTTTTAGGCTGTCAGCTATACGCGGATTCTTGGACGCTCAAGGATCTGCACCGGTGCTTTACTTGTTCGGGCTCCATACAGATAGGACGGAAGCGGATGTCTAGAACTCCCACGCATCTCAGTATCGCAAAGCTGCTGATACTGATTCAAGCCAACTCGTCATTCCACGTAGACAACTTGCATTGTTAACAGAGCTTAAGATTTCAAAATCTTTTCTTTTTTTCCCCCCATTCTAGGAACAACAAAACAAGCCAAAGCTAAAACTCGGCTTTCAACATCCACCGACGGTCCGCATCACACCCCTCGGACCTTCGCCTGGCGACATCCGCAAGACACATCCGCATCACCGCAAGACGCATCTTTCGCGCGTGCCTACTTGTACAATGCCAAAATGACACTCTTGTTTTTTTGTTTTTATTTTTATTAAGACCACTTTTTTTTTTCCTGCTCCCTTTAGCGAGGCTCAAAACTAAAACGTAACCCTTGCGCTTTAGTTGCATCCTTGAGGGCATAAAGGATGCTCAAAGTCCGCCGCTCTAAACGCCAAAAGTCCGCCTCGCTTTCGCTTCGAGCATCGGTATCAGGCATTCGGGCTTCGAGCATCAGACTCACCACGCTCAGCTCGCTCCTTCGCAATTGATTGTCATGCTTATCAAACACATTAATAATATTGCTTTCATATGAATGAATCCTCATGAGTCACATTGTGACGCAAAAGTAAAGCAAGACGCTGTTTTGCCTGGTCCATGTATAAGTTCGGATGTCGGGGGACTTCTGGTTATGACTCGGCTATCGTCAAAGAGAACACGCAAAGTTAACATTAACAAAGGGCTGCCAAAGGATTGGCTGCATCGTCAACTAAACTTCAGCCCTCTTCATCCTGTACACCTCTCTGCTGGCGGCCGCCACTCTAGCCCCAGCCCTTCAAACACGCGCCTCTCAGCCGTTTCCATATCAGGTGCCGGTCCTTGCTCCGAGCTCTCCAGATCCACCCACGAGCCGTCTGCACGTCTCCGGATGCCGCTGCTGTCAAACTTCAACCCCATCTTCGCCTTACAGTAGCGTCGAAGGTCTCTCTGGAACGTCGTCTCTCCACTCCATCCAAGTATCGCACATCCAGCCGTCTTCCAGGGGCTGATGATGATGTCTACTCTTCGGTGAGGCGCCGGTGCACCTCCGTGCTCTCTGCCGTCTCTCGGCTCTTGCCAAACTACCATTGCCTTGTCTAGGGTATCAAATCCCGACCCAGCAGAGCGATCTTGACCACGCCATGGCAGAGGGGCTTGTTCACGATTACTATTTCGCGTCCAAACACTTAAAGTATGCTTGATGAAAGAGCTCTTCTCTAGGCTACAAATCAGCCTTTTCACAACGTTGAGTGTTTGAGCTTCGTCGGGGTGGCTTATGATCACATCAACGTCACCGCTCTCAGCCTTGCCTCGCCGGTAGCTGCCAACAATTACCATTTGGAAGCCTGGGTTGATTCGCCGGGCGTGAGTGAGAATTGCATTGGCAATGGCTTCCGTCTCTGCTCGTGGGATCCTGAGCTGGAAATCGTCATAGTATTTGACGCCAATCTGCTGCGCTCTTTGCAACGAGCTCCATCCATGCTCTACGATGTCATCGAGATCTCGCCACCCTAATCGTACAAAGAGAAATGTTTCGTTAGCCCTCAAGCCGCTTCCACTGTGACAAGTCTTGTAGAATTAGCATACCTTTCTTAAAGAATTCGCGAGCAGTCGCATCCGCAACTCCCCATATCTCGTAAAACTTTCTCAGCACAGTTAGTTCGGTGTTGACTGCAGCCGCCTTGGTCTCTGCAGTACATCCATCGGCCATCCACTCTCGGTATAGCTTTTCAATCTTGCCCCCGCATCCAGGCAGTCTTTCTATCTCTGCAACGAAAAATATATTAGTTCTTTCATCTTATATTCAATTTCCAATACCAATGAGCGAGAATTCGCATAGGCAAACCAACTTACCCTGTGGTCGCTGAATCAGAAATGGATACGCAGCCAAAGACGCAATCGACGTAGAGTACGCCCTCACACCAACCTTATCTCCCTGTAGAAGCCTCAGCTTACGAACGTCCTTTAGTTCTTCGATGAAAGCAGCATTTGGCGGGTTGACAGGAGAAGGTCTCTGGCAAGAATACGTCGTATGGAGAAAATCAGGAATCGGCGGCAAGGGAATATCATGCTCCGACGTGGTCTCGCGATACAGCGTCGGTGGCTCTGCTCGTTTTCGTCCACTTGGAGTGCTTGGAGAATGTGTTCGTCGTCTTGCTGCCTGCGGTGAATGCGGGCTGGTGCTGATTCCCTGTTGGTCCTCGGCAGCACGAGCGAGCACTGCTGAGGCTCGGCCCTTCAATCTTTGTCTCGACGGAGAAGTCTTTGGAGTTGTGTCCTTCTTGGGCTGAGATGGCAGTTTGCGGCCTAGGTAGAGCAAATAGTCGTCGACGGGCAGCGCAGCGTCTTGTTCAAGAGAATCCAACAGCCATGCCAGCTTGAGCACCAGAACAACATCTCTTTGCAGCCTCAATACATTCAAAGAAACGCCGCCATCTGTCTCATTTTGGGGTTTCAAAGCCTCTGGTCCAGATAGTCTCGGACGTTTCGACGGCGGCTCTTGGGCATCATCATCATCTCGTTCACGTCTGCTGGCAGAGGCCACTGGTTCTGTCGCAAGCCTAAGCCGCCTCAGCTCGAAAAGAGCGCGCTCCGGTCTGGATATCTTTCCCAATATAACGGCAGCTTCCTGAGAATCGTGAGTCAGAGTAGGTATCTTGTCCTCCAACTGGCGCCGCTCGTCCTCTTGTAAGTGAGTAGGAAGCAAGAAGATGCGGGGCAGCTCAGGAGCCATGGCTCAGGGCCTTGCGCGAGGTCGGTGTAAGCGTCATTTCACGAAGTCACAAGTAGGAGAGCACGGAGCTCTTTTTGTATTTTACCGTGCCAGCTCGTCGAGCAGAAAGTTCAGGCGCTGTTGGATTTGTTTGTCGTCATGCAAACAGCTGCGTGAATGGCGGGATGGAAACTCTCCTATTGGCTCTTTAACCGGTTTAGGAAAGTTTTTGCCCCACCAGGTTCATTGTTAGGTACCTACCTATACAAAAGATGGGACGAAGACCAACCATTTGGTTTTGTGTAGGTAACTTGGAATGAGCAATCTCGTTAATGGCTGCTCCTATGTCTATCTATCGTTTAACTATTCAGCAGCAAACACTAAAAGCAGCGCAAATATAACTGCAAAAGGCCAAATATCAGGCTACTAATGAGCACAGAGCAACAGCTTCCCTCCTACCCTATATATATATGTAGATTTTTCTATGCATTCAGCGCTCCTCCAGGCTGAGTTGCCCCAGCCACGTCCAGCCGCCATGGTCAAACAGTAAACTTTTTTTCATATGAGGCTCAAAGACTTGATCAGCCTTTATACATCCTCAAATTCGACCTCATCGTCATCCTCGTCTTCGTCAAGGCTGCTATCGTCTTTCTTAACTTCGTCCTCGACCTTGACTCGTTTAATCGCCCTGTCATCTGCGTTTGCTCCATTTCGAGATGCATCGCCGATTGGCGCTTCTGGCATCCCGTTCTTGATGCCTGGCGTGCCAAGCCCAGAGTTATTACCAGTTGCCATGACATCCTCAAATTCGTCGTCCTCTTCTTCAGAGGCGTATTCTTCCTCCTCCTCCTCCTCCTCCTCCTCTCGAGCCAGAATGGCAGCCTGTTCTGCTTTCAACTTCTCGAAAATGTCATCAATCTGTGTGCTGGAAGTATTCTCGACGGGCTTGCTCTGAGACGGATTTCGACCTGTCGAGTCCTTGCCCGCCCCCAAAGCATTGGCTTCGGCGGCGGCGGAATATGACTCTCCAGTGATTGTACTATTGGACATCCAGGCAGGCAGCGCATTTTGCTGTGCAATCTTTTCCTTGCGAAGCCTGTCGGCCTCTTTCTCAGCCTCGGATGGCCCGTCAGATGTAGATATATTGACTGCAATTGACTGGGGGCCCGTATTGGCCAGACCTCTGACCGCCATGGGTCGAGACGATGCATCGTCGACGGGTATTGTGGCTGCGCGTTGGTGTGTCGCATCGCGAACCACCGGCCGAGCTTTTGATAACGCTCGATCAAAATCGCATTCGGGGATGTGTGCCGCATCGATTTTAGGTAGCAGTTCGCTGATGAATTTGAATTGGTCGTTCAGTCGGGTTGACTGTTCATGCCCGCCAGCGTTTCGATCTGCTTCAAACGAGAGCGGGTGGCGGCATCGGTGGCAGATGAAACCCTCTGGTCCAACGCTGTCCAATACCTCCATCGCCGTCCATTCTGCCTTGCAGAACGAGCAGAAATATTCCTTCTTCTCATTTACTGGCACCGTGGTTCCTTGAACCTCCTTGTCTATGTTGTAAACCCGCCACTTGATGGCATCGATAGTGTGTCGATAATTGATGTAGTACCACGTGCGATTGCTCGGTCGGGGATTCCCCGGTCGTAACTCTGATCTCGTGTGGCTGTTATAACTGTAAGCTACCTATCCATCAAAGAGCCAAAGGATAGCAGAGGAAATCAAGCGTACACTGTTAGAAAACGATCCTCTCGTAGCTTTCCACATATTTTATGCAAATCTTTCGTATTGATGGCCATTAGATAGGCAAGATCGTCATCTCGTAGGCTATCCAAGACTTATTTCAGCGCGTTTCATTCTCATATTCAAGCATTCAACTCGTCAAAGAGGCGTACGCTTCATGAAGAATCAATGCGTCTACAACGAGGATGTCTCGCGTCGAGTAGAACGCCCGCATGACGGCCTTGATCAAGGTGACGGCGAGATCCATGGTGCCGACTATGTATAAAGATCGCTCTAGTCGAAGAAACAGGCGTATGGTAGATCGTTCAAGAAGTCTGCGCTGGATCGTTCGTCTCGATTTCTTCACGTGATGACTCTCGATTTTTGATGCGCGCCGGGATCCCTCGCAGCGTCGATACGGAAAATGTCGATGAAAGAAGAGGATAGACGGCGATTCGATTCAATGAGTATGATATTGAGTGATTTGATAAACTTCACACAAGAGAAGCGGCGCTGTTTCGGTTTGCAAGCGAGGGAGCGTAAGTCATGCTTATCGGAAGAAGTGCATCGTTCTGGTGGCCTTGGCTGCGCAGCTTTACCAAGATTATATACTAAAAGGAATATGCCGGGAATCGTCCCCGTTTCTCTCTCTCCGCGGGAGAATTAGTTTTGCGCCGTATACCAAGAAGGAGTATAGTTTCGTAGGATTAATTTTTCTATGGCTCTGATTCAGAGCAGTGCATGTGGAAAAAAGTAAAGTTAGTCGCGTCATTGCGCCTCTTCTGCCTACCTACAGGCTTACCTGTACTGCGGTCGCGACTCCAGCCAAGGTCGGATCTCGGAGAAAAGTTGGACCATCGCTATGTACCTGCATAGGGATGCAGGTACGCCGCACCAATGCACCGTCAACGGTTAACCCTTTTTGTTAATTATAGATTCACTTTCTAGAGAGCCGTCTTATTTCTCATAAAGCATCTTGCTATTTTTGCCTGCTAGTAGGTATATATATACATTGCATATATATACACCCCTGCCGACTGGATATCATTATGGTGAATGGTAACCTACCTATATTAACCGTAGCCAAGCTGACGTGCCCTATAAATCATATCCGCGAGAGCGGAGTCAAACCAACTCAACAACAACAAGAAAATTATATATTCATCCATACGCCAAGTAAATCATTAGCTCGTAGTAATCCAATGGTCGGGGTAGCGGCCCCGTTCATCGATTTCCTGCGTTTTTCCCTATCCAGCCTGCCTTGCTCTTTACACACTGCCCTCCCATCCGGTCGTTAATACTGATACAGAGGTAGATAAGAAATATTGCCAGACAAGTTGCTTTCTATCAAGCATATTTCCTAAGCTGTAGTTTGAAAGAAGATGGATTAGCTTTAATGTATACCAATGCGGGGCGATATATAGACATGTGTGACTTACATCCAATGTTAATGTCCGAGAGCTGTTGACCTCCTGGTCACGATAAACGCCCACAAGACTCTCACTGTCCTGGAACAGGCCTGCCTTCAAACTGATGACGATGAACTGCATGCCAGGGCCGGAATGTTCCCGAATGTACTTCTTGATTTTATCCACATTGGCATTGTCCAATGCAGCGTCCACCTCGTCCAGGACAAAGAAGGGACTTGGCTGGTAGCTGTGGATGGCAAAGAGAAGTGCCAATGCTGCCATGGTCTTCTCACCGCCGGAAAGATGCTCCATGTCTCGGAATCTCTTGAGCGGGGGCATGGCATGGAACTTGATGCCTGACAGATACGGCATATCAGTGTCTTCTTCAATATCCAAGTATGCCTGGCCACCTAGCGGATAAGCGTCAGATCGGGTAAGGTCCTTGTACACGTTCGTTATTTGGTCCGAAATGTGAACAAAGGCCTTGTTGAATAGTTCATATCTTCGCTGCTTGACATTGTTGAAAGCTTCCTTGGCCTTGTGTGCTGTTGTTTTGGAGTCCTCGTATTCTTGATCTGTCTGTTTGAGCCTCGTCTCGACGCTTTCTAATCGCTCCATGGCTCTCATGTTGGGATTCAGTTTTTCCAATTCTGCTGTGAGGGATGAAATCTTCTCTGTCAGCGTGTCCTCAACGCTAGGTTCCCCGGATTCTTTGAGGTCCTCGTCAAGGCCGTCGAAATCGATTTCAATACCGTGGTCATCGAGCGCGATGTCCATCATCTCATCATCTCCGCCATCAACGTCCATAGCATCTGGATCCTGTCGTAGCAAGTCATCTTGCGTCGGTAAGTTGTCCAGAGCTCCCTCTGTCAATGGAATCTGAATCTGCTCGAGCCGACATCGTCGGAGCAACGCAGACTTGCCAGCGCTATTCTTCTGCACGGTTGTTTCCAGGGCGTTGATCTCTCGTTGGCAGGCTTCGATATCTTTACTACGCTTCTGTAGCTCTGCTTTAGCCTCGCTAACCCCCTGGTTCTTCTCCGACAGCTCAGCCTTCAGCTCCTCGAGGGTCTCTCCAAGGGCGTCCAGCTCATCTTGGTCTTCGCGCTTCGACTCTTCGATTTCAGCCTTCTCTCTGTTGTAAGCCTTCACGTCGTGTTTGAGTCGCTTCACTTGATCTTGTATTCTTTTGATGCGTGCTTCGGTATCGCTGTGGCGTGAAACTTCCCAGTTGAGTCGAGTTTCCAGTCTCTGCCTCTGGACTTCGTACTGGTTGCGCTTCTCGGAAATCTCTTGTTCTAATTTACCTTGGGAAGCGTCGTATGCACGAATATCACTGTATCCAAGCTTCTTGCAGAATCCAGCAAAGACTTCATCCTCCACACGCGCAATAGCGTCGCGGAACTCTTGGACTGTGTCCTTGGTGCGATCCAGTTGCGCTGTTTGGGTTTCGTATTTGGGCTGAAGTTCCTGTAGCTGCTTCTTTTGGCTGTCGAGTTCGCGCTTCTTGCTTGTCCAGTTCTTGTTCAACGCTGCCAACTCGTCTCTGGTAGCTGCTAGTTGCCGTTCGAACCCGTTAAGCTCGATCTGTAGAGATTCTTCCTGAGTCCCCCGACGATCCGCTTTTGGTAGACGATCGATCTCGCTCTTCAACTTGGCCGCCATTCGCTGAAGATTCTGAACATCAGCTTCTTCGAACTTTCGCTTTCCGCCTTTGGGTTCAGGACCACGACCGCCCGTCATTAAGCCGGCTTTGTGGATAATGTATCCCTCCAGTGTAACGGCCTTGACCGGTATCTTCTTCTCGTAACAGATGTGTTTGGCGATGTCAAGTGTGTCGCAGACCACAGAGCTACCACATGCGTATGACATGGCTCTTTCGACTGCTGGTTCAAAGTTGATGGTATCGATTGTGAGTCTGGCGCCGGGAAAGCCCTTGATGGCGGTGTTGACAGCATTGACCTTGATATTGTCGAGCGGGATAAAAGTCATGGGGGAGAATCTCTGCTCTTTCAGATACTGAACACATTCCACACCGGTTTTCTCTGTATCGACAACCACAGAGTCAAAGTCTCTTCCCAAGGCAACAATAACGGCCTCGTCGTACTTCTTTTGTTTGGGTGTACACAGATTTCCAACGCGGCCACGAACTCCAGGAAAGATGCGTTTCAAAGTCGTCACCATTTCTTTCATGCGCGTCTCCCTGTCATTTTGGCGGCGGCCATCGTCGGCCTCTCTCAGCTTTCTCGCAACATCTTCGAGCTTCTCTTCGAGCTCAGTCCGTTTCTGGTTGGCTCGCACTCGCTCAGACTGAAGCTGATTGAACTCCTTCTTCTTGGTGGTAATTTCATGAGTGATGTCTTTTGTTGCGGATTCCGCCGAGCTTCGCCTTTCTCCGATGCTGGTAAGCTCTGCCTCCATTTTCTCAATGGCAGCGGAGACACTATCTACCTTGCCCTTGAGACTGTTAACGGTGACCTCATCCGCCTTCCTCTGCCGCTCAAGGTTTTCCAGTTTTGCCTGGTTGGAACCAGAGCGGGCCAAAACCTGTCCTCGGAGCGCGTTGTACTCTTTGCGGTCATCGTCACTTATTTCTCGGCCAGTCTTCTTCAGCTGCTCTTTGACATCTTTCTCAAAAACATCCTGGGCCTTCTTGACGCTCGCAATATCCTTGTTGACTTTCTGAACAATATCAGTTTGCTCTTCAAGCTCTTTGCTAACTTTCTGCGACTGAGTCTGTAGCTTTTCAATTTGCTGCGTAGACTCATGGATCTTCTCGTCAAATGGAACCAGAGCATTCTCTTTATCCTCGATGTTCCTTTCCGCGTGCTTGATATCCTTTTCCACCTTGTTTACCTGCTTCTGGACAGCAGATTGTTCTCTTCGAGCTTCCTCAAGTCGATTCTCAAACGCTTGTACATTTCTTCGAAACTCTTTCAAGTTTTCATGATGATCTTGGATGGCGGCACTGGAATCGTCCATGGCTTTCTGAAAATGGAAAAGCTTCCACAGGCAGTGCGTGACAATGGCCGCATCTCTTTCCTCAGTTTTCTTTTGAAAGCTATCTGCCTCCTTCTTTTGCTCACGGTATTGTTTAATTTCGGAGTTGATGCCACGACGGCGGTGAAACTGGAAGTTTTGGTTTTCGATGGCTTGCTCGGCCTCGGCCTGGAGTTTTTCGTACTCGGACTTGTATTCCAAGCTTCCCGATATCTGTTCAATGAGGCGTGTAAGGTCTTGGGGAGATTGTGAGGCAATAGCCTCGACATCTCCTTGGAAGACGAGGAAATTGCGCGCCTTGATCAGGATGTTTTCCGCTTCTAGAGCCTCATTGTATTGCTGAGCCGTAACCACTCGCTCGTTGATCCGGTATTCGCTAGCTCCCTGGCTAGTGATGGTTCTCTTCCATCTCTGCTCCTCTCCGGCGTCGTCTTCATATACAGCCATGACCCAAGCGGTCTTTGGGTCTCCTCGAGACGCCTTATCGTCGTCGGCAAAGTTGCTCGTATCGGCAGGCGCCTGGGCGGACCCATCATCGTTGATCTTAGACGTCTTCAGAACGCGCCCACGGTAGACAAGCTCCTTGAGGTGCGTAGAGCGCAAATGAGAGGATTTGATGCCAAGGACAAAGGAGATGGCGTCCATACTATCCCACCCTCGTAATTAGTACAGCGGCCCAATAGCGAGGGGCACGAATATCTTTAGCGAAGCAACTCACGAATTGGATTTGCCCGATCCATTGGGCCCAATAATCGAGGTGAAGTAGGAATCGCCGAATAGGAGAGTATGGTGGCCCTTGTAGGACTTGAAGTCTTGAAAAGCGCACAGTTAGTAAAGCCCAGCGACCGCAATCAACAAGTTATTCAAGAGGAGCATACTGTGCAACTCAAGACGAATGAGTTTGCCCATGGTGAACGAAGTGCAGCGGTGCCTGCAGCTCGCTAATTTCAATCAAGATTCTGTCGCAACCGGTACAAAACAAAAGCGCTGGCAACGAAGCAGCTCTGGCGGCGGAGCACGCGCGGAGTAGCCTAAATCAAGAGGGTCGACAACACCACACGATGGGGATCCTTCAAAGCAGTGTTCTCATGGGCGGTGCCGCGCAAATTACAAGTTTCCCCGACGGTGCGTGAGGCTGCAGCACGTCATGCTAGGGAAAGGCGAGGCGTTGCTGGTGAGCGGTGCGCAATGCGAGAAGCAGCTTTGACGCGTCGCGAACTGCGATTCTGTAAAGTTCACTAAAACAGGCACCACTCTGCTGCTGCTGGGTCGCACCACTAATGGGACCTGGCCTAAGGTAGGACGAGGGCGCTATAGCGAGTACACGTTATGGTGGGGGTAGGGCAGTTTTGCGCTGGCCTTGGGCGGGAGCCGAGCTGCTTGCTTTGGCCTGGATCAACATCAACCCATTTCCGCACCTCAACAATGGCCGTTCCGCATCTGGTGCTATGATGTCTCAGTCACGTGACGCTGCTCTGGGACTCGCCCAAACAATAGGCCTAGCTGTTGACGCATCCAGTTCATGTTGCTTCACAGCTGACTCAAGACCCCCAAAAAGGCTTGTCTTTGTTTAGCGCCCGGCCTCCTCCAACCAGAGAGCGGAACCGCAGCACCTGCTTCACGGCAATGGTTCTCGATTTCCTTGAACCTCGTCGACCTGCCTGAAAGCAAAAAAAGAAAAGAAGCCAATACAGTGGGCTGTCAGATGGCCTGGACCACATTACCTTTTTTCCCCCAATGGCGTGCTATGATATTTCTCTGCGGCTACTTTGTACACAAGATGTTTGATTCAAGCTTCGTCCCTGTATATGACTGCAAGTGTCTTTTGCTTCCATCTTCTAAGTTGCTACTGGGTAGGATAGGACGCTGCTTAGGCCGCCGTATGCGAAGTTATCCCCAGCCCAATAAGACGCAGAAGAATGTCCAAAGTCTCCGTTCTCTTCTGTCGTGTGCAGCGTCTTTGCCCGAGTAATGCGATGCATGTGCTCTGTACACTCTTTGCTGGGAACAGGGGTCCAGCAGCCGCTAACTCACAGGGCATGTGGGGTTGTTGGGCTACAGCCGTGTTGTGCAGTACTTTAAGCTTTGAACGTGTTGGGAGACGTTACCCAAAGAGACCTTTGTCCCCTAGCAGTTGCTACTACCGCAACGAGTACTGATTCGTATCCTCGTCATCTTTCTAGGTACCTCCTAACTGCTGGGACTATCACATGGACGAGACCGCGACCCTGGGCTGGGGACAGCTTAGATAGAAGCGTCCTGCGGATGATCATCGACGGGACCATGACGATGACTTGGGCTCGCATCAACAGCAACCTAAAAAGAAACCACCTTCTGTTTTATATTTTCCCCTCCCCTCTTTTCCTAAAACTCTCTCCTGGCACCTTGAATACTAGCCTCGCCTCTTGCTGGCGCTCTTTCTTTCTCCTATTTATCCTGTTTCTGCCTCTACTTCTCTTGACCCACGTTGTCGATCTGTGGTCATCACTTGCGGTGACATTTTTGCCACCGTTTGCGATTATATCAACCATCCTCCTAGCCTGAACATCCATGATTTGACCCAACTGCGATACTGCCGAACCGCTTGACTCTTTGGTTGGATCCTCTGGGATTGTAGTCTATGGGCCTGTGAACGACCTGCAAGCCCAGCCTTATCTATGCAAATCAGATCGTGGTGCCAGCCATAACCCACCGTGAAGATGGACGAAGAAACCAACTCGACCACTCCCATTTCAACGCCGGGCACCAGGTCGTCCGGCAATGTCGACCGCCTTCCAGCCGCTGCAGAGGCGGATCTTGCCTCTCCTCTGAGCTCGTCACCCCTCGACGCCGAGATCCTCGATTCCCCAACCCTCAGCGCCACGACGCCCAAGAGCCACAGGCTGTCAAGGAATCCGTCCTTCTCCGGCAGCAGCAGCACCTACCAAGATGACTGGGACACGCTGCCGCCGCTTGATCGATTGACCGTCCTCGACCTCCTGGACAACTTTGCCCTGCCGCAGCAGCTCGAGAAGCTCCAGAGGGGCATTTCCGCCCAGACCGACAAGGTTCGACGATCAAGAGATGCCTTCAAATCCAAGACCCAGCTGGCCCGCGACCGAATGGTGGAAGAATGGAGGCGACGCGTCCCCTCGGCCGACGAGCAGCTCGAGCGATACAGGAAGCGCATGAGGGAGCGAGTTGAGAAGCTCGGCAAGCAATGGAACAATACCAAGGCCATCAGCCTCCGAGAAAAGATATCCTTCATTTGCGGCGTTATGAACATCTTTGCAAGCGGATACCTTATGGGTGGTTTTCCTGAATGGTTCCACATCTGGTATACTGTCCAGCTCATATACTTTATGCCCATCCGTATCTTCACCTACAAGCGCCGTGGAATGCACTACTTCTTGGCCGACCTCTGCTATTTTGTCAATGTGCTGCTTTTTCTCAGTCTGTGGGCCTTTCCCCAATCGAAACGGCTCTTCACGGCGGCGTACTGTCTCTCTTATGGCAACAATGCTGTGGCAATCATCATGTGGCGTAACTCCCTGGTATTCCACAGCTTTGACAAAGTCACATCTCTCTTCATACACATCATGCCGTGCGCTACGCTCCACTGCGTTGTGCACCTCTACCCGCCTGCAGAACAGATGATACGGTTCCCAGCCATCTACGCCATCAAGTATTCGGTCCCTGGATCGCCGACGGCGTATGCCAATGTCTTCTCCATGCTTGCGTGGAGCACCCTCCCCTATGCAATCTGGCAACTAAGCTACTACTTCTTCATCACTGTGCGCCGAAGAGACAAGATTGCTGCTGGCCGTCTCACGTCCTTCACCTGGCTTCGAAGATCCTATGCCAAGACCTGGATTGGCAAATTCGTCCTCGCCCGCCCTGCCGCGCTGCAAGAGCCCACGTTTATGATAATTCAGTACTTTTACGCTGTGCTCACTATCCTCCCCTGCCCGCTCTGGTTCCTTAGCCGATGGGCTTCCACCGTATTCCTCCTCGTTGTGTTTGGCTGGAGTATCTACAACGGTGCCACCTTTTACATCGATGTTTTTGGCAAGCGCTTCCAGAAAGAGCTCGAGGCGATGCGAGCAGACGTCATCAAGTGGCAGAGCAACCCAGAGACGCTGCTCCAGTCTCCTCATATGACTCCGGTGCAAGGTGGCACAAGTTTAGACGCACAGTTGGCGGCTTCGCCTCTGGCACCGTCACCAATGCGACCGACTGCCGGAAAGGATCGAACTACGAGCCTGGACCATATACCCATGCTGGATGAGACTTCCAAGGTCAGCGCAACTGGAGTGGACAGAGGAGACGAAGGCGTGGCGAGGGAACGGAAAGTAGGCGAAGATTAAGAATACTGTTTTGATTTTCTTTGTTTTGGGAATCTAATGGGGGTTTGTATAAGGGAAGAAGGGAGATAAGGAGAGGCGGTTGTTGTTGTTGTTGTTGTTGTTGTTGTTGGCGATGGAAGAGAAGGGGGAATTGGAAAGTCAAGTGTTGGCAGTCACAACGTCTTTAATGTCAAGAGCCCGTGAAATAAACAGTAAATGAATGATATACGGTAGGCGGAACGTTATGGGGCCGGGTTTCTTTTAATATATCTATCTTTTTGGGGGGGAGTGTTGGAATGATATCCTCGTAAGTCTTGTCTTATTTTGGTTTTTGGTTTTTGGGTTTCTATCGAGGCCTTCTTTTCTTTATTTTTTTCATTTCCTTTCTTTTCTTTATAACGACTCGGATATGGGAATGAGTGAGCGTATTAGCTTTAGTAACAGGAGAACTTGAGCGGTTTGTTTGCATTTGAATACTAGATACTACTGGCTATTTCATCATCTTTGTCATCTTTAGGTAGTATAATGATTATGACTTTATACACCTTACATCACCGTTCACACCGATTGCAAATTATCAAGACGTAGATTGATGGATGATATGTTCATCTGTCAGTTCATGATCGGATATATGCCCTATCCTCTCTATAAATGCGCTGGGCTGCACTGAAGCAGCAAAAACTGTGACCGCTGCCAGGAAGCTTTCCTGGTCGTCTTAATAACCCTTTGCCTTTTCATAATGCAATAGGGCGTGAAGTAAAAAAAGAAGAAGCCAATGTACACCTTAGGCTTGATAACAAATAGCCCGACCCAAAAAACACCAGAAAAAATGGTAACCATGCCGCTTAAGCGACCCAAGAAACAATACCGTCGTCACCGCCGCGCCAGATTATGCCAAATGATAAATAAATCAGATGAATAGCAAAGACGTTATCGCATTTCATTTCCGCAGTCTCAATATCCCAGGCTTGTGTGGAAGCATCTCACACGCCTTGCCAAAAACAGCGTACATACGCACAACTCCCTGCGTAAAATTGGAAGAAAAAAAGCAAAAAGATAGTATTCTTTGAAAAAGGAGGAGGAGGAGGAGGGACGAGACACCCAGGGTATAAATATAAGGAATGGAGCATCTTGTCAAAGGAGAGATATGAATTCAATCAGATTGTCATAATCTCATGCGGCTTAATCAGCCAGATGTCAGATTTTATCGAATGATTCCCCAGTCGGCGAATTTACCGCTTCCTGTCTCACCATCTTCTCGATTGCCTGGCCGTCGACCGAATGTGGACCAGAAACGCAGAGTCTCGTCGCCGGCTCCCGTCACGATAACGCGGCCATCAGGGCTCATTGCCAGATATAGAACACGGTATGTATGTCCGGTCAAGCTGGCCACTTGTGTCATGGACGGGTACTTCCACACAACAATCTGATTCTGGCTATAACCGTGGGTTGAGACGATCTCGTTGGAGTTTTTCGACCAAGCGAGATTGCACACTTGGCTTCCGGTGTCGATTTCGTTAACAACTGTTCCTTTAACGGTGTCGTGGAATATGATGCGGCGGTCAGCTGTACCGCCGCCAGAAGCAAGCAGGCCTCGCTGGTGTGGTGACCATGCAATGGCCTTGACGGCAGCATTGTGTTCAGAGAATTTCCAGAGAGGTGTGTCTGAGAGTTTATCCCAGACCATGAGCTTGTTATCGTTGCCACCACTGGCCAGCTGGCCATCATCACAATTCCATTTCAGACCACAAACCTCTTGCTTATGGCCGACAAGCTTTTTGAGCCACTGGTCTGGTGCCCGGACGTCTCGGTGGTAAATGAGCCGGTCACGAGAGCCAGAGGTGAGAATATGCGAATTCCACGCCAAGGATCCAACGCGAGCTGTATGTCCAGTCATGGTTCTTAATCTTCTAGCTTTTTCCGCATCCCAAATCTGGACAAGGCCCTTTCCGGTTCCGATGGCGAGGTGTGTGCCTTTTTGTATCCATGATACGCTTGTTACGGTATCATCCTCCAAGGTACATAGCTTGTTGACCTTGCTGGTCTGAGCATTCCACATGTAAACGCTAGACCCTAGCCCGACCCCTAGAACATTTGCACTTCCCCAGTCAACTAAATTGAGGTAGAAATCGTCTGCGAGCTCAGGGGCATCGAGGACTTTGTAGGGGACTTTGCTGACTGCCCGAGGTTGCCGGCGCGGGCTCAAGAGCATCTGCTGGCTACCAAGACGCACAGGTGATAAACTGTAGATCTCTGCTCTCGTGTCCAGATTCGGGCCATGCCGACTCTGGGGAGTTTTTGAGGGGGTGAGATGGCCCACAGGGTGGCCGTGTTGACGAGGCGAGAGGTATGAGAAGAGGTTCTTATGGGGGGTTGATGGGGTCAATGAGGAAGGTAGAGTTAGGGCAGAGCTGTGGCTAGGAGGGGTGTGAGATCGTGTGCCATCCTGAGCAGTGATGTGTGAGGAAGCAGGCAGGTTGCTGTCTGGTGATAAAGAGGGAGTGACTTGTGGCACTGATCCTTCAAACAGCTCCGCACGCAGTAACGTTGAGAATGTGCGATTAGCCTCCTCGGCTGTGAGTGAGTCAGTAACCATCACCATTCATCGCTCTAACCATTGCGGATGAAAGTATGAGAGGGGATGATAAGAAGGGAGAATCGGCTTACTCTTCTGGAAGTGAAGTTCACCTTGTGGCGTCCTCTTCTTATGTCTTGAGGGAGTAGCTGGAGAAGCATCTTCATGTAGAAGGCTAAAGCTGGCTTGTAAATCCTGGCCAGCGCGATTCGGGATGAATCTAGATTGCATAGTTAGAAGCTATTTCAAGCCATGATGGATGATCTAATGGGGGCGACCAACCGATCGACGTTGATCCTCTGGCGTTTGCGAGAAGGGCTTGCTTCGATAGTGCTTTCACGCTGGGGGCGCTGCAGTTCCCGCAAGAGGGCGCTGTCGACGGCGTCTACATCGAAAGCCGCGGGATGGGCGACATCGCTAGCCCGTGCCCTGGTTCGCATTCGTCGCATCGTGCCGCTGTTGCTCTCTACATTTGGTTTTTCTTCCAGCCGGCTGCGATCTGATACAGGAGGGGGCGTGGACATGCGAACGGTGTTGTTGGTGGATGGCTGCTTCGACTCGCCCATTGTTCTCTTGGAGGAACCCATGATGCTGACGAATGGAGATGTCGCTGTGTGGTGTTTAAGTAAGCCTCAGACCTTGCGGGCGTGGTCTTGATGGAAGACGCAGCTCCGTCGTGGGGAGTGCCCTCGGAAGTTGCTGCTCGGATCGCAGGCTCTGCGGCGGGGCGGTTGCAGGTGACGAGAGAAATGATGCTGAGGCGAGTAATCTTATGCTGGGAGCAACCGAGAAGAGGGTGAGCGAGCGCGCATCCAGTCAGAGTGCGGGTGCAGGTCTTGTGTTCATCGAGCAGAGGCTACCGCGAGCGAGGGCGAGGGATGGAGGTAGAGAAAAAGAGGGCGGCTTGGCGACTATCGCCTGGGACGACTGGTGGATGTTTGATCAACGCCAATCGCACGGACGACAAGGTCCGAATGCACACAAAAAAAAGAGACAAAAAGAAAGTCGAGAGACGATATGGCCTGGTGCAGTCCGTTGTTGGCGATTACTGGCACTTGCAGGCGCACGAGGTTGTCGAGGGAGTGCAAAAGCGAAGGAGGTTGGCGGGTGATGAAGACGGAAGACGGGCCTGTGGTTGAGACGGAAAGCTACGAGAGGCTGCTGGAGGGAGGTTGAAGCCACTGCGAAATGGCTGCCAGAGCTGGACTATGCCTAGTCGGGGGCGTCAACGTGCTAAAGGGGGGTGGAACAATAATATTAGCAGCGAGTGCTAGTGGGAAAACGCGGCGTGCGTGAACAACAACATTGGCGGGCACACGCCAAAAGCGCTCTCTCACTGCTACCATTCGCCTGAAAAGTAAACAATAAGAGCAGGGGCTCGTTTTCTTATATTGACCCCAAACCTTTTTCATTCTGGCCTATTATGTTTCCATCTCATACATTGGATACCACCGCTTTTGGGCGAATCAGTCAATGAGATGAATGGATGAATTAATGAGTGAATGCGTGCGTGCGTGCATGCATGGCTACAATAAACACAATAGCACCCTGTCTCTTCTTTTCATTTATATCCTCTTTCGCCTTTACCCCAGCCATACAAAAGACGACGCGATGCGATGCATGTAATAGAGCATCGCTTCTATACAAGAGCAGACTTGCATGATTCAGTGCCCGTCTATACCAAGGATTCGAAGCTTTTTTATGTAGGACGGCTCTGCGGGCACTTGCTATCCGCTAGACATTAGCAACTCAAATTCAACACTCGAGTTCATGTGGCTTCAAGAGAAAGAATCATTGATACCCACGGATTGAATCGTAAGAAGAAGCGGCCTACGGTAGCATCCGCATGCGCGTGTCGTCCCGCACAGCACTATAAAGTGCCGGCTCAGGGACCTTTTACATACGTATACATGTATTGATATTAAAGTACTCACATATGGAACATGTACTTGGAATCGTCTACACGTGCACATACTATCACATTGGAATAAATTAAAATGACCGGCTGAAAGGGACCGTGGCCGCTTCGCCGCCATTTGCAGCGTCGCACTTCCGTCCTTGCATCCCGTCATGCGCTGTTATTGTTGCTGTGTTGTTTGTTTTGAATCTGGACAAGGAAAAAACTCGAAACTGCGTGCACCTGCATATGGACGTGCAAGGTAAACATTATGGGGGTCTTCCAGCAGGGGACGCGCCACTTTACTGGCCAGATGCGGCGGTTGGCTGCTAATGCCGGTCCTCTCTTGTCTCTGGAAGGAAAGCTGCGGCCAATCAGCGGCGCTTTCGCCTCTCCCTGGTCCTGGAACTTGCCCCCGCCGCCCAGTAAAGTGCGCAGACGCGTTTTTTCGTGCCGGGCGTCACTTTGGACGCACCAGTTTCGCGTCAGCCATGCGTTGCGACTCGCTTTCGCTCTCTGACGTACGAGCACAGGCACCATTTTCGATGTGGTCCCGTCTTGTTTCCCATTTTCCCCATGTCGCTGGTACTAGTAATCTTGTAGTCTAACAAAGCTGTCCCCATGGGCTTAGTGTTGGGACCATTTATAGCACTCGCTCGTGGTATAGCTGGAGCTGGAGCTGGAGCAAATAGGTACATAGATGCTAGCACGGGAATGACGAAATCAATCGAACAATACCTGAGTACCTACCTAGCAACTGATGTCAAGTATGATATTACATGTGATACCTCTTGAATGGCCAAATCTTTGAAAGTCGAAAGGTGGTCTTCTCTATGATTTTCAGCATCTTAGACAGGCCTCCATGGCTGCGAGATACTTTCGCTAAGGGAGTTGGTTTGGATCGCCTCGTGTTGATTGTTGAAAATCACGAGTTCCCTCTCCAAGAAATTGATTCGTCAGATCAAGAAGCTTGGGAGTTCTCAATTTGGTGCTAGTTCTCGAAACATAGTTTCAATACTGACCCCCCTCCGCTGCTCGAGCATATTTGCGATCTAATTATATCCAAGCACTTTGTAGCCAAAAGCAAGCGTCTATTTTGTAACACATTTGGTCAATCAAACCAGCCACACCAGCCACTTGCATGATCATAAACAAGGCCATTAATATTCCATCCATGAATCTATCTCTATCAAACCAGTCGCACAAATAACATTGGCAAAAAAAAAATAGGTAACAAAATTGTTGCCATTCGCTTATCAGTGCGGCCGCCGTCATCTCTATCCTATCCCTCTTTATCAAAAACAAAGTAATAGCAGTGGTGTAATAAACGCAGCAATAGGTAGCAATAGTGGTAGTGGTAGTAAAACAGAATAGTATTTACGCCTGGGATTCGGCCTGGGCCAGCAGCCGCTCTCTCCAGGAATTGCAGACATCTTCAAACCCGCCAATCACTTCTCCGCAGACGCTTGCACACTCCCTTTTCTCCAACCGCTCGCCCCAGTTTCCTCTAGTCAGCCACTCCTCCCCTTGTTCTCTCAAGTCATCCTCTTTCCTGATTTCGGCAACGAGCTCCTTTGCGCTCTTCAGTCTGCGGCTGGCCGCGGCCGTTGTCTGGCGGGACATGTGCAGCGTATCCGAGAGGTAACTCAGCGACTGTATTAATTCCGATGTGATGGAATGTAGCGCTGTGAGAGAGTTGAACGCCGACGTCGATGGTCGTGGCATGTCTTCTGTCAGAGATACCAGTAGCGGCTCAAGCGTTTCAATCGTTTCAGCGTCAGGAGCCGGTGCTAGTGGAGATAGCAAGGGAAAGGTGAGGTTGTGAAGTTGACGAGTCTGGTGTGCAAGATGCGTCGTCAACGCAGAGTGTGCTGTTATAAGTCTAAACAAGTATCACACGAGTTAGCGCTTGGATGCCTCTTTCATATGCGAGTTCAGGACGTTGTTGGCTCACCTCGAAGCGCTGCCTTCGACGCTGGATTGCGATCCCAAGTCACGCAGCTCCTGAATTACCCGCGTCAGTACGTCGTCTGCTGTGCCTCCGAAGTTATCCGTCCCGCGAATGGTGAGGTTTTCGACAGCGTCAATCTTGGCCATCAAGCTGGGGGGTATGCCGGCAATGTCAAGGTCTGAGTCCGAGCCATAGTCACTGCCATCATATAGACTGGTTTTTCTCTGGTGACCCTTTGCGCGAGGGGAGAGCAAGCTCGCCGCATCGGCTTCTTTCTTTCTTGCCTCATCGTTTGTCGTTGCGCCTCGTGATGCGTCGTTGGTGTGTTCTGCCTGGTCTGTCGGCTCGGGATCGTAGTCGCCCTCTTCCCCTGAATCGGAAAATGCGTCCGCCAACTCATCAGCTAAGTTCCCCATTCCGTTGGCCCCTGATCCGCCACCGCCTAGTACTGAGAGATCGAGAGCATCATGGCTTGGGCTGTGGTTGAACGACGTTGCCGCATCTTGCGTGGAGGATCTCGAATACCGTCGAATTTGGGGGGAGCCCGCAAAGCTGTCGATTGCTGATGAGTTGCGAGAGTGTCGTGGAGTTCGCGGCGACCCGGGCATAATAATGGTTGAGCGCAATCTTGCGAAACACAGTCCCCAAAAAAAGAAGATGCGATGCTGTTTTCAAGTCTAGATTTGATCTCTGTCGGTTTTCGTTTGGTGGTTGAGGAATCAAACTTATTACAACGCTGACCTTGGGACTGGTATCTGCTATGGGTAGGAGACCCCGAATCATTCAGATCCCACCTGGGTCGAGCACCAAGAACCAAAGATACGGTAAGCAGCTCCCTATCACGATAAGATAGGGGACTTGTCCAGTACTTTTGAATACCATGAAGACTAGGGAAGAATTGGCAGAGCTAGAGGTACCCAAAAGGTATCCATTAAAAATCAGGCTTGCATGATTTCACAGGCTTACTAGTTTGGCTGCTGCAGCGTACCGCTTTCAGCGTGCGACCTTTCACCAGTGAAGCTGCAGAGTACAAGTAGAAACAATTTACTCTCCATTCCTTTCATATACCGGTGGTTAATAAAGAGTTGAGAAACAACATTCAATTTTGAATTAAAAAAAAAAAAAAAAAAAAAAAAAAAAAAAAAAAAAGAAGTAGACAATTTACTCGTTGTTCAGAACTGGTAAGAAATATCTAGAGCTGTATTTCCTCTTTCCTAGGATATGTGGGCTTACAATTTGAGGAGGTTTCTTCTCCATTACCAGTGCTTCCAGCCTAAATATTTCCTGCCAGATAGGTGCCTTTCAACAGCCACTTGGGAATCTCCACTAGTACGAATCACTTGCGATCAGTCGCTCCACTACCAGTAGTGTAAAGTCATTAAAGCCATACTCCCCTTGACAAAGGCAAACGGCCAGCGGCTGGATCTTTATTCATTGGTGGACTGTCTTGAAGTGAGAGCAAGGGCTCGTCCGAGCTAGCACGATGACCACATTCCGGCGCTTTCGACCAGATGATGTCAACAAGTTTTCAAAATGCAATCTGGATCCCTTAACAGAGACGTATGAGCTCAATTTCTATCTTCAGTACCATGCAAAATGGCCCTCTCTGTTTCAGGTATGCGAGGATTCAGAAGGAAACATTGTCGGATACAGTTCGTCGCCCCCCTCCGCAAGGCCACTCTCTCGATACTGATTTAGTGTAACTGCTTAAAGTCATGGGAAAGGTTGAATCATCGCCAGACGCATACAAATTTTCAGAGCATTATCTTCCCTGGCACGCCCACATTACAGCCCTGACTGTAGCTCCGGAAGCAAGAAGACAGGGCATTGGCAAAATCTTGGTCGAGCAGCTGGAAGCCGCAGCAGATACTCACAACACATGGTTTATGGACTTGTTTGTTCGCAGCAGCAACGCAAAGGCCATTGCGTTCTACAAAGAACTGGGCTATAGTGTCTTCCGTGTTGTCAAGGACTACTATGGCGAGCATGCCACGGATCCTGACAAGGACAGCGAAGATGCGTTTGACATGCGCAAATCCATGAAGAGAGATGCAAAGCACGAGCATGTCAGAGCCGATGGCGAGGAGCACGAGGTACACCCAGAGGATGTTTGGTGAGCTTTATGATTGTGGACAGCCCGAGCCGGAGATTTCATACGCTGTGGAACTCGACAAAGAGCCTTTGATCATTTCCGTCATCTCCATCTGTCAGCGAAGCAACTAGTCGCTACTACTTTGTTGTTCTCCCATACTTCCGCCATATAAGCCTGCAAAGAGGTTGTCCATAGACAGGACTTTCTTAAAGCTTGAACACCTATTCCTATACAAGATGGCAAAGAAAGACGTACGAATAAGATAGAATTAGGTGTATTGCCTGATTAGATAGAAGCTAGACCATCAGATGCTGGGAGATTAAAAATAGGGAAAAGTCACCCAACACTCCGGTTCTATCCAGCACTCCAGTCATAGCATGGGATGGGCTACTGCTGCCGCTGCCGCTGCTACTTCCAGGTGTATTGGCTACCCGTAGCTGTGATATATCGTGATACGTGGACTGGCTGCCTTGTTGAGCTGCAGCTGGCGTGCTGCATCACCTTTCCCTGATAAAGCGGCTGCGCTAGTACCTGCAGTCCTTTGTCCCCCGTACCTCCAAGGTACCAAAGTCGCCACCCGCCTGGCCCATGCTTCACAGTAGCCTCAGAGCCTCAGAGCCTCGAGCTGACACTGGCCTTGGACGGGCTGCCCTTCCCAGCAGCCTCTCGCATCCAGCGCATCCCTTCCTTTACAAAAACCAAGCCACAGCCGGACCCGAAGCATCTGAATTGTTTCTTTTGTCCCAAACCCCGTCTGAAAAGCCAGCCTCAGGCGTTGATCAGCTGCTGTTGTGCTCTCGCACGCTCACCCAACCCGCCTAATCATCGGCTTTCGTTGTCACAGTACATCTTTTTCCTGTGCTACCAAGTTTTTTTTCTAGCCTTCTCTTCTACTTTCGCCAAGCAGAAGCGAACTGCCAAACCATCACCCATTCCATCAGATTTCGTCGGCTGCTCACCTTTCTTCTTCTTCTTCCCATCTCTGGTCATCTGGCAAACATGGCGACTACTTCAATGGATTACGAGGCCGCCAACGGCGATCGTTACGATGGTTCGTGTTCCTTGGTTCTGATGACGAAGACGGCCATGGCGACGACTTGACGTCGACGCGTTTGTGCCGCGTGCCTTTGATGAATTGGACCACCGCTAACGCTTCATGATTTTCATTAGACGAGCCTCCTCGTTACGAGCGTGACAACAGAAGCGCTTCTCCTCGTCCGGCGCGCGACGACGCCGGCAGTCGTCGCCGATCCATGTCTCCCCCCGGAAACCCTGATATGTAAGCCTGATGACTATTCTCGCCTCGTTGTCGCACTGTTAACCTGAATTGCAGCAACATCAAGGATGCACCCGGCCCGAAGGAGGATGACGATGGTGCCATTAACCCCGGCTCCAACCTCTTTGTCACTGGTATCCATCCTCGTCTGTCTGAGGCTGAGGTCTCCAAGATGTTTGAAAAGTATGGTGAGGTTGAGAAGTGCCAAATCATGCGAGACCCTCACACCAAAGAGTCCCGTGGATTCGGATTCGTCAAAATGGTCACCTCCGAACAAGCTGAGGCCGCCAGAGAAGGCCTCCAGGGCGAGGTCATCGAAGGCCGCACTATGAGCATTGAAAAGGCCCGCCGTGCTCGCCCTCGCACGCCCACGCCCGGCAAGTACTTCGGTCCTCCGAAGAGAGGTATGTTGAGACAATTCTTTCAGATGAGAATCAGACCCATCTGCGATACTGACACCTTTCTGTTAGACCCCCGCTCTCGCTTTGATGATCGCCGACGTGGCGGTTACGGAGGCGGCGGCGGCGGCGGTTATCGTGATGACTACCGATACCGTGGCAATGAGAGAGGCTACGACCGCAACTACGAACGTGGATATGAGAGACGATATGAAGAGCGTGCAGGAGGAGGCTACGACCGCAACTACCGAGATGAACGACGATATGAGGACCGTAACTACGCAGGTGGACGAGACTATGAGCGCAACTATGAACGCCGCGACCGCGATGACAATTATGCTGGTCGCGAACGCTACAACAACTCGCGCGAAGACCGTGCTGACCGTGGCGACCGTGCTGACCGAGGCGACCGCTACGGCGCTCGCGGCGGCAACAGCAGCGCCGGTGGATATGACCGCGATCGATACGAGCGCACCGCAGACCGCGACGGTGGCCGATCTCGCGAGCCAGCCGCCAGCAGTGGCCCAGCATACACCGACTCCGCCTCACGACCTGAGGCACGCGAGTCGTATGGAGGTTCGAGCCGACACCAAACAATACTTTTTGAGTCAAGTTTGCTAATTTCCCCAGGCCCTGAATCGGCTATGCACTAGTAACGCCCGCAGCTTTCTGACTGCCCTTTCTCGATCTTTGGCGCAAAACGTCTTTTGACATTAATGGACTGCCTGTTGCTGCGTTTTCTATCTTTCCGGTTTTTTTCTCATGTTGTGTTTTCTATTTTACTTTACTTGTCTTGCCCGCAGTTTATCAATCGACCTCCGGGGACAGCTGTGGACTCTTTCGTCAGAATCTACTCAATTAGGAGTTTCGTGCGATATGCGACTGCTAAGGGAGGGGAAACAATATCGGGTTTTCGGCCGTCGTCGCGGATATTTAAAATTTCTTGCTGGTCGGTCTTGCGGCTACAGAGTTGCGTTTATGGGCAGCTTCCGGATCTTTGCAGAATCAAACACTTCATCACTCGTCACCTTGCGCTACTACATAAACAAAACCAACATTTTGATTCCGTTTTAACAACACCACAGCCCAGCAAATATCAACCCAGGAGCCCTGATTTTCTTTCCTGACGAAGTGACGCCTTAATGGAACCAATAAAAATCGGTCGTGCTTCAGATGTTTCGACCATGCTCTGCAGCCAGCCATTTGTACCGTTTGTCAATAAGGCCTGAAGTCGACAAGCAACAAATTCGGGTTCAGATTAATACCAGCCGATAATGAACGCACCACGCCATGAGACTGCTAACTGCCACCTGATGAAACCAGTAGCCAACGTGTAAACCTTTTTGTCATTTCTACGCCAGTCGGCAAATTCCACCAATTCTCGCCGTAATAATCTCGTCCTCTTGATACAACAAAAATACAGTTATTCTCAACTGTTCAGTAAGGCCTCGTGCACGCAAATTTAAAACCCCGATTTCCGGACATTTTGCCCATCTTTTGAGCTCGATCGATGGCTTTCGTCGATACACACACCCTTCGCAATTGTCTCGCCATTTCTTCTTGCTACACTACATACCTATATCACGCACATTGTATCAGCCAAGACTTGCTCGAACACTGAAACTGCGAAATACTCCAACGAACTTGGCGAACGACTGTTTAATGTTTCTTCTTTCATTATCTTATATCTACTTTCATCTTCTGACTGTCTATTGCGCGCCAGATTTCCAACTTATTCAGCTGAGGTACTAATTGAGCATAGGACTGAGTAGCTATGTTTGTGTACGGGTCACATATTAGTCGGCAAATCGAGCTCCGAGAGCGACAGGCGACAGCTTGGTAAACAGGCCCTTGTCAAACGTCCTCGTTTCAATATTACCTAGTCTTTGCGTGGCGATGAGGGTTGTCCGACGAGGCTCAGCTTCAGCTTTACAGTCCTAGGCTCTCGCCGTCTTTACACCTGACGCTTCGATATATCGAATCACAACGCCTTGCAAGCATTTGTGCCGTTACGCATGAATCACGTCAGAACCTGGAACCTGAAGCTCGCTGCAATACATCGCGGTAGAAATACCATTTGACTGGATGCTGCTTAATCTGAGAAATTCGTTTGCCATGTTATCTATTTCTGCCGAGGCAGCTCCTGTTCATCATCCAAATTAAAACAAGGAGGTCTTCTAGTAGACTAGCCTTTGGATATCATCCGCGAAAAAAATTAAAATAAAAAAAAAATTAGTATTATTATTCTTAAGACTCCGTCGCTTCTCGATTGACATTTGCCCCTAATAGCCAACCAACTCCGGAGACCAGCGTGCCAGTGGCTGCTTCCCTGAGCTGGTCCCTCTTCCTCACCCGCGGCGCCTCCTCAGACGGAGATGGTGAAGCCGGTGCTCTAGATGTCGCGAGGGAAGACAGATTAGACAGCTTGGTGAAATTTCGCGATGCCACACTAGCGGTTGCCCGTGATAGATCGAAAAGGGACATTGGCGCCTCTTCTGCCTGTCTAGAGGCAGCCGTGGCCGTCATGTTCCTTGCTGGCTGTAGGTTCTGCGGAGCTTGCGATTCAAACGCTCCCGGAACTTCTCCAACGCCAGCCCAGGAAGCTTCGGCGGCAGCCTCCTCGTTGATGGCGGAATCCAGCTGCTCTTCGCAGCGTCGGAAAGTTTTGAGAATCTCCTGAAGCTGAGAGGTGGGTGCGACACGCAGCGCGGTTGCGAGACACTCTATACGCTGCTCTAGGTGACGGATCTCGGGGTTGCCACTTGCAATGCCTAGATGGGTTGGCAGCAACGTCCTCTCGGTTCGGATATACTGGCCTGCTTTTAGGGCTGCCTTCCAAGACCATTCGTCTTGGTCTTCTTTCTGGCGTGCTTGGTTTCCATCAGAGCTGGGTGTTTCCAGACGACTAACAACGTAGGAGTAAGCCGTCTCAAAGTCATCTTCTCTTAGTGCTGCTTCTATGCACGAAGCAATAATCAGCTTCTCCGCACGATGAAGCTCCTTGCTATTGTCTCCTGCTTCTGAATCGAATTTGATGGAACGGGCTTGTTGCGTTATACCGGCGCGGACCATGTTGGCGGCCATTTCCAGGAATTCGGGGAGACGTGTGTATGCCTTTGGGTTTTGCTCAAGAGCTTTGTCGATGATGGATATTGGATCAGAGTGCACTCGGAGGACTACGGGCTTGAATGGCTCTCCTTGCTTGAGTGTAAGTCGGTAATCGCTCAAAGCATGAGTACATCGTAAGAGAGCTTCGACCCGCTTGGTAGCTGGATGTGTCTTGTCTAACGTCGCTGGGAACGAATGGATGCTTGAGAGGGTGTTAGTGAAATGGTAAGCATTCAAAGTGAACAGCGCCATAGCATCTTACATCTCGTCACATTTCTTGAGCCCTCCCCTCGACCGGTTCGGGTTGGAAGCATTGTCAAAGGCGCGCAATGCCGCTTGATATACTGTGTCCTGTATTATTTCTGCGGCAAGGGGCTTGTTGTGACTGTCCTCGTAGATGCTTTTAGCAAGGGCGTAACCTATACCAAATTAGCAGGGTGAAAGACGATTGATAAGTGGGTTATATCGTACGTGAGTTAGAGAGGAGAGCCTTGAGTATCTCTGTTTCGATAAACTCCGTAGACACCGTCCCAGCGATACCTCTTATGGCTTCAGAACTGGCTGGTTGATCTCTACTTATGCCCCAAGTGTGTAACCAAAGGATCTTGTTTCTCACTTGTGACCAGTATTGATCTTCGTCACCTTGTATTCGAGTGGACGCACTTCGAATAAGTTTGGCAATCTCGCCCTTTTGCTCGCGCTGGTCCTGAATGAAGGCCAAGTCTCCGGCTTTTCTGACGGAGTAAGGCACTCCAAAGCCGGTACAAATAGAAGCACTCATTATCAAAGCCAGCAGTAGGGCCATTGCTGCCTCTGTGGGAGAAGTCAATGGGTTTGTTTCTTTGAGCAGATCATTTCTCATATAAGTCGCAGTTTTCATGCCCAGAAATGACGATGCATCAAAGTCAGACATGTCAGGCAGTCTAGAAACTGCCATGTCGAGGGCCGGGGAGATGTCGTCATGGCTAAGTAACGACATTATATGTTTCGTAATTTGATAAGCGCCGGGTAACGCCTCTACCGTGGATTCGGAAATTAAATACGCAGATGCGAGTGCTGCTCGTGCATAGCCTTGGAATAAGTACTGAAACTGAGATTCTGTAAGTTCTGAACTGATGGTTTCTCCTAAACCCAGGTCTTTTGGTCCTCCCCACTGCTCGAACACAGCAACGGAAACAGTCCATGAAGTCACTGCTTGGTCAGTGAGCCATTCTAGAAATTGCTCCCAGCCAGCAGAGAAGACGGAGTCGCTGGCATTGTGATTGTCGTTATCGGTTGTTTTTGAAGTCCAACGATTATTCCCCTGAAGCCATGGCCCGATGAGTCCTCTGATATCACGGCCAATGAAGCCTTTCTCCCCTTCACGGCTGCCAGTCCTGGAAAGCAGATATAGCACGGCTGCTGGGTCTGAGAGCTTTTGAAATTCGAGAAGAGAATACGGAGGGCTCTCGTCGGTATAATATTCCACGTTCCTCCTTATATATGGAACCACTGTTGAGGTAATCCACGACCGAAGTTCTGGTGAGTGGGATAAAAAGGGAGTGAGCAGGCTGAGAACCTGTGATAAAAGCCCAGTTTCGCTGTCCATTTTATATGACCTCTGGATAAGAAAGGAGCTTATCGGATCATTCTGAAAGTGATTGGGTGCGTCGGTGCACGCAAGCTGTTGAAGATGAAGCTTCCTTGCCCGTTTAGAGACCTCATCTTCTGACAAGCCTTCAACTGGGGCTGTGTCTAACACGCCATCGGAGTATTCTTCGAGACTGTCCCCGGCCAGTGAGAGTAAGAAACCAACATAGATGGAAGGTGTTACAGTTTCGGGAAGATATGTCAAAAGAATCCTCAACAGCAGCTCCTTGTGCAGCACCTTGGCCTGCTGACTGGACAAGCGGGCCAAGCTCTCAATATCTGCATGCGTGGCATAGTGAGCTGCGAGAAGCAGCGCCTGTCCTGGCGATAGTGAAGAGCTCATGCTGAAGCTGTTTTTCCCCCACGCTAGGCTGTGGAGTATCCTGGCCCCGTGGCCGATTTATAAAAGGAAAAAAATCTCCTTTACCTTGAAATAAAAAAAAGCAAGCTTGTTAATGACACCGGCAGCTGCAGTAGACTTGAGACTTGCTCGCTTCGAGTGCTGTTGATGCTGTCATCAGCGAGTGTTATTGAATTAGCGGGACTGTTCTGTCTCGATTCGCCAATGGGGGGCATTCCAGCTCAGTAGCGGGGCTAATTTAGTAACGGGGCACGCTGCCTATGTGCAAGTACCTGCCATTGCAATAAGTATAGGTGTAAGACCAAGTACATTTGTTAGCGCCTAGATGCAGCATTAATTCCCGATGCACCGAACCTTGACTGCCATCACTGGTTGATGCAAAGAGTCTCTGGGCGACGCAACACACACCACTCGGCACATCATGGCTTCAGGATATGGCATGCACGGCGGTACGGCCTCCGATTCGGCGAGTGGCTTTTCTCTCGATACTGACTGACTGTGCTTCTAGGCGTTGGCCGCTGCTTTCCGTTCTGGCAGGAGGTCATGGCCTGCTATGTCGTCAACACCTCAGCCGAAGACGACTCTGGCAAGAAGAAGTGCTCGCCCGTACTAGAAGATTACTACGAGTGTCTGCACCACAAGAAGGAGGTAGGTTGATGGGAGCAGAGCAGCCGTTCTGGGAGAAAGAGACGCGGCTAACGAGACACAGCACGCGAGAGCGCTGGCGTTGCAAGCCGCATACGCTCGAGCTCAATCAGCAACCCCGCGAGACAATGCGCCGAGCGCAAGCCAGATACGGAATTTGGGGCTTCTAGGGAAGACGGAGGACACAAAAGCGGTGCTTGGACAGGGAAATTGAGGCAATAGACGATTGAAGCGACGCGGCGGAGTTTCGACCCTCTTCTACGTATCTACATACATATCCTTGATGCGCATAGATATCGCAGCAAGCCAAAAATATATATGAAATCAGAAGAAAATGGAAAGTATATGCGAGTTCTGAATGCTACGTCGCGCGTATATCGACGAGGGGTTATATCTTCCTGGCTTGATATTCTGCCAGCCTATCTATACCCGAGGTCAAGATCAACAGCTAGTCCGCATAGCGAACCAACGTATTTTTCGCTCAACAGGAGCGCGTGATATAGCAATTGGCGATTAGTCTCTATAGTAGCTAGGGATATGGGTAATGTATCAGGTAAGGTGGTTGTCACTTTGTGTTATTTCTGTTATTTCACGCACTTGAGATTTACAAGCTGCCTAGCTGAATACTTCTGCCAGTTCCATGCAGCTGTTGGCCCTGTGGCATATCCTACGTGCTGATAGAGCATTCACTCACTGACTGGTAGCCCTATGGAGGCTTTGCCATGTGGCATTTGGTATATATCAGCTGAAATCTTTTCTATTTCATAAAACAGAATACCGGTCAGAAAGATTGCGGTGTTATGTTAACAGCCTCTCTTCTGTTACCACCCAACTCAACACCCTCCTATTCGCCCTGCGCTTTTCTTCTTTACCATCTTCCAACATAATAGCAATCATGCCTTGTTTGCGAGGCATCGAACTATCTATCATCATTCAACCAGATTCGCTACCATTACCAGAGTTTCCCCATCCTGACGCTTCTTCAGTTCGCGTTGTATCTCGAGGAGAAACTACGCAGACAGAAGAAAATAAGTCGAGCCCTCATGGCTCAGACTCGGCCCGTATCCAAAAACTAGCTCCGAGGGCTTCTGTCTATATACCTTCTACGTCAGGCTCTCAGTTCTGGGTACAGTACCGTATTCATCGCAGCCCAGAGCCTTCGTGCTACCTTTTCCTCAAACTGTCCATGAATGGGCGTCATATCACCAGCTGTGGAATAACTGATGCCGCATCAGGCACAATCAGTAGAGCCCTCTACGAGCCAAGCGACAGATGGCACTTGAAGCAAAATGAATTGCTGCTGAAAAGAAGCGGAATTGAGTCTCGCTCTTTTTGCTTCTCTCCTGGCCCTGATGCCGTTGCTGCAGCTGACGATGGAGGCGTTATCGAAGTTCAAGTCTTTCGGGCAAAGAGTCGTCGAAGATGCACTCCTCAATTGGTCCCCCACCGTGATCAACAACAATATGGTGTAATGTATGTCAACCCCGGGGCAAAGAGAGAGGATGAGAGAGAGGATGAGGAAACCAAAAAGACGTTTGTGTACTTATACTAATACGTAAAACAACAGATCGCCTTCAACAGGGCTCCTGGAACACCCTGAAGATGCTGCTTACTATGAGTGGATTCTACACGATGCGGTAGAAGCACCGTTTGCGACGTTCTGTTTTCATTATCGTGCGTGGACATATCTATGGGGCCTCAATCTCGCTACAGATGACAGCAACTCTCCGCTTCACAACTCCAGATTGAGGGAAAGGCTTGGAAGAAACTTACCCAAGTCTTCTGACCGCGAGACATCGCCATCAAAAGATGAAGAAGTTTCTGGCGAAGAATTGGACATTGGGGATTACGGTGAGGAAGCAAATGATGCTCGAGTTATTGAAGCAGAAACGGCTCATACCCGTTCTGATTGGCAAAATCATGCGCCGCAGTATGAAGAATTCAAATTTCCCAAGCCAAGCAACCGCCTACCTTCTCATAGCCGGAAACCTTCCCTTCACTCAGCAGCATCATTCAGAGAGATCCCATGCTCGGGTGACCCGTTCATCACATGCTTGCTCCCACCCGTCATGGAAGAAGAAGAACCATTTACGAGTCCCTACAGTCCTCCTAGGCACGAAATGCCAACGGCGTCTCCGACTCATTCTTACCATCGAGAGAATGCTCGCTCACGCGTTCGCAGACCGCTGCCAACAGTGAACGAAGTGCCAACACTAGAATGAACAAGCTGGGTTGTTGCCAGGCCGATTTATTTTCGTCATGTTGATGAGTTGGATAAGGAGTTGAATAGGGGGACTAGATGGTGATGTATTGGCATAGTCTAGGCAAGAATTAAGGAAAAGTACCTGTTTAGAGAGGCAATATGATGTTCACTCTTAATAATAAGCCATAAGAGAAGAAGTCGACGGTTTCTTAATCAGTTCTTAGAATCACACGTCCAAGTCTCATATTCACAATTTTAAACAGATTGATAAATATGGTGAGAGCAACTACTGACTACACTATACTACAAGAATGAAATATCCAGGAGAGCTGAATAGTTAATAACAGAGAAAAAGATATTAATGCACCCTCAAAAACAGAATGTAGCTCTGTAAACACGACAGCCATCTTTGTTGTATTCGTTTCATTTCATCAGCTGACGGCCAGCCGCTGCAATCACCCGCCCCCCAAACACTACTTTCCCATAACATTCATTCCTGCTTCTTCCATACTCACTTTCTATATCCCCCATATTCGTAATTACTACTGAGACTTTCTCAAAAAAGCTCACCCAATTACTTCTCACGTATTACCGCAACCACAAGTCTATGCAAAAAAGAGATTCTTAACAGACGCTTCACACAATTTCACCAACAGTGTAGCCACACAATATGGGAGACTCAAGCTGGATGCGACTGATCCCAGGGCAGCGTTGCCTGACTCCCGTTTCCCCCTGGCTTCACAACGGCCAAATCGACAATGAAGACGTCCCCCACGAAGCACCAAATCTTAAGATTACGCCACGACCCTTGGCCGGCTTCAACCAATCCTCTGCCGACTTCACCAAGGATATTCTCGTCAGAGAAGCAGACAGGCTGCAGAATACCCCGTCAGTCGACGAAATGGCAGACGTGCTGCGAACCATCATCATGTTATCCCCAACCCCGCCAATCTTAGATCCGCAGTATACGTCGTATGTGCTCCATCTCATCGAAGGCTACAGCAAGCTGCGAAGCAAGCTATCAGCAAAAGAAAAGGAGGTTTCCCAGCTGAAAGCAAAGCAGCAAGAAGATGGAGAGGACAGCAAGATGCTGTTTGCAGACTGGTCGGCCCAAGAAGCGCGATACAGAGCCGAGATCAAGCGATTGGAACTAATTATCCAACAAGTGTCTGGAAATGGTGTCGAGGCTGTTGCGCTGGCCCGATCTGGTAGCCTCATCAGAAAAGGCGGATCAGGCAGAGCACATGCAACGGAGGCAGCGACCCCTGAGCAAGTGCCTGCAGAAGAGGAATTCTGCCAGGATGAATGTAAAAGTGCTTCTCCTTGCAAGGGCTCAGATATCCAGGGCAGACGAACATGTGAGTTTGGATATGCAACTTTATTCAAACTGGTTTCACCGTGAGCTAACAAATTTGATTCAGCCATGTCTAGTGATGCGCTTGATATCACAGTCCGCCTCAATGCTAAAAACCAGCTTTGGAGACATCGTTCCGAGAACAATCTTCGAGAGCCAAGTCGAAGAATAAGAACCGGCCAGCGAGAGCACTGTAATGGCCATCTTTTATCGCATTTAACGCCGTTTCATCTGCGCCTTAACATGGACACTCCAGAGCCCGAACCAAAAGAAGAGTGTGACGTGGACGATGAGCAACGTTTGCATGAGAGCGATGCAGGAGATAGCGAGTAGACTGCAAGGGCCAGTTCAAGATTTGCCAAGGCGCAAACGAGTGAGCCGGCAACTCAGGGGCTATGGCGTTCATTCTACCCAAAATGTCATGTCAAATCTTCATCACGTCTTCAATCGTCACTAGCTTCGAGAGACAATATATGGAACAGTTCCAATGCCATCCAAGGGCAGTATTAAAATGCATTATATGGCATAATGCTATCCGTAGCAGCCGTCAGCTAGCTAGCCAGATATAGGTATATCTTCTCGCACTCGTAAACCTTTGTGTGTGGCTCCGTGTAAGTAACGCCAAAGAGGAAAGAGAAAAGAGAAAAGAGAAAACTAGAAACGCCATAAACCAAGCCGCTTAACTGTAAGTCCCAAATCCACAGCGAGTAGTACCATCTAGATATTTATAGATATATGTCACCACCCTTACCCAAAACCCACCGCCGCCATGCCTCCTCATAGGCTGATTCCAAATCGTTTACCCACCGTCGAGTGTTGAAGAGCCCGCACTGCCATCTGCTGTCCCATAATAGCTTCCTTATTTCTGCTAGGCGCCCCATGCCTTGGCCATATCCTTCGTCTGTCATCGTATAGCTCAAGCCTCCAGCTAATTCCGTGGCTGAATCTTCATACTCGGTCTCATTTTCTGCAATCAACTCAACTGCTACTTGCTCGCCTTCAGCTGTTTTAGGAAGCGCCCCTCGCAAGATTGACGCAGCCATTCGAGAACACATCTTATAAGAGTATCGAGGCAAAGTGAGAAGCGGAGTGCTTGACCACAAGACGTCAGCAGCGGTCGTATGAGCGTTACATTCCGCGGTATCAAGGAACAGATCGCACACTCTCGCCCTGGTGATGTGTTGGCTCTTTGGTGCTACGTCAGTAAAGATGAGTCGACTAGCAACTTCTGCTCCGGCCCAAGCTTCAGCTGTCCGACGCAAGTTGACTTCTCCCAATTCGGGGAACCGTAGCAGCCATAGTAGGGCTTTAGGAGTCCTCGCCAAAATCCGCAACCAAGAGCGGAAAGTGGTAGGGTCAATCTGCCATCAGGTTAGCTGGAGAACCCAGTATAAGTCGTTGTCTCGCGTTCTTCACTTGCCTTGTACAGTTGATTGAAGTTTGCCAGTATGATTGCATCATCTGCTATTGTCGGAAACAGCTCTTTGCGCATCTGCCACCTGCGCTTCTCTTCATCCTCCCAAGTTATGTCACGCTCGCCACGATCGCACGACTGTGCATGATCACAGCAGAAGAAGGTATCCCGACAGAATATGATGTTTTCCGAATACATCCACGACAGGTCGTCCCCTTCAGTGTTGTCGAAAAATACATCCTCGATGCTGGCATTTGCCCTCCAAGGACGCAAAGTACTTTGTGGGACAGCTGTTGCATCAGCGAGTAGATAATCGCACCACTCCGCGCCCAAAGTCCCCGCAAATCCCATAAAGGACATCTGAATTGGGGCTGGGCGAGCAGCGAATATCTCATTGCGCGCACCCCTGGTGTAACCGTTCAGATTAACCAAGATGTGAATTTCATCTTGGATAATCTGTTGGATAAGCTTGTCTGCTGGCCAAGAACTAACATCGCGAAAGACAGGAGCCTCTCTCTCAATCTGTTGTCGGTGAACAGATCTGTCGCTAGGGGTGGTGGCATAGCAGAAAGCGCGAGTTCGCCGAGGGTTATGAAACCCGAACACAGACTGCATCCTGTATTGAGAAAGAACAAGTTAGTTGATACGCGTCGCAGATTCAAATAGTATCACACGTGAAAGATGTCTCTTACAAATGAGCGAGTGGATGATTGTTAAAGTCGGATGACACGTATCCAACATTCAAATGGGGACTTGGCGGCGGCGGTGGCGGATAAACGGTAGGCGGCAGCCAGGGAGACCGAAGAGTCGAGCATGATATACGCATTGCGTTGCGCTGGGAGATCGACCGTATATCTTTAGCCGACAAGGGGTATGTGAAGGTGTGGAAAGGAAGCACGGTTGGCGCAGATGGTACGGTGAGAGACGAGGGTAGCTGAGGCCGCAGATAGCGCGCAGGCGTCGTCTCTCTCTTGGCAACGTGCTTGTCATGATACCACGTCCAGAGGATGGCTTTTGTGGCCCGCTCGACCAGGCGCACCAGGCGCGGGCCTTCCCACGGTTTATGAGCCCAAGCACGCAGCGCCTTCTCCAAATCGAATCCCGGTGTGCGAGTGAAGCCCTGAAGCTGTTGTGCCAACATATGAATCGTCGGTTGCCGCAGTATATTACAGCCCCATCGTGACGCATCGCCCAGCTGCTGGTTTATGATACCAATCACTCGTTGTGTAAGGCCGCTCCCACGCATGTCTGTCTGCACATCTACAAGAGCGCCGCTCTCGTCCACGTGCCATCGGTCGTATTGGCCTGATTCAAGCAGCGCTCCTCCTCTGCCGCGCCAATCGCACACGGAGTTGAGAGCTGTTAAAAGTCCGCAGACGGCTTCGGCAAATCCTGGATTCGCTTCTACAGCTCGCCTGTAGTAGGCGATAGCGTCTTTTATACGGCCTTTGTCCTTTACTGCATTGGCCAGATTGGTCAAAGCGATGTCGAAAGTTCTGTCGCAAGAGACTGCTCGCTCATACATCTGAATTGCGAGGTCTAATTGCCCCACGTCTTTCAAAAGACTCCCAAGATTCGTGTGCAGATGAACATGTCTAGGGTCAAGACGAAGCCCATAGTTATAGTATGCCAAAGCGAGGGCAAGGCCGCTGCCTGGCACAATACCAGGCAAACTAGGTCGGGAGGCTGCCATCCCCGTCGCACCGACATTGTTTGAACCGATCTGCTGCACGCCGGCAAGGAGTATACCGATGTTGTTTGCAGTGGAAGGGCTTTCTTGTAGAGAAAGAGATAGATAGTACAAAGCTAGGATATCCCCGATCCCAGAGGGCTGTCTGAGCAGACTTGGGGCGATGCCACCGCCAGACGTAGCATCTTGAAAGATCTTTGCTAGTGAAAGTAAAGCATTACTCGTCGTTTGCACCGCAACCCGCCTAGCGGCGCCCTCTGGAACAAATGCCAGTCCAGGTAACTCGCTGCCTCCGCCGCCACCAGCAAAGACAAGATGGGCAGTCTGGCGAGCCTTTTCTGGTGGTAGCAAAAGAGGTCGCCGTGAAGCTTGTCCTTGGTTATTATTGACCGGGAAAGACCCTGCTGGAGAAAGCACAACATGGATTCGATTCACCAGATCTTGGACGCTTTTTATCCGATCTCCCACACTGATCAAGACGGCCTCTTCGAATGCCTCGGAGGCTTTTTCAATATCTTTTAGGCCATACAATATCGTGCCCTTGGCATGAACTAATGCCAAGATTCTGCCATTTTCACTGTTGGGGAGGGCGTATCCGCTAGACCCGAACTCAAAGCCATCCAGATTATGGACGTCCAGTCGGGGCGCAGCGTCAGAGTGATAACCGTTGTTCGTGATTACTGGTTGTTGGGCGCACACATTCCTCGTAAGGTCATCGTCGCAAGGCACGGGACGAAAGTCTGAGGCCGAGGCTGAGTACATGGTCCGAGTTGAGCGTTCCTTGGGTAATTTCAGCGCTTGTTGCACGAAGCAAATAATCTCGATTGCTTCTCGGCTACGTTTCTTGTAAAGCAGCCCGACGAGCTGTTCCGTAGCTTCTAAATGAGAAGGGCATAGCTTGATGGCATTTAACCAATGCTTCTCAGCTTCTTCTTGGCGGTTAAGACAATAAAGCGTGGCGGCTATATTTGTGATAGCCTCAACATGGCTATAATCTGAGTCAGATATAGAACAACCACTTGATAGTTCATCTGGAACAGGTCAAACCTTGAATCTAGAGCAAGAACTCTCGAGAACCATTCTACGGCATCCTCGAACCGCGATAGGCCATACAAAAGACACCCACCAAGTAATATTCCATCAATCCATTTCCAGTGGCTTTGTTCACACAAGCTTCGAAGTAGATTTAGGGAATTCCTTGCATTAAGGACCGGCAGTGCTTTTGCCATGACACCCGGGCCAAGTGTATCAAAGGCCGAAGATGGGGGATATGTAGTAGGTGAAGCACCGAACTGCATTGTTGACGTATTTGGCTGGTGAATCTCTCCATAGACAGAATGCCCCATCTGCTGTCTCGTATTATTGTTCAACGTATCTTCAATGTTAGATGTAAGAGCCTGGGGGTGGTTATTCGGTGTAAGTGTCGAAAGATTGGATCGTCCAGGGCTGCCATGAGCTTCCTGTAGAGCACCAAAATTGACTTTTCGGGGCTTTGGGGGTCTGGGAAATACCAAGATTTTGGATCTTGCGTTGGAATTGGCGCCAGTCATCTGATCGAATTTCCTAGCAGTTTGCAGGTAGGACAGTAATTCAACATAATGGTCTTGAGCTTGCGACAACGCCTTTTCTGTAAAGCTCGATCGAGAAAGACGCTGGTTGTTGGTAGATGAAGCATGTTCAATGATGTTCTGGTCCCCGTAGCCTCCGTGCGGCATTGGTTGAGAAGACCGTGGGACATTGGCGTTGGCATTCAACCCTGCTATAGGCAGGCTCAGCAACTGAGCATCTGCTCCCTGTGGCTGCAAAAAGCTTCCGGAGACGCCCGGTGGCATAAACCACTGTGGAAACTGCGAAGAGGTATCGAGGTACCCATAGTTTGGCTGCGCGGAGCTGGGCTGCATAAAGCCTGGGTGCCAGCCAAACTGATTGATCATCGCAGTGTCCGCTGCTGAGGCAGGTGGTGGGCAGAAGGCTCGCACATTGTACTCGGCCGCTCTCATAAGCGGCTGGTACATGCCTGGGATCTGGCTGAACATGGGGTATCCGTTTGACTGCCAGGAGAGATTAGACTGTTGAAAGGCAATAGAGGAGTCGCTACTAAGAACAAAGTTTGGCCTTTCCTGGACGACAGGCCATGGTGATGTCAGAAGAGGAGCCTGCCCCAGACCCCTCTGGTCGTGTTCTAAAAGACGGGATTTTGCATGAAAAGGAATATTATTAGGCGGCATATATGGGTATATCCCTGAGGGCGTTGGAAGTATCAGCTGCTTCAGCGGCGGCGGGCCAGGCGCCAGCTGCGTTGGCGATCCATCGTATCCCGCGTCGATGGTGCCTCTTGGAGTTTTCCTGCGCAAGTGATGGTCGTAGTCTCGGGCGCCTGAGCCGGCAGAAACGGTCGAGCTGTCATGCTGCAGCTGAAACGGTCGGATGGTCGAGGGGGGATGGTAGGGAGACGCGATAGCTCGCCTCTCCTGCTCTGGCCGGGCGCCACGGCCGCTGCTCGAGGCGCCGAAAGCGTCGAAGCTGGTGGGCACCACGCGAGGGTGCGTCTGTACTAAGGGCAACATGCCCGAGATGGGGGATTGGCGAGATGAGTGGCGGATGCGAGCTTCGTCAAGCAGAGGGTATCACTTGCGAACGAGTAGCAACGGCGCTCACATCATGGCTAGGGACGGCGCCGACAGGCCTCGGGGGCTGAGCTGCGGCGAGATGCACGGGGCAAGCAGCAGCAAACAGCGGCAATGCAATGGCTTACCTCTCCCAATGCAACGCCGCGACGCAAAGTACCGGGTTTGTGCGTCGTACCTTGAAATGACCAGACGCAGTCTGGGAGTTTCAATTCAAGGAAATGGCAGTGACAGCCTGAGCTAAGGAACTTAAAGGTGCTTATTCAAATATGGGGTACGGGGTACTGCCTAGTACCGGCGTATACAAAAGCTGCGTCAGAGGTACCTGGGGGGACACTTATGCATGCTTTAGACTGACAGTGACAGAATGATCCCGGCGCCTTTTGGGAGGGTGGCATGCATGAGGAGGAGCCTTTTACGATTTGATAAATTGCTGCAAGGTGCAGTCTAATTATGTTTTTTATTTCTCCTTTTGCTTCAATAAATTAAATAACGTTGAAATCTTATGTCCATGAATATTCTCCGCATTTTCGCAGCGGATTATGCGTTTGAATCCTTTATCAGTTGCGGTAAAGTCATACTCACTCCGTAATATTCTATAAAGTGTGTCGCAGCTCCGCCTTTTACGCTGATCTATGGATCCTGCAAAAAGTTCACCACAGCTGCATAAGCGTCAGTGAACCGGTTACTCAGAAGCGTGATTTATAATGTGAATCACCTTGTCTGAAAGCCTCAGGCTGTTCCGATATCAGCCAGTGCCCAGCATCAATGTCTGCTAGACGAAAGCAGGGGAAAAATTGGCCAATGGCGGGCAGCACGTCATCTGGCACATATTTGCTTTGAGTGCCTCGCACAAAAAGTGATGGCTTAGTGTACCGTGCATCTTGGGAGCTTTTAAAGGGGAAGTCTCCAAGGTGGTTTAGTGATCGGCCCAAAATGTCCAACGGGACACGAAATCGTTGGATCCCATCCTCTGGTGAACGAAACAAGTTCCCGAGCAGGAATTGACGGATGGGCAGTGACTATTAAAGGGCACGATTAGTTCTGCCAAGGCATGTATGCATACAGAGTACCAGGGGGGACATCATCAACCTCTTCGTAATCTTTGAGAATGGCATCCGCCTCAGACTGGCGGGTAACGTTGGCCTCCTGGATTTTTTTCATCCCTCGGACGTAGGTAGCAAAGGAGCTGCTGAGCATGGTGTCGGTCGGTGCATTATCAACCGCGACGACTTTTGCTACCGTCTCAGGAGAACGGAGGGCAACCGCCATAGCCGTCTTGGCGCCCCTGAGCAAAATCAGCCAATGGTCATGTTTGCAGCTGTCTCGTATAACATACATGGAGTGGCCTATCAGGATGGGCTCCTTCAGGCCATGGTCGTCGATGAAGGCCAGGATATCTTCCGTCATGGCTGTGTAGTCATGGCGGGGGTCGTGAGGCGATTCTCCATGGTTTCTAAGGTCCTTTATGAGGGTTTCTTGTTTAACATGGGTAGCTTTACTTTTGCCCGTAAAATCCACCTACCACTGTGTATACATGAGTCCTCAGATCTCTGGCTAGAGCTCTATTCAATTGTGAGTGGTGGGTAGCGTTCCGCAATGCAAAGTCTGGCAGCGCTTACTTGCTGATTCCTCTGTTGTTCTTTTTAGATCCGAAAAGGCCATGAAGAAAGATGATTGGCGTCGTTTTCTCATCTGCTTTAGGATTTGCAGGCGCATGAAGATCAAAGGACAATGGCGAAACGGGCTGAGGATGCGATGTTGTAGAGACTAGTCGCATATGGCGACGTGCGCCGAGCAGGGTGGCATTCCCAAGCCGCGAGCGCAGAGGCGATATCATGATTGCGCAGCGGTATGGCCTGACAAAATAAAATATTTGTCAACGCCTCTTTCTGTGGAGAGGCTGGACAATAGTGATATATGCCAACGCACCAAGCAAGTACCTACTACCAAACTGCTGCTATCAAATCAGTACTGGCTGCTACCTAGTCGCGGTGGTAAAATTCGACGTCATATGCAGCCCTATGTGTCCTTAGCGTTATGGGGTGCTTGGGATTTGGAATTTCGCGGGCACAAAGAATGCGACCAGCAATATAAGGAAGGTTCTCTGTACTCACGATGGCCTACTATCGCAGCGCGCTAACAGCACATGCTACCTTGGTCGGCAAGCAGAGACAGAAACAGAAAGTCAGTGATTTGAGAGGAACGAATACACATGGACACCTTCAAAACAGCTTCAAAGAGTTAGCTTGTCGCCACTTTTGTGTGCATAGCGCCTATTCTGCTTGTGGGTTCTTTGTAAATTCCCTCGTTTTCACGCCCGGAAAATAGAAAAGCAAGGCGGCACAATAAATGTGTGTATACATACGAGCAATGACACGAGCATCCTGACTTATGAGTCAATTGCTGTGACAGTATTCATATAGTTTAAATCTTGCGTGCTCGCAATAGATGAATGATGTACGAGAATTATAAAGGCGTTTTGTTATGTGTGTACAGTTATAGAGCCCGTATGCCTTTAATATGGGGAGTCAAGTACTAGGTAGGTCTTGGTGTATAAGAGCAGTAGTAGCGGAAGCAATAGATATAGTAAATATAGTAGATATAATAGATGCAATAGATATAGTAGATGCAGTATCAATCTATCAACCTAGTGGTAATTGATAGTGCATGCCTAGGTAGGTAGTTACAAAACTTTTATTTTTTACTCCCCACCTTGGGCGAGGTGACGCTGCTGTAGTGGGGGTTGTGGACTATCATCAATGGTAAATCTCACGTATTTAAGTTTGCGAAAGAGCCGACACCGGCCAATCAATGCCATGACTGCGTCCAATTAGTAGTGCCGCAAACTCGCGCGGCGTGGAATAGAAAGTGGCATCATTTGCTACGCAGTGAAGTGAGTCACGTTAGTTACTAAGTACAACGTGCCTACTAGTACCTTATCTTACGAATTCTCGATTTTCAAGCTTCCAGCGTCAGACATAGAAATACCTCCAGTTCCTCGATTGAGACACGATCGATCGACATAACAATTGGCCTCAACACTTCAAGGCTTGTAATTGACAACCTCAAAACAGCATAAAACACGAATCTAGTCCATCGCATCGCATCGCAGTAATCATGTCTTCAGCTCGCGATATCAAGGCTGGCGTTCCAATCGCTCACAGACGGGTCTCAATCAGCGCCCAAAATCTTTCAACATCACCCACTGCCACCTTCCAGTCGCCTCCCGCCAGCTTTGGCACCGGATTGCAGCCTCGCAAAAGCGTTCCCAAAGTCCTGAAGCCCTTCAATACCCAGGACATTAAGATCTTGCTGCTGGAAAATGTCAACCAGACCGGACGAGACATCCTTACCGGTCAAGGCTACCAGGTGGAAGCCCTGAAGACCTCTCTTCCAGAGGACCAGCTCATCGAAAAGATTCGGTAGGCAATTGCAATTGTTCCTCCAGGGCTGGTAACCATCTCTAACTTGCTTGCTTATCAGTGACGTCCACGTTATCGGAATCCGATCAAAGACCAAGCTGAGCGAAAAGGTTCTGAGCGAAGCCAAGAACTTGATTGTCATTGGATGCTTCTGTATCGGAACCAACCAGGTTGACCTCAGCTACGCTGCCCGCCGTGGAATTGCCGTCTTCAACTCTCCCTTTGCCAACTCCCGCAGTGTTGCAGAACTAGTCATTGCCGAAATCATCACCTTAGCACGACAACTCGGCGATCGATCGCTTGAAATGCACCGTGGTACCTGGAACAAAGTCAGCGCCAAGTGCTGGGAGGTTCGTGGAAAGACATTGGGTATGTTTCCCTTGATTGCTTATTCCAGCCTCTGCTACCTCTGCTACCTCTGCTATTGCTACTACCTCTATCACCTCTACCACTGGAGTTCCTCTCTGACATTAAACCGCTAGGAATTGTTGGCTATGGCCACATCGGCTCTCAATTGTCCGTCCTTGCGGAGGCTTTGGGCATGAACGTCATCTACTATGACGTGGTGACTTTGATGGCACTGGGAACCGCCCGTCAGGTTCCTACGCTGGACAACCTCCTGGAGGAGGCCGATTTCGTGACTCTCCACGTACCAGACCTCCCCGAAACGAGAAATATGATATCAACTGCTCAGCTGAACCGTATGAAGGAGGGGTCATATTTGATCAACGCAAGCCGTGGAACAGTTGTAGATATCCCTGCTTTGATTGTGGCCATGCGCTCAGGAAACATTGCAGGCGCTGCTTTGGACGTTTACCCCAATGAACCGGCTGGCAACGGCGACTACTTCACCAACAACCTAAACCAATGGGGTGAAGATCTCCGCAGCTTGAGCAACCTCATTCTCACCCCCCATATCGGCGGTAGCACAGAAGAAGCACAGAGCGCAATTGGTGTCGAAGGTCAGCCCGGCATTGCCATATCCTTGATTTTTTGACAGTATGCTTACGAGATTCCAGTTGCCGACGCATTGGTCCGCTACATCAACCTTGGTGTCACTCTCGGCAGTGTCAACCTTCCGGAAGTTCAGCTACGATCCCTGACTATGGACGAGCCAGACCACGCCCGAGTCAGTCTCCCGTATTATTATTTTTTTATCATGGCTCTAACTCGAACTTTAGATTATCTATATCCACCGAAATGTCCCTGGTGTGCTGCGTAAAGGTTTGTCTTGCCCTTCAAACTCTGCCAAACGCCTCATACTAACAGTCGCCAGTCAACGAGATCCTTGGTGACCACAACGTCGACAAGCAGCTCAGTGATAGCAGGGGAGATGTAAGAAGCTTTTTTTTAACGCCCTGCTGATTCAGTACTGACAATGTCCTAGCTGGCATATCTGATGGCCGATATCAGCAACGTAAGATATGAGCAAATCAAGGATATCGCCGATAGATTGGAAGGCCTAAGCTGTAAGTAACACCGTTATATTACATGCCCGGAAAGTTTCTAACAAGCGATAATAGCATGCATTATGACAAGAGTTCTCTATTAGGCTATTTTACAGCTTCTTGCGTAAGATTGGAGCCAAGTAACCTCTGCTCATTTTTGCATTTGTATAGGCTAGGGAAAAAGTTTTAGAAACATGGGTTTGCAGATTGGTGTTTGGAAAATCAGTATATCTGGGCAGTGCTCATAATCACTTCAACAGTGCCCGTGCTGCTTCAACAGCTGTTAGTGGATTAGCTTTTGTCTGATGGGCGTTTTATATGTGAGTAAGGAAATATACTAATCAAGGGACAAATGAAAAAAAAAAAAAAAAGAAGTATGGATATCGTACATTGCACATTCCCATTTATTCACCGGCAATTGCCTGCTCATGACAGGACGAACTTTTGGGGTAAACTCTTTTACATGTACGCCGTCAACTTTCTACGAGCATTCGCAGTGATTCCCAGCTAGACAGCGTGTACAATTTGGGATTGTTAGAAGCAGATGTCACGATGACGCAAGCCTGTTCTTCCCTATAACAATTCGAATATGGCAGTACATGTCAATCTGCTCTCAACAAACAGTAGATATGAAGCGTAGTCGATGTATGTGTGGTTTCACGGTGGAGATATATTAAGTGGCAGTACTTTGTACTATCGCTGTTTCAAATCCCTCGATCACATGTAGGGAGTGCCACCTCAGCATCGAATTGCAGTCCAAATGACGCCGCACCAACAGCCGTTGCCCCAATTGACAAAACAACCGGCTTTCTAGTTTTCGATTCTCGATATGCGCTCTAGCCGAGTCGTCTAGTGGTCCCAAGGGTGCTTCCATCCAAGCAGAGCGGGTCCTAGCAACAGTATATTCGTTAGCAGTGCCGATACGAAAGCATCGCATATGGATTGAGTTCTTTACCATCTTTCTTTGCCCGGTACATCAGCTAGATATCGTAGTCAGCGTATCAGGTCTTCATATACAATCTCGCCCTCCATATCTGGGCGCTAGAGACACTCTGCTTACCCAGAACCACATTCCCGCGCCAAGGGCAGTGGCTGTGACTCGGTAGATCGGGGCGACGTGAGGAACGGGAGGCTTCGGAGGACCCATGGCTGCTGCGGGTTTACAATTGCACCTAGAGGCAATTCAGTCGCTGTAGACGAGGAGACGCATTCGTACGGAAATACCTGGAGGAGAGAAATGGATATTAGTAACTAATCCTCTGTTATTCTGTAAAGATCTTGCGCCACATGAGACAGCGACGGAACTCTTACCTGGCAGATTAATTGAAAGTCGCTGATTCGCGATATACGGAATAGCAACAGCCCATAGAGCAGTCAGTCGCCGGAAATCTAGACGCATGATGAGTAACACACTTTTCCCCACTTTTAACAAGAGACATGTGCGAATCTCCGCATATAAGGATATTTATGTAATCAGTCCGCTTCAAACGCTCAGCTGCTTCTATTTAATATGGATTGCAATTGGAAGCTATCGTAGGTCACGGCGGTCAAATAGCTCAAGATTCTTTCAGCAAGCAGGCAAGCAGTAACAGGAGACACGTATATGAAACTACATTACGAGAAGAGTTGAACACTATCACTGTGGAATAATCCAGGTAACCTAGAACTGCAATCGCATGTGTCTCCCTAATCAATTGCACTTCCTCTGAAAATGGCGATACCAGAGATACGATCTGGAATGGAACTGGGGAGTTATCCTTAAAACCACAGCGAAAATTCAGGTTCATACTAGTAGTTGGCCATGGAATACCAATTCCTTTGGTAATACCTTGGACCTTTGATGATGATGATTAAGAGTATGTGCTAATATAGACTTTTCGTTGTCTTAGCCAATTTGCAACGGTATGGTATGTGATGGGATCTTGCAAATGGCATCGCAATGCCTGTACTGTATTTGAGAGCCATATCTGCTTCCACAGTGGAAGGCAAATCAGCAGCCAACCAGCCTTCCGGTAACGCTGAACACCGCCACCTATCAGCGCTATTCTCAAAAGCGGGCTAGTGTCAAATCTTTTCACGTGATGCCCTCTGTCCTAGGCTTGGAGGAAGGGCCAAGAGGGCTGAGGGCGGTGGAGCACAAAATTTCCGCCCACAGAATTAGCGGAAAAATATATGCCCCGGTACCTTTCTGGTTTGGCTCGCTTAGATTCTGGTTGATGCACACAAGAATTGAATTTCTTCAACCCCTCCACCAACTTTTTAGTACCTTTGGATTCCCAACTGCTTGTACGCTGGTAAGGAATCATGGCTGTTGGAAAGTGAGTATCTATGCTGCGAATCTTGGGAAACGACAATCGCCAACCAGAGACAATAGGAACAAGAGACTCTCCAAGGGCAAGAAGGGCCTTAAGAAGAAGACCGTGGACCCTTTTACCCGAAAGGACTGGTACTCTATCAAGGTATGTCGAAACCATCGAGAAAGAAAGAAAGAAAGAAAGAAAGAAAGAAATTTGCACTCGGCCTCAGAACCATACGATTTGCTAATTACGCGTCCTATAGGCTCCTAACCCCTTCAACATCCGAGAGTGAGTCGAATTGCAACATTTTGCCGGACACAAAATCTCGAGATGATGGAACTGACGGATTCGCTGCAGTGTTGGCAAGACTCTTGTGAACCGGACAACCGGTCTCAAGAACGCGAACGATGCCCTCAAGGGCCGCATCGTCGAGGTCTCTCTCGCCGACCTCCAGAAGGATGAGGACCACTCATTCCGCAAGGTTCGCCTCCGCGTCGACGAGGTCCAGGGCAAGAGCTGCCTGACCAACTTCCACGGCCTTGACTTCACATCCGACAAGCTCCGATCCCTGGTCCGCAAGTGGCAGACTCTGATCGAGGCCAACATCACCGTCAAGACCACCGATGACTACCTCATCCGCCTCTTCGCCATCGCATTCACCAAGCGACGCCCCAACCAGATCAAGAAGACCACCTACGCTGCTTCTTCCCAGATCCGCGCCATTCGACGCAAGATGACCGACATCATCACCCGCGAGGCCTCCAGCTGCACTCTCACCCAGCTGGTTTCCAAGCTGATCCCCGAGGTCATTGGCCGCGAGATCGAGAAGTCCACCCAGGGCATCTACCCCCTCCAGAACGTATGTTGCTTGGAACGCGAAATCGCTGCGAAAAAAAACCATTCCATCATCAACTGCTAACTCGAGTTTCTCTCCAGGTCCACATCCGCAAGGTTAAGCTGCTGAAGGCTCCCAAGTTCGACCTGGGTGCCCTGATGGCCCTCCACGGCGAGTCTGGCACTGACGACCAGGGCCAGAAGGTTGAGCGGGAGTTCAAGGAGCGTGTTTTGGAGGAGGTCTGAAAAATGGGCTATTTGTAGAGAGATGAAGGCGCAAGGGAGCCCTGCGAGTGCTAGATTCGCGCCTGGCCGTTTTCCCAGTCATTTTACATGGAGTAACAACCCATAGGCGGGTAGGGAGGTTAGGTAATGTCCCTATGATATACTAAAAGACACTCGGATTGCTTCTACTTTATATGTGTGTTTATTTAGCCCTTGAACAAGGCGATTTAAAATACTGTGAAGATGGACAGTAGTGACGAACAATGGCAGTGCAATAACGCGTCGGGGCGCGAGCTGTTTGGGTAAAGACATTGATTTTGTAGCAAGAAAAATATACTATCTAAAAATTTATATGTGCCACGTGCCATGGAAAATTATTTTCTTTGATTCATTCTGCGAATACAAGCACCTTGTCATATTCGAAATTATCTATACATATTGAAGTATCAACTCTTATCTACATTAGAGTACCTGTCTCTTTTCCGGTGGACATCACCACACAGAAAGATTTCGCTTGTACCTGGTACCTAGCGAAAAGTGATCGCAGCGCCAAAAATCTGGTGCAAAGCCAGAGCCAGCTAGGCAAATCAAGACACAACTTCACATTCACTATATGGGTATTTGAAACGCAAATTAATGTACTGAAAAATATTTTGTATTTGAAATATAAATTTTAGACAACTGAACAAATGTTATCCAGGAGTCATCACAGTCATGGTATCAATAAATAGAAGAAGAAAAGTGGTGGCATGTTGGCCTTATTGGTAGGACCAATATACCCACGGAAAAACAGGGTATAGAGGTGAGTAAGTGGCCTGTTTCAATCTTCCTTGAGCAAAAATAGAAATACACCACAGAGCAGTGACGATGTATCTCGGAGTGAGCTAAGGGGGGCGGTATCAAAACCGCAATGGGAGTGCATCTCAATAACATCACGTGAAGCAAATAATATCGTCGGATTGTACGCATTTCTTTTTATTTATTTGCCGTTGCGAATTGAGAATTTCTTCTAATCGCCGACGTTTGGTCTGAACCAGCCAATTTACTCCTCAGGAACTGCATCACAGGTTAGCAACTGTAAGAAATATTGGGGCTTGTAGAAAGATGCATACTCTCAATCTCGCCGTTGTCGATGGCCTCGATAACAGACTGAGGGGGCTTGCCGTCAACCTGGCAGCCGACAGAGTAGGCGGTTCCCAGAATCTCCTTGACACTGCCCTTCAGGTCCTTGGCAAAGGACTTGTAGCGCATGGTGCGGGCAATCTCGATGACCTCGTCAATGGCGATGGACTTGTTGTGCTTGATGTTCTTCTCCTTCTTGCGGTCACGCGGGGGCTCCTTGAGGGCCTTGATGATGAGAGAAGAGGCAGTAGGGACAACAGAGACAGCAGCCTGACGGTTCTGGATGGTCAACTTGACGGTGACACGGAGACCTTTCTGCCCATGGTATCAGTACGGAAAAAATCCTCGTTTTCTCTGTTATAGCAGTTGTACGCACCCAGTCACCGGTAGCCTTGGCGATATCTTCACCGACCTTCTTGGGGGAGAGACCAAGAGGACCGATCTTAGGGGCAAGGGCCGAAGAGGCACCAACCTCACCACCGGTGGCACGGAGGTGGCTATCAATTGAAGGTTAGATCAGCATGTCCTGTTCGCGGAATTGGGCGGCGCCGAATGAACTAACATGACCTTGACCTCGCTGGGATCGAACTTGGGAGCTGCCTGCAAGTTAGTAGCTGCAATGAAAATACTCTGGCGCATCCGGAAACTTACGCATGATGGCGATTGATGATCTGGCAGAGGCTCGTGGTTTGCGTGCCGAGAGGAGTGAATGAGAGGGTTGGTTAGTTAAAAAGAGTGATACTGGAAAAAATGAGAAATTGTAGATAAGATGTGTGCCCCATATGGGTGCCCTAATCAAGGCCCCCGCCGAAAAGGCTAGCCTTGCCTGTCTGGGCAGCATTAATGCATGGGTGGGCAATCGACATGATTATGTCAGCAGGATCGAAAAGCCGTACCAAACAACTTGAGTCTGGTAGCAATGGAGACTTTGAGTTACGAATGCTGACGCTCATATTGTAACCATAATTTAATTAAAAAAAAAAAAAAAAAAAAAAAAAAAAAAAAAAAAGAGACCAAAGTACCTAACTAGATATCCTAACACTGCACAAAGTATCAACTATGAAAAGCAGTGCTGAAACTTTGCAGTCGAGGTAAACCACGGGGATATGTACAAACTGGTAGAGAACCTGCTCTGATAGACGGGTAACGAAGCTGACTAAGTGCATTGTCTCTGCTCGGCTGACCAGATGCCTACTTGGAAATTAAGCCAACAGGGGCCGCAGAACCAGATGCGCTCTGCATTGCTGCTGCACGAGTAATAAACGCTTATCCTCCGTAGCTCCATCAGCCAAAGCAGCTAAGGCGTAGGTGTGACCAGCGCTTCTGCTTGAAGCCAATGCCTAGGTAGCTAATCATCTTAACCACGATATGCAATAAGATGCTGGCGGCGGTCCCCGATTATCCATGTAGTCGGAATTCTGGACCCCTCTTTATCTAAGCTTCTTTATCGCCAAAAGCCCGACTAGATGGGCTGCTAACTTATCTACCTGCTGGGTAGCTTCGTGCCGCTGCAACCAACCTTGTAATTTTTTGAAGCAACCACCTCTGCGTACCTCACCAGCGCTCAATTCAATGGCTGAAAAACCGACAACAGCTTCTGCACCCACGCAGTGCGTCGGCCCGACATTCAAGGGCGTCGACGAGAAGCCCAGTGCCACTGTATCTGCCGTGGTGCCGTTCGATAACGTCTATGTCCTACCGCAAACCCCCCAGTTGATTGCCCTTCTCTCGTAGGTCTTGGGCTCTCTTCCACGTAGTCTTGACGTGCCGCCCTTTACTAAGCACTTGACGCAGCATGATAAGAAATAAGGACACCGAGCGAGCAGATTTCATCTTTTATTCGAACAGAATTATCCGGTTGCTAGTAGAAGAAGGCCTGAACCACCTGCCCGTCATTGAGAAAAGCATCACTACCCCGGTCGGCCGCACTTACAATGGTCTAATGTTCGAGGGCAAGATATGCGGTGTCTCGATTATGCGAGCTGGAGAAGCAATGGAGCAGGGACTGCGAGACTGCTGTCGCTCTGTAAGAATTGGCAAGATATTGATTCAGCGGGACGAAGACACGGCGCAGCCCAAACTTTTCTATGACAAGCTCCCTGAAGATATTGCGAACCGATGGGTTCTTCTGCTAGACCCCATGTTTGCAACAGGTAATGACTATTGACTTGTCCCTCGTCCTATCGATTGATGTAGCGATCTGCGCCGATAACTAACAACACAAAGGAGGCTCCGCTACAATGGCCGTCGAGGTCCTCAAAGGCCGAGGGGTGCCCGAAGAGCGTATTTTGTTCCTCAACTTGATTGCCAGCCCAGAGGGAATCACAACCTTTGCCGCGAAATTCCCCCAACTCAAGGTCGTGACGGCATTCATTGACGAGGTAGGTGCTGTCATTGATCGCTGGTTTACTTGGTCCGTACTAACAGAGTCTGTCTGCAGGGTTTGGATGAGAAGAAGTATTATAACGATGACCGACTCCACGATGCATTGGCTGACCCTGCTGCAGTTATATTGTGCCTGGTCTTGGAGACTTTGGCGACCGATTCTATACGATTTGAGGAACGATGTGGATATAGCTTTTTTCTTTTTTTCGATAAGACCCTGGTATTTAGTATGCATCAATATCCCCGTTTCTGTAACGCCCTGGCCTGTCCCTGTAGAAATGCACGGTATGGCACTCAGTAATCGTCGTGATCGATCTCTTCGTGCTCGTCAATAGTATTTTTGTTGTCCGTAGGTCTTCGAGCACCATACCCTCTGCCGGCGCTCCCAATTCCGCCATCCGCCTTCGAGACTGCCTCTGTTCAAAAAATTATCAGCCCTGAACTGTATTTCATTCACCAGGACCAGTAGCATACCAGCAGCATCAACCCATTCTCCGTACACATCAACGGCGGCCGATAGGTCTAGAGGTGACGATTTAGCGGCAATACCGTAAGCATGCAGACGGTGAGAAAGACGAACAGTTGACGGCGCATTGGAATTTTTGCCCGCAGATGCGGCAGTCTAGCTGGCCCACACCAGCTTTCCTGTCAAGCTTGACAGTTACCGACTTCTCGTGGTTGCAGAAGAGGCAGGTGAAGGTAGTTGGTAAGGGATCAGCCTGCGGCCCAGTCAGCTCCGGAAGACCGCGCGCAGCAGAATCTTGGTATTTACCCTCTTGGGACCCATAGGCTTTGACGAGGATTTGCGCTTTCCCATGGTGCCGGGTGTGGTGGAGGCGAGTATTCAGCAAAGTGCAAAAGGCAGTATCGTGCCTTGGGTAACTGAAAGTCGCATCGCGTTCGCTACGTGTGAGACATGCTTACACAGTCCCTTATCTTATCGGCGCTGATTATGAATGAGGTACGTACCTACACTGCATGCGCCCTCTCAGCGCCGACTGCCCAGGTATCGCTGTATCCGCACACTAGGCTTGCCGGGGCAGTGCTCTATCGGGGCGCCCGCCGTCCAAACGGGGCTGGGGTCCGCGCTTCGGCGCCTGCCGACAGCCAGTGCTCTGCCAGCAGCGACCCCGCATTCCGCTATCTGCCATGTCCGATCTAAAGTTCCGTCCACCGCCGTGGAGGTGCCGGCAACATGCTCGTCGGATAAGGTCGCAGTCGTTGCGGGTGACGTCGGTACTTATCGCGACGTTGGGCACTATCACCGCTGACCGTCAACTGACTGCCTGTTTCGCCTGATTACGTACGATTAGGTGCTGCTGCTAGCTCTTCTATAGAATGTCGCCCTGCCCAACCTGACTGCTCTTCTCTCTCATGCTGAAGCCTCTCTGTATCTCATCGCCGGCTTTGCGTAACCCATTGGTCTTCTTCCATCTTCCACGTAACCCGCGTTCTGGCCTCTTTCAGGAAATCGCCGTATCGAAACACCCCTCCTCTTCAGACTGACTATCCCGATTTGGCAGATCTCAAGCCCCTCATGGCTGCAGATGGACAGCAAGATGGTGTCCTGGACGCGCTCCGGGACATCCAGCAAACCCAGCAACAGCTGCTAAGCTCGCTTGAGTCCCTCAACGGTAAAATTGGCTCCTCTACCATCTCGGCGGAGGCGCTATCAGCGGCATCTCTGCTGCCCGTGGATAACAAGGATGCTAAGCCAAAGGACGCTGAGGCTGCCGGAGATCTGGCGCCCATCCAGTCATCGTTTGAGAATGGGACGGTACAGCCCAGTTCGGCCTTGTCTCCAGCCAGCCGCTCAGGCTTCACCTCGCGCATCGTGCTCACGTGTGTGCTGCCTTTCCTTGATACTTGATAATCGTGTGAGAAATATGTGTCTCATTCAATGTGATAAACCACAGGACGTATCCCAAGCAGCTTGGCATTGACCCTATTTCCCTGGACTGGGGTAACTCTGATCCATTGCAGCGAGGCCCAGTAGTTGTTTCGAGAGCCGCATCTACCATTCGCCGCAGAAATGGTTTGTTGTCCCCCGTGTTGCCGTGTTTGTATAATAGGCTTTGATCTAACTTGTAGTGATGTCTGTTTAGCTGTCGGAGGTGAGTAATCTTTTTTATCATGTGAGAAGTATATTGAGCTGACTTTCATTTAGCTCAGTAAGTGAAGGGAGAACAAATTCACAGAAGCTTAGTACACAACGTATTGACCAATCTTTAGCGGTGGCTCGTACTCAATCTACTATGCGCTGGCTGTTGCTAGCAAGGAACTCAACGCCGATCACAGGTTCGTCTCATAAAGAGCAGTACCATTCAATGAGTTTGCTACCTTTGATCTTATGCTGACTTCGGACACCTCAGACCCGATTTCACAAATGCTGAGCCTGCTGCCAATATTGGGCCGTTCCCTCAATGGGGAGATAAGAAGAAGATTGTTGCTATGGATCCTTGGGGTCACTTGGTTCCATGGACTTTCAAGGACATCATTGAAAAGCAAAACAGTATGGTCATCCCACGCTATAGTATCTCTCACTTGCTCATTTAGTGTTTAGTCGATATGCGACCAACAATTGCTATTACGAAGGCTCATATGAAGGTACGAATTGTTCCATGTTCTCATTATGCTCCATCTCCTTATGCTAATCATGAGATAAATAGCTTCCCGAACTTGCAGAAAGCGTGAAGAGTGGTCGACTGTACGTCGTGCAATCGATATAGCACAAGTATCGAGTTAACGCAATTTATAGGGTTCCTGATGGAAAAGTGTGCTTGAACGAGCTTGGAGAGTTGGCTGTCACCAAATTTGCCGTAGAGCCGGTATGATAGGACTCTACAGGGATTACAACACGGTACTAATGGTAATGGTTCTAGGTTTGGTATCTTCCTGGTGTAGCCGAGAGATTCGGAATCGGTGAGTAACCTGAAATCTTCGAGGGCATGCGAGCTAACTAGTAATAGATGAGGCTACCTTGCGCCGCTCTCTGTTTGAGCACACGGGAGGAAGCTATCCAGAGGTAAGTGATTACTCACTCTCGTAGCTGAGACGGCGCATATTTACCAGCTGCAGTTGATAACCCGTGGAGACATCAAAGTCTTCCTCCCACCCATCGGTATGTGGAATGAACCATTGAACTATAACTATTACAATTCAAAGAGAAGAGGTGGAAAAGCAATAATAAGGCTAATTGGTTACCGCAGGCGGGTTGACCGTATACTGCTTCGGCGATCCTGAGAAAATGTCGGATGAAAACGTTCGGTTATCACTGAGAATTCACGATGAGGTAGGCAGAACTCCACGAGCAAATGGCAGTGACAAATGCTAACTGGTCGTAGTGCAACGGAAGCGACGTTTTTGGCTCCGATATTTGCACGTGCAGGCCGTACCTGATTTTTGGCATTGAAGAGGCTGTCAAAGAGGCTCAGAATGGCGGCAGTGGTGTAGTTATATACTTCAGAAAAGAGGGCCGCGCTCTTGGAGAAGTGACAAAGGTATGCCGCTCACACCTAATCATCCAATACAAACAAGCTTGCTAACGCTTTTGTCTTAGTACTGTATGGCTACCGATCCTAGATCAGGGTTTTACTTTTTTATGTTTTCATCTTTGGCTCAGAGCATATAACTGACAAAGCGAATAGTGGTATACAACGCACGCAAGCGTGGCGAGGATCGAGCATCGGACTATTTCATGAGGACTGAGAATATTGCGGGTGTGAAAGACATGCGCTTCCAGGCTTTGATGCCAGATATCCTCCACTGGTTGGGCATTAAGAAGATTGATCGCATGTTGAGCATGAGCAAGTAAGTGATTGCGTGCAGCGAGTTACATGTTTCTGCCTTCTTATATAATACTAATATGGGCAACAGCATGAAACATGATGCTATAGTTGGTCAAGGGTGAGTCAATCCCTATATTTACCTATAAATCCCGACTTAATTTCTAATAATTATTGCAGAATTCCCATTCACGAGAGGGTGGAACTTCCAGATGAGCTCATCCCGGCCGACTCAAGAGTTGAAATCGACGCCAAGATTACTGCTGGTAAGCCATCCAAACTGATATAGTTGTAGTGACGAATCACTAAAATATCAAGGCTATTTTACCGCTGGTAAACGGTTGACGGCTGAAGAACTGCAGTCTGTACAAGGCAGACTCTGGGAAGAGTAAGTTTCAAAGCCCCGTTCTATCGGCCCGAGAAGTCGTAGAGATATCTACTAACGCATTTTATCTCAGTATCGATCACTAAGAAATGGCTGCTAATAACTGTGGAATGAGTTGTGTTAATTCCGTCTGTCTCCTTGCGCAGCTGGATTTAGAACCAGTCTCTTTTATGTCCCCTGACTTAGCCACCAATGATCTTATTTTGTGTAGCCTGCTCTCAGGTATTCAGAAAGATGCACCGATTTATTGGTCTACCGATGAAACAAAATCACATATTATCGTTATCCGCGTTTATCTGTCTGTGTGGCTCGTAGTCCTATCTGTACCTATCCAGTGCCATTATGTATACAAAGTAGCGACATGATTAAAATTCTACTAGTAACAGCATTATTATCCCATACCTTGGCTGATATTACGGCAAGGACATGATTTAGCGTCTCTGAGAAAAGCATTCTCAGCTCTAAGATATACCGTCTTACTAACGACCTCCTCTCCTTGGCTCGAGATGAGTGAGCTACATCAAGAGACAATTGCTCTTTGCTGGGGGTTCTCCAGGGCTCTGGGACTTCTCAATCTCGCCAATCAGAAGCTCAAATGCCCTGCCAACATTCTGATTGTATCTTGCGCTCGCCTCTGTCCAGCCGCACTGGAATTTCTCGGAGAGCTTCTTGCCCTCTTCGGGGCTGACTTGGCGCTGCTCTGGTCGAAGATCGCTCTTGTTACCTACGATGACGATGGGAACGGATTCGGTACCCTGTGTGTGAATCCCAAGGCGTATCGTGTCAGTGGTAGTTACGTTGGGCATGGATGGTTTCAAAGGGAAGAGATGGAGGGGTACGCACTAGATGATTGAGAATCTTTTCTCTGACGATCTGGACCATCTCAAACGATGGCAGGGACGATACTGAATAGACCAGCATGTACCCATGGATGCCGATGAAATGCTTCGAGTTTAAGATGCTGTACTCATCCTGCGTCACACAAAAACCCGTAAGCGCTGGGTCGCGACGATGCGAATAGCGCGCCCGTGAAACCTGAGCCTACCTGTCCGGCGGTGTCGACGATTTCCGTCGAGAAGTCCTGGCCCTTCCACTGTATAGTCTTGCTAAAGGTGTTTTCTATCGTCGGGTAGTAGCTCTCCACGAAATGGCCGTCAACGAACTGCACAGCGAGCGATGATTTGCCTGCAACATCAAAGTTAGCCATGAATGATGCTGCAAGGGTGGCGAAGCGGGTACAAATGAGAATGGAGGAGCAGCGTCACGGGCTTCGTTTCGCTGTTATTGTGGACGTACCAACCGATCGACTGCCCACGATGGCAACCTTTCTTTGCTTCAGGGAAGGCATTGAAATTCTATAGGAGCGCTTGGGTGGAGAGAGAGGGTGAAGCGATGATGAAAGTAGTGATGTTATCAGTCAGGCCTTACCCTTGAATCCTTGATGGAGGGATGAAATGGGCCAGAGGTGGGACGTTGGGGCGCTATCACATGGGAACAAAAGCAGGCTAATGCAAGTACTAGTACGGATAAAGCGAACTAGCCCAACGCAGAGTATGGCGACTAATAATACGTGCAAAGTGCCTAATTCGTGCATCATTTAGAGGAAACTCGAGTTAGATTTTAGAAAAAAAAAACAAGAATTATCACGAAACAGTATGCTTGGAAATAGAAGCATGTTACCGGATTTGGATACATATCTATCTAGTTAACTTTACTGGTTCAGAGGGGGCTTGAATGCTGCTATAAGTTACACAATTCAGTAGGTAACGTGAAAGTATTGGTATCATTATTCAATCTCTACAATTTGTAGCTAATAGACAGGTATGTACATAGCGTTACAGATAGTCCTCCTAATAAGACCTCCCAGAGAGGCTTTGTACAAGGCTTTCCAACTCTACTGTTTTGTGGTTAACAGTCTTATATATCGTTATGAAGTGCTGAATAGCTGGAAGCAAGCCATTTGTGACGGGTAGCTCTGGGTGGCCTAGGAATGAAAAGCCCAGTACTATAGCGAGGTAGCTGTATGCTATGCCGAGTTTTGACGTCTCTACCGAATCGTCCTATGATTCGAGTTAACAAGTGCACAAGGGACTCTATGTTTTAGGAGGGGGTTTTTAATCAGCATACCTTTTCCATGACACGTTCGAGTTCGGACCAGGTCGAAGCCAGCTGATTGATTTCATCCACTTCGATAGATGCACGCGCTTCCGAAGAATGTTCCAAAACATTGATCATGATCCCAAGTATGAGTAGAAGCTCGTCATAGGTATTACTTTCGAAAGTTGAAGTTTGGATAGCACTCTCGACAGTCGAGAACCCGCAGATTACACAGCGGGTCAGGCTTGATAGCAACTGGCGGTCTTGAATTGCAGCTGCCCTTGTCTCATTATTAGTTGTATTGATGGCAAGCTTTAATAAGGTGGCATCTATGCCGTTATGGGATTTTGGCCAGCCTTGCAGCAAGCTTCGGAGGAATGTAGCAGTTTCAGACATTTCTTGCTGAACTTCTGCAAAAGTTTCATTTGTGGAGGTTATGGAGCTGGATTGCGCCTCGAGAATGCAGATGGTGAGCGCATAGTCGACACTATCGCGAGATTCGACAGACGCAAAATGAGACCTCAATTGAGAGATACTGGTCGTAGTATCATCCAATATAGCTTCGACCTCCTGTGAGTCCAACAGACCAACTAGCATGGACAGCAGTTGTAAGGCAACGGTTCGTGGAGAGAGTTGCAGAGATTGATAGCCATGCCATATTGGCATTCCCAGCAGCGCCTTCTTCACATTGGCTAGTGAGCTTCTGGTTGTTTTCGGCATATTCGAGGATTTCTGTAAAGCAATAGCGGTAATATCCTCTCCTATAGTGAGAAGATTGCTCAACCACACGCCAACCTTGTTTTCCGTTAACTGGTGAAGCATGTGCGGCGCAGGGCCTGACGATAGGAAGATAACAAATGCAGCAGCGAGAAGAAACCCGCTGATTGTGTCTTTCTCTGTGCTTATTCCCTTGGCTATGTTGTCTCGCGATGCATGGTCACGGAATTGATTCATAAACTCTTTCTTTTGTAGCTTATCAGCCAGCTCGCACAAAGCATTTCTCCTCATGGTTGAAGCCAAAGATCCCGGCGCCCCAATTCTAGACAGGAGATCGTCTACTTCATCCGAAGATCGGTTATTGGCGCCGGCTCGTCGTAGCTCATGAACGCTCCTGATAGCGACCTTGGTCTTCAAGTCGTCGTCTTCTTCTTCGTCTTCTATGGTCGGGGACGGTGGCTTCAAAGGTTCATCAATATCGTCAATGGATGGAAAGTCGGTAGGCTCAGTTGCATTCGACTCCTGCGAATTTTGAAGAAAGCTTCGGGATTGGCTATAGGTGAATTTGATCTTCCTCTTTTCCAATGTAGTTGTATCGGAGGTGGTCCTGCGCAGCGGCGCATCCGTGCGAATGCTAGGGCGCCCATCTGGAGCGTTTTTATGCTCCGTCTTATTGGTGTGCTCAAATACAGGGACACTCTGGCTTGGACTGGCGCTGGGATCGTTCGGTTTTTCTGCTACAAGCGCATCGATTAAACGGCGTCGACGCGTTGGTGGCGTTTCTGGAGATTTGCTTGTAAATAGTATTTCTGCTTCTGTGCCTTTCTCAAGCTCGATAGCAGCCGGTCCAATAGCACTTGATCTTTTTGGCGTCACCGGTAGCGAGTCTGTGGACTTGGAATAGACCGATCCTTTCTTAACAGCACTCGATTTTGAATCTTTAGTATCAGTTCCGTCCGAGGGTCGTATCTGCTCCTGGGCTGAAGCTGGCCTAGTAATCCGGCGCGCAGCTACAACATCTACCGCCGCCGCAGGCTGTCCTGTACCAAACGCAGACTTGTGGCTTCGTTTTCGTGTCGTATCCGTCTCGCGCGCCTGTTGTTTACGAGCAGCATCGAGAGCTACATGCCTGGCACTACTAAGAGTTTTCTGTGGTCGCGAAGAAGCGCCGGTCTGCAGAAGGGATGTCTGGGATTGCTTGGGCCTATGAGTCGTTGAGGCTGCTGAAGAGCTTGTTTCTGTCGACGAAACCTGTAGAAGCGAAGAGGTTGGACTTGGACCGGTGTGGCGTTTGCGAGATGCTAGTTTTCCGTATGTAGAGACCTTTTTGCGCTGCGTCTCGGCGGTATTTCGTTGAGGCTCCATGCTAGATGCTTGACTCGAGGTCCTCAAGAGTTGTAGAATAGATCGGGTGGAGAATTCGCACTTCTCACATGTTGCGACAGCAGTGAGCTGATTGAGGGAATCGCGATGCGAAACGGCAGTGCTGATGCAGGTGCTTAAAAACGGCGTCCAATCAGGTGAGGTACATGACAGTTCTGGAACACCCTTGCCAACGAGGGGCAGCTGCTAGAGGCCGCAGAGCGCATGGGGCGCAGATCCACAGCCAGCGATTAGAGAAGAAGTCCAAGATTGAGGATCTACTGTTATTGAGTGAAAGGATGTGTGTACATGTAATTCTACTGGACATTAAATGCTGAGTAGTAACAAGCCGATATAAATCACTCGACCAAAAACGTAACAACCTGCCTGATTCCAATAGGAAGTGAATGCAATGTGACTTGGCAGGTGAAATGTGCTACGGGCGCATACCCTAAATCAGGAAGGAACTCAAGATTTGAAGCGCCAACGAATTTGTACTGAGACGGTAGCAAAATAGCAAAAAGCAATATCTTGGCGAATTGGAATCTTAGAGAAGAATGGCTATACTATTGTATTTGATAAGCTATGAGTAGATACACGAAGACATATCTGGCGATGAATGCGAAGTTCAGGCGCTCTTATATGAACTCAATTCCAGTATCAATGAAAGATTTGCTGAATAGTAGTGAACCTACGCAAACCCGCAAATTATTTACATATCAATGCTCCCTGGTCATAAAAATTAAACCTATATAGAGAGTCTGGTATTCAGCCGTCTATTTATCCATCTTAAAACACCAAGTACCTGTCGTACATAATTTCGAGCATTTCATAGCGGATAGGTAAGATGCATCTGCTGTTTGGATTATTTTGTCCACCTCTACACAAATGTACGCCATTGCCGCCCAGCGCTATAAGGCCAGGGTCTTGCAAAAGCGCCAGACCCCACCTTGCGCACCCCTCCATTTTTGTTTTGTGACTCGACCGATAGAGAGCTTCGCTTTGTTCTTTGACTTTAGTCTTTTTTTTTTCTGACCAGAGAAACTGCATATTGTGATTTGGCTCAGAATATCAGACAAGAATAGCCTGCAAATACAACTGCTGCAAAGGGCCTTCACCATGCTCGACGTAAACGACTTCATCACCGAGCGCGGGGGCAATCCCGAACTCATTCGCGAATCGCAACGTCGCCGTTTTGCCAATGTCGAGATTGTCGACGAGGTGATTGCCCTGTTTGAGGACCACCGCAAAAGTACTTTTAGACTCCAACTTCCACAGCCGTTGCATCTTTGCTAATGCCGCTCGCTACAGCCCAGTACAGCGCCAGCCAGATCAAGGGCAAAATAAACGACGTCCAGAAGCAGATTGCGACTAAGAAGAAGGTAGATTACATCTATATGCCTAGTTCTGGCGGTGTTTTTGCTAACCGTTGTTGCAAAAGGCCAAGGAGAATGCGGATGACCTTCTCCAGGAAAAGATTGCGCTCCAGAAAGAAGAAAAGGCCCTTAGCGAGTCAGCGGCTGAGAAAGATGTGCTTCTGAAGGCCAAGGTCAAGTCCATCGGCAACCTTGTTCACAACTCTGTGCCCGTGAGCAAGAACGAGGTGCGATTTCCCTAGACATGCTCTTTTGCTTGACATTCCTCTAACTTGTCAATGTCAGGATGACAACGCAGTTCAGCGAACATGGGCCCCCGAGGGCGTTACCGTCGAGAAGCGACCGGTCCTGTCGCATCACGAGGTCCTTCTCCGACTCGATGGATATGATGCTGACCGAGGTGTCAAGGTCGTTGGTCACCGTGGATATTTCCTGCGCCAATGGGGCGTGTTTCTCAACCAGGCCTTGGTGAACTATGGCCTTGAGTTCCTCACTCAGCGTGGATACTGCCCTCTCCAGGCCCCTCAATTCATGCTCAAGGATTACATGGCCAAAACAGCCCAGCTGGATGACTTTGACGAGCAGCTGTACAAGGTTGTGGATGGAGACTCAAAGAATGACAAGTACCTCATTGCCACATCTGAGCAACCCATTTCCGCTTTCCACGCCGACGAGTGGCTGCAGCCCAAGGAGCTTCCTATCAAGTACGGCATGCCGCAGACAGAAACTAGATGGATGTCGATTTGCTGATCATCAATCACAGATATGCTGGTTACAGCACGTGCTACCGACGAGAAGCCGGATCCCATGGCCGAGATGCCTGGGGTATCTACCGTGTTCATCAGTTTGAAAAGGTAGACGCACCCGCTCTATCCACTTGTGGCGTAGCTAATTTATTCTAGATTGAACAATTCCTTCTTACCGACCCAGAGAAATCTTGGGAGGCATTTGACGACATGATTGCTGTGTCAGAAGAATTCTACAAGTCTCTCGGCCTGCCATACCAGGTGGTCGCCATCGTTTCTGGCGCCCTCAATGATGCCGCTTCCAAGAAACTGGATCTGGAGGCCTGGTTCCCCTTCCAGGGAGAATACAAGGAACTCGTGTCATGCTCCAACTGCACTGATTACCAGTCTCGCGCTCTTGAGATCCGCTGTGGCACAAAGACACAGACGGATATCAAGAAGAAGTACGTCCACTGCCTCAATTCTACATTGTGCGCAACGACACGAACTCTATGCTGCGTTCTTGAAAACTACCAAACAGAAGATGTAAGTCTTTGGATGAAATGACCGTTTACTGGTCGATAGTAAAAATTCTAACATGTTATAGGGTCTGCGTGTGCCAGAAGTCCTCCGAAAGTATCTGCCTGGAGCCCCAGAGTTCATCCCCTTCTCAAAAGAGCTGCCGAAAGAGACCTCGTCACAGAAGGCACTTCCTCAGCGGAAAAAATAGATAGGCAAAGTAGAATGACGGGTGTGAGTTGAGATATAAAGGGTGGGAGCTATGTAGAAGAATCAAGATATCACATTAGCCAGTCACATAGAGCCCCAAACTGCATCGCACTGAACACGGAATCTCCTTTGTTCATGTCTTCCAACAGAGACTGATTAATTTTTTTCAGAATGCACAAATCGTTCCGCATTAAAACTATTAGCAAAATACATAATGCCCCTAATACCTGGTTACTATTATGAGATGAGATCTCTTGAGTACGTGAAACACAAACAGTAAGAAAAAAGAACATTCTTTTGGAGACGATCACCAATGAAGCAAAACATATAGCGATGTCATTAATTTCAGTTACGCCAGTCCTCTCATCCTTGTCCACTTTGCATCATCCATCCCGCGCGTTTTCCTCTAGTGTGTAGAAAGCTTCCAACTTCTATATTGGGGGCAGATACTGCTCTTTAGCTCTGCTTGCACTCGGCTGCCTCTTGCTTGGGCTTTCCAGACTCGTCCTTTGTCATCATTCGTTAGCGTCGCCACAGACATTGAATGTAATAAACAGAACTTACATCCTCATCAGACTCCTCGTCATCATCGTGATCCTCGCTCATATCGTCCTCGTCATCATCTTCGTCGTCGTAGTCACCGGCTTCTATATCATCCTCTTCAAATTCTTCGTAGGCAAGAGCTTCGCCGGTGAACCAATCGACAGCACGTGGGATCAGTTTTTCCTTGATATCCTCGCCAAGCTGGTAGTCCAGCTCCAGACGCTCCTCGATGTCTGATGTAACATCGTCCTCGGGATCAGCATCGTCGGTAGGAGGCTTGGGAGGGGAGAAGAAGTTGAAAAAGGACTCCGTCGGCACCGACTTCTTAACGATACGGGTCTGCTTGGTGTCTACATCAAGTCAGTTTGCATTCGAGAATTTCGCTCAAAAGAAAGGGCAACTCACTCTTATTTCTCTGCTTCTTGGCCTCAACACGGACTGTCAGGTCCTTGCCGGGGTACCAATCGATCTTGTGGCCCTCAGCATGGTCGTAAATGAAGTCGCCACCGTAGCCACTCTCGTTCTGGTAAAAGTACGTCTTGGTGATGATCTTGTCGGAGAAGAACTCATTCTCGGCAAACTCGAAAATGAGGCGGAAGCCCGGCTTGTCAAGGTACTCCATGCGGATATCAGTAAGATGCTTCAAAGCAGCTTCGTCCCGGTCGGTAATCATTTCCGCAAGGGTAACTTGGTTCTTCATGGCAGACAGCCAGAACTCAGGAATTCCCTTGACGGCCTCAGCCAAGTCATCGGACTGTGCGGCCTCCTCAGCGGGCTCGGCGGCATCTGCTTCCTCCTCGTTGTCCTCATCTCCCCTCTTGACTTCCTCGTCCGTGGGCTCAACCTTGCCGTTGATGATTTCAGATCGCTTCTCGTACAGAGGAGTAAACTTGGCAAAGTACTTTTTCTCAAGCTGAAGAACTTCCTCTTGGAATTCAGACTCCAATTTGGCATGGTCCTTCTGAATGGCTCGCAGTCCTGAGACCCGACGACGGACAGGGGCGGGAAGAGACTCTATGTATCCAGATGACTGTCCAATGAGAGAGCCGAGTCGCCCTTGAATCATCTGCACGAGTTTGGGGTTTTGCGCCAACAGAGAGGCTGCAGCTGCTCGTTCCATATCATCTATATGACGGAGACAAGGTTAGATACGCATGTTTTGCATCCATTATCCGGATTGGACTTGCCTTCTTTGATGCTGGCCACGCCGGGCTCCTGGGCGCGGGAGGTGATAGGCGCGGTAGTAGCTGGCGTATTCTGCGGTGTACTGAAGGCGGGGTAGTTAGTATAGCGAAATGCAATCAATAGAGGATGTGAAGGCATCTCATCACTCACGGCGCAGTATACTCAGAACGCTTGTTTCGAATAGGCTCAGCCATGATGCTTGTCGTGTGAGCAAAAAAGCATGCAAATACAAACTGAGGCCGTTGGGGATTGGGAGAATGTGAAAACGGAAAGATTTGGAGAGGAGGCGTTGGCGGTGGCTAAGAGTGGTGGGGCCTCAGGTTCGAGAAAATTTGGCTAGCGGAGCTGGCCTGAGGCGCGTCAACGGGCGCGAAACCCTCAACATTTTAGAGCCTAGAACTGAGTACAGGTACTTTAGGCAGTACCAGACAGCGCTGTACTTGTACGTTAATGGACAGCAGATAAGATAAGAAGAAAAAGTTGCTGATTCCGCCACCACTGTGCTCCGGATCCGTGCTAGTAGGTACTCTACCAAGGCCATCCAAGTAAGGAGAATATTGAAACAAAAGATAGGAGTTATTCCATATAAGCTATTTGAATATTAGACAATTAATTTGTCAAGCATTTGAGTCAGTACTGGCTATAAGCTGTCTTCTTTAACTGTATTCTAAACCATATTGGTATACCTACTAGGTATCTATGTAGGTACTGACCGTACCTCTGTCAAAATTACCTGCCTCTTTCACTAAGCCAGATGCAGAGCCATCCATCGATTAGTAAACGCTATGCCTGTTTCTAGAAGACGGCATCTACTGCAGCCTGTAGCCCTGTAGTCTAATCGCCATTATCGCCTTAGCTAACCACCAAGCAGCACACGCTCTGACGCACTTAGGTTCTTATCGCGGCCCGCGTTTATTCCTTCACCTCGCGATGCTTTGAGTGAACCCTGGACATCTTCCCTCTTCACATTGATAATCCCACTCCATACACCCGGCGCCAAAGAGCGCTGCCATTCGTAGGTGATACTCGACCTTTTTGCCGCCGATAATCCGTCGATTTGGGCATGCTATACGCCTTTGCAGTATGACTGCCAGATAAAGCCACCCAGCTCGCCGTCATACTTTTTTCCTCAGGGGTTTTGCTTGAATCCCGTCATGAACCGTAGCCTTGGATAAAAAAAAACTACCATGGATCACCGTGACTTTGCGTCGGCATCTCCGGCCGACTATTCGGCCGCTGTTCCTGCTCGTCCTCGACCTCCGTATTTGCGCCGCGATGGCAGCCAAAGTAGCTCTGGCATTTTCGACGATGTCGAGATGGCCCACGATGAGGCGAGTAGAAGGCTGAAAGAGCCTGTACCGCGGCATTTAATAGCTAATGATTGATCTATATAGCCGTACTCTGGTCCTATGGCGGAGAGTCTTCCGAGCAGCGTTTCAGCCTTTTCCCATCGACGAACTCGAGCCGATTCTACAACCAGCTTTCTTTATTACGAAGACGATGGAGCCAACAATGAAGCAGGTACGAGCTTGCAGCTTCAGTTATAGCTTGTACTCTACTAAATTTAGTCCGAAGACATCACCGAGTTCGCTGTATCGGCTTTAGACGACGATGACGACGACGAGCACTCGGCGGATGATGATTTCCTGGCTTATAACCACGACTACATGCTTCATCGATGCTCGTCGAGCCAGTCGCGTACCTCCGTCCATGCCCATCTTCTTCGCAGGGATAGCAACGTCACGACTGCCAGCTCGCACCCATTTAATCGTACAAGCCAGAAGGTTTACGTCGAAAATGAAGATTTAACGATTGCTATCGCCGGATTTCGCACAAGAACAACGGGCTATATAGCCTATATAGCCTTGTGCATCTTGACTGGAGGGCTTGTCTATCTCCTTCTCAGGTGGCTTCCCAGACTGTACATTTCCCTTCTTGGGCAGGCCTGCCCCCTGAGAGACTGTAGCTGGGTTGTAATAGAGAATCAATGGGGAGAGATGGAAATCTCACAAGTGCAGGTTCAAACCTATGGCCAGCCGCTTTCTTCAGTCTTTGGGCTTCCAGAAAAGTCGCTATCTTATGGTCTTGATGATGAAAACGATCCTGTCGTCGACAATCTTCGATCTCTCAACTACCGTTATGTCCGATTTTGCTACCATTCTCTCAAGGATAAATTCGTTTTGCTGAGTGGCTGGAAAGATCCGAGCTGGACTGATATGCAAGTTGTACGAACTGGTCTGGATAGTGACGAGAAATCGACCCGCGAAATCATATTTGGAAGCAATCTGATTGACATTCGACAAAAATCTGTGGGCCAGTTGCTCGTTGACGAGGTAATTGCCAAATACTTTCAGTGCCATCTTGTGCTCGTACTTCTAAAATTACATGAAGCTTCGTTGGTTTGTCTTATGATTATTATCAGCTCACAACTTTATTAGGTGCTGCACCCCTTCTATATATTTCAAATTGCAAGCATTATTCTATGGTCGCTTGATTCTTATTACTATTATGCCATTTGCATTTTCCTCATATCATTCGGAAGCATAACAACAACACTCATTGAAACTCGAGCAGTAAGTTCTCTTTCTTTAATTCGGTATTGTTTACATATGCGTCTAACCCTTTGAAGACAATGAAACGGCTGCGTGAAATATCTCGCTTCGAGTGCGACGTCCGAGTTTTGCGGAATGGATTCTGTAAGTGATGTGGGTGTTATTAAGAGACGACCCAATACTGACACTTTTAAGGGACGTATATGTCGTCTGGGGAACTCATACCTGGAGACGTTTATGAGCTAAGCGATCCCAATTTGACCCAGCTTCCCAGTGATAGTTTATTACTTACTGGAGACTGCATTGTAAACGAGAGTATGCTCACAGGTATGTTCATGGTGGCGATTTCTTCTCCTTGTGATCTCACTAATGTGCGGCATAGGGGAATCCGTCCCGGTTTCCAAGATTCCAGCAACCGACACAACGCTGGCAACCTTAGACCTTACTGCATCTTCAGTTTCTCCTGAAATTGCCCGCCATTTTCTGTTCTGTGGAACTAAGATCATTCGGGCGAGGCGCCCCCAAGAGGATTTGGGTGGCGATGCCGTTGCACTGGCGCTCGTTGTCCGGATCGGATTTAATACTACCAAAGGCTCTCTTGTGCGGTCCATGCTATTTCCCAAGCCATCAGGGTTCAAGTTCTACCGTGACTCGTTCAGGTATATCAGCGTCATGGCTGTTGTTGCTCTGCTCGGATTTGTTGCTTCGTTTATCAACTTCATTCGACTACAGCTAGAGTGGCACTTGATTATTGTTCGTGCTCTCGATCTTATAACTATTGTCGTGCCACCGGCTCTCCCTGCAACTCTTACAATCGGCACTAATTTTGCACTCGCCCGCTTGAAAAAATCCAAGATATTCTGCATTAGCCCGCAGAGGGTAAATGTCGGCGGGAAACTTGATATCATGTGCTTCGACAAGACGGGTACACTTACAGAAGATGGCCTGGATGTCCTTGGAGTTCGAGTCGTTTCGACTGACACTCATACATTCAGCGATGTTATTTCGGAATCCCGGTTATTTGAGCAAAGGGAGGCGAGCGCTTCTCTTCAGAGCATATTACAAGCTGCTCTCTACACTATGGCAACCTGTCACTCACTTCGCTCCGTTGATGGCGAGCTTGTCGGCGACCCGCTCGATCTCAAAATGTTCGAGTTTACGGAGTGGTCTTTCGAAGAGGGAAAGCACAATGTTGTGGAGGGCGAGGAAGAAGAATACGGGAGTCTTTCGCCTTCAATTGCCTCCCCCCCTGATGTAAGTTTTGGGAACAGTCTTTTAACACTACCAGCTAACAAAACATGCAGAAATCTATTCAACTTGGTGTTCTCAAATCATTCGAATTCGTGTCGCAACTTCGAAGATCCAGTGTTATTGTCAGACACTTTGGGAGAAAAGATGGCGATATATTTGTCAAAGGTGCACCAGAAGTAATGCGTGAAATATGTCGCCCAAGCAGCAGTGAGTAGCCGTTTTCTATTGCACGCACCAAAAGCAACGACTAATGAATGACTTTTATTAGTTCCCAAGGACTATGATGAACTTCTTTCGTATTACACTCATAAAGGCTACCGCGTTATCGGCTGCGCCACGCGACATCTCAACCGACTGAGCTGGGTCAGAGCACAAAAAATGACTCGCACTGAAGTTGAACGAGATCTGGATTTCCTTGGCTTTATCATCTTTGAGAACAAGCTGAAGCCCAGCACTGCGAGTGTTTTGGAGGAACTCAAAGACTCTAATATTGCTACTGTAATGGTAACAGGCGACAACATCCTAACGGCTATCAGTGTTGCTCGAGAATGTGGTCTCCTCGATCGTCATGCGCATTGTTTTGTGCCTCGATTCCTCCATGGTTAGCGCTTCCGAGTATTTGGCTCCCATTTACTTGTCTTTTTTTACTGATTCAATCCAGGTGACTCTCAGGATCCTACAGCAGAGCTGCAGTGGGAGAGCATTGACAATAGTATTTACTGTCTTGACAAGGCAACTCTAGTGGTAAGCCTGGGCACACTTCATTGGATCGTATGTTTGTCTGTGTACTTAATGTAATCCACCAATAGCCGCTCCCAGCGCCACCAGAAGGCGACATTTCTCTGCCTTACGACATCTCCAACATGCAAAACTATTCCTTGGCCGTAAGCGGCGAGGTATTCCGATGGATAGTTGATTATGCCCCAGCCGACATGCTGTCCAAGGTAAGTTCGTTGGCACCGTTCGAAAGACGAAGCTGACGACCTTCAAGATGCTCGTGAAGGGCAAGGTTTTTGCGAGAATGTCTCCAGATGAAAAGCATGAGTTGGTGGAAAAGCTGCAGAGCATAGACTACTCTTGTGGCTTTTGTGGCGATGGCGCGAATGACTGCGGTGCCTTGAAAGCTGCCGATGTGGGCATCTCACTGTCAGAGGCCGAGGCTTCGGTAGCTGCGCCATTTACATCACAGGTCTTTGACATTCGGTGTGTCCTAGAGGTTATCAGGTTTGTATAGATTATGGCTTATTTGCTGTTCCTTATGCTAATGTTTTTTTTTATAGGGAGGGCCGCGCAGCTCTAGTAACAAGCTTCAGCTGTTTTAAATACATGAGCCTGTACTCAGCAATACAGTTCACCTCAGTCAGCTTCCTCTACTCCAAGGGTTCGAATCTGGGAGACTTCCAATTTCTGTTCATTGACCTTCTCCTTATCCTCCCAATCGCAGTCTTTATGGGCTGGGCAGGACCTGCGGAGAAGCTTTGCAGGAAGCGGCCAACAGCAGATCTCGTTTCACGCAAAGTCCTGGTGCCTCTACTTGGCTTGATGGGCGTCAGCATAGTGATTCAAGCTATAGCATACGTTACAGTCAGGGAGCAGCCTTGGTACCTACCGCCAGAACTCAGCCACGACGAATCCAGTATAAAGAGTTCCGATAATACGGCACTGTTCTTGGTTTCATGCTTTGAATATATATTCTCAGGAGTTATCCTGAACGCAGGGCCTCCTTTTAGACACTCTCTGTGGGAAAACTGTGAGTTATATCGGTTTTTTTGTTTTCTTTTGCTGTTTTTCTAGATTGTTATTATACATCAAGTCTAACTTTCCTAGGGCCATTCATCACGACCATCATATTGAGTTTAGCAGTGACTGGATACATGATTGCGAGTCCAGCGTTCTGGCTGTATGATTTGATGCAATTGAGCCAAATGAGCTGGGACTACAAGTCGTTCCTAGTCCTGTTAGGGCTTGGATACTTTGCTCTGGCTTGGATCTACGACAAGTTCATATCGCTGCGACTTGCGAGATTCTTGGGCGCAGCGAATGAATGGTGTACGGGACGAGCAAAGGCAAGGAAGCAGTATAAGCTGATAAAAGAAGCTATGAAGGTTGAGCCGATTTAGTTGTTGCATTGCGCATTACCCGCGCACCTTGATGTATTTAAATGGAAAGCTATACATAGAATAGACAGGCTGCTCATCAGGCGGCGAGGCTTCACCTCTGGGGATGATGGTCATTCCATCTCTTCGACGGGGTGGAGGGTGTTGTCAAGATGGCATCTTGAAGACCAGCATTGCCAACATGGACATGGACATGAGTGCGGAAGCGAGTCCTTTATGGCTAGCTCCTGTCTGGTCATATCTTGGCCGTAGAGCAGCAGCAGCAGCCTTGGAATTAGATAGGGCATGAAAAAAGACCAGGAATAATATTTTCCTTGATTCACATAGCATACTTTTCCAGCTCAGTCGGCATGGTCCGTCTTCCACTGCTTAATCCAGGCTTCAATGCGGTCCATGTTGGACTCCATCTCTTCGGAGCTGTTGCTGGTGAGCTCAACGACAATTTCCTCGTCAAAGGACTCGCGCGCTTCCTGTAGTAGCACCTCCATGATTTCAGAATCAAGGTTTTCTTGAAGCTTGATCTCTGGGTAATTTCTTTGATATATTTTTTGTCAGCTGATTCGTTCTTCTTTCTCCTTTTTTTCCCCTATGTATATAATATTCTTCTTTCGTAAAAAACCGATGAGTTTGGGGAGGGGTGAAAAAAAACATGAGATGAAAAAGACGAGATTTTTTTTAACTTACCTAGCCTTGAGACGATCATATAATGTCGTGGAATCAACTCGCAGCACCACAACAAGATCAATCCAGCTGCGAGGAAACAAGTCACAGGCGTGCCAGTCGATTATACATCCTCCTTCCTTAACGTCATCCTCAATGACATCTAGCAGCTACGTTTTCAAATTTTTCAGAGAGGTTAGCGGAAGAAGAGAAGAACAACAGCAGGAATTTTTGAAGCGACGTGCTCTCTTCTTACCTTATCTTCGTCGACAATCCAGCTTTGATACTCATCGTCCCAGCCTTCATGACATTCTTTGTCCTTGACAATCTGATTTACAGAAACGTGTCGCAGACCCGTCCTCTCGGCAAGGATCTCGCTGTGCGTCGTCTTGCCCACCCCGGGTGTACCGGTAATAATGATGTTTGGAGCTGAGCGCATTTTTCACTGAATGTATAGATCTTGATAGAGGATGGATGCGGCTGGAGAAGAGATTATTCTTAGAAGCGCGAATGAATGCTAGAGCACGGCCAACTCCACCCAGAGCTCTACCCGCGCACCTTGCAAAAGCTTTTTTTTTTTTTTTTTTTTTTTTTAACGCTGGATTCACTGTGTTCGTAATTATTTTCATTTGATACTAGCGGACACCGCGTAATTGCCTAAATAGGGAGAACTAAATCCGCTCCGCTCTATACATAAAAAATGCCCAAATATAATTTGTTGTCACCACATGACAGAAACCCTTTTTTTTTTCAACAGTCGCTAGCCGCTCTCCCAATGCACAGATCAGATTCCCTGGCAGACACTCTTGTCGTATCAAGCCTTTTATCTAACATAGTGGACCATTTATCGATATGCAATCTCTAGATTCCGCTTACTGTTCAGTCTCAGATTCCTCAACTTCAGCTAGTTGCTGGTGGCCGTCAAAGCCATCAACTTCGCCCGTCTCAAGTTTTTCTTGCTGTGCAATAGCCTGCGCCGAGACTATCTCTGCCAGCCGCTTCAGGCGAGGTGTTTGTAACCCTGGTTATGAGACAAGAGTTATTAGCTCGCTTTTTCTCTACGTGGCGATACCGTAGTTAGGTAGTTGGGGGTCGCTTCTTCACTTACATGACGGTGTATATGTTTCGAGTGCTGTAATGACACGAGGCTCTGCAATCTCGTATGGGCCGCTATCCTCCATATCAACTGCCTGTAGAAGCAAGACGTCACTCTTCTCGGTAACTCGAGATGCAACAGCTTTCATGATCTCTCCATTGATAGGTTGTTCATAGTCAGCAACAAGGTACTGATTCAGGAGTTTTTGGATCTGGTTTGGTGAAAGCCTATTTTCGCGCCTGTTAGTATCAAGATGGGGTGATAAAGATTGATTTAAAACTCACATCCAGCAAATATCTTGGATGATTTCGATATCGTTTAGTGTCGCCTTCTTCAGCTGAAGTAGTTTAGTTGCTTGCTAAAATAGAGGTTCTCAGAGTTAGCCTTCTTGGTTTTTCATCAATCACTGCTATTGCCAGTTTCTCCCTTACCATCAAATGCTCGAGCTGCAGCGTGCCTTCCGGCATGTCATGGCTCTTACACCATTCCTCAATACGAGTTATGTTATAGTTGATCTGGAGTCCACGTTTCCAGGAGAGGAAGTTGCGACGCATAAGTAAGTCATTGAAAGCGGTTACACCAACAAGGTGGAGCAACTCCGTTATGGTTTGTGTAATGATGGAATCTTCCAAGTAGTAGGCCTTCATAGCCCGGAAAACGCTATTCAGGAGGCTGAGAAGGTTATCCATGCTGTACGCGGGTGCGGAATTAGACTGTAGCAGTTTGCCAAGGAATCGGTTACTCTCATTGGTAATGAATCCCGGTAAAGATTGGGATTCGATAATTGCGGGAATAATCATCTTTTGTAGCTTCTTCTTCAAAACTTTCATCCAGGTGTGGTAGATGTTGAACTCGAGACTTTCAAGGTCGTGCTTGACAATCTCCAGCAGGCGGTCGTACTCGTAGTTATCTGTCTTTTGTGTCTGATACCAGTCTTCTGCCAAAAAGACAAAGGAGAGCATCTCGTGGACGTTAGAAAGCCAAAACGCGCCAGGGTTAATGGCCTCATCGCCATCGTGCTGCATCACCTCCTGCTGGATTGATTGCATCACGTTGGCGAGGAAACGTTCTGACTCTTTGACGAATCCATTGTTCCACATTTCGGAAGTCACCAGGTTTATGAGATATGAGGGGAACAAAACCTCTTTGTCAGAGGGAGGGGGGTTTGTGTTTGGTGACGGTATCTTCAAGTTGCGGATGAGACCCATAGTAACCTCCTCATTGAGGCCGTCCTCATCCGCAAGGAGGCTTTCAAGCTCCATTTCAATATTGTCGACGCCAGGAAGGAGAGTGGATCCTGAGAGATGGTTTTGACGGCTAAGGGAGCTTGTGACAGCCATAGAGACGGGCCTGGGGTTGTAAGTTCCGCTCAAGCGATCCAGCTCGCGAGGCTCCGCGCCAGCGCTTCGGCGCTTCGGTTTCTTAGATGAGACGAGATTGATAAGTCCGCTGGTCGCTGCTGACGTAGTACTAACACCATTAGTGATATCACCATTGAGTGATCCGTTGCGCTTCGCCAACTCCAACGCATCCCGGAGCGCCTCTAGTTCCTGTCGAAGGCTCATGTTGTCTCTCTCTCGCTCCAAGTTGGTCTCTTTGGTCGTCTCTAGCTCAGAACTGGTTAGGCGAAGTGATTCCCTGAGCTCGCGTTCTTCTTCCTGCATACGCTTGATGTTCATGGTCGACTCGTCGAATGCTTGCTGAAGCTTCTTCATTTCGTCTTCCATGGCTTGAAGGCGTGCGACCGCAATACCGGCTTGGTTGGCCTCCGTTTGCAACTCCTTGGTTCGCGCCTCGAGCGCATTGTGGCGATTCTTCCATGATTTAAGCTGGCCCTCGTAGCTTTCCACCTGTGACACTAAATTCTTGTTCTTCTCCTTCATCGATCCTAGGTTCTGGGTCAATTCGACAACCTTATTCTCCAGCTTATACGAAATCTGCTTCAAGTCGCGAGCTTCTTCTCGCATGTGCTTGTATTCTTTGCGAGCGCTCCTGCCGCGCCAGAGGCTTTGAATCAAAATCACCTTCTTGCGATACTGTCTCCAGGTGCGGACTTGTGTTCGAGATCTCCATACTCTCTGGATAATGAGTGCAGCATTTCCTACCCTGGTCTCCATGATATTCTTCCTGCGAAGGTAACCTTTAGCGACTGACTCAAATAGGATGACATCGTTCCTAATCCGAAGGAATTCCTTGCGCTGCTTGTATCCGCGCCAAACACGCTGGATGGTTGTCGCCGCGCGAATGGTTCGTAATTCTTGAATCGTTTTCCTCGCAATGTACGCTCGGATAACCGACTGGGTTTGAACGATGGACTCTCGGGCTTCCAGATAACGACGGCGATAATACTTTGCCCTCAGATTCTTCTGAATGAGAATGGCGCACTCGTTGAGACGGCTAGTACGTAAGTTTTCCAGGAAAGCAAGCATACCGGCACGGAAGAAGATTTTGGTCAGGCCAAGCTGGTACTTGTCCATTCCCTTTTCAGTGCTGGTGCCCAGCGCTTTGGACAAGATGGCATCAGCCATTTGCCGAATTTCAGAGGTCAATTGGCTCGAATGAACAAGCATGTAATATCGCAGAGCAAACTCCTCATAAGTCCAACGAGTCGGGTATCCGGCACAGCTAATACGGACAGTCTCGAGGACACCACAAGCACGAAGCTGGCTGAGAACCATGGGTCCTTCAAACTGCCAAGCTTCTTTAGCTTCATTGGGCTTGATGCATCTGATGTAGTGCACATCCGTGTTATTGATGGTGTTCATCAGCTCTATCAAGGAGGATCGGAAGATTCCTCCCAGAGTTGGTTTTCGGTTTACGGCTACACCAATCTTCCTACCACCAGCAGGTTTGACGGCATTCGATGATGCCGATGCCAAGTCCTTTTCTCGAACGGCTGATGCCGCATCCAAGACCTGCTTCAGGAATGAGTTGCTCGTAGCGCGCAAGACTGCCATGTGCTCATCAGGCACGGTATCTCGGTTCTTCTCGATGAATCCCTCAGACTCGTATGTGACATCAATGGCATAGTGGCATACGGTAAATGCCGACTTGCCGAATCTTGGCTTCTTGAAGAAGGGCTGCTTTTTCTCAGTTGCAAAGTTGTGGTGTAGCTTGGTGACAAATTGGTCGTCTGATCCCATTGGAAGGCGCGATTCTTCATCTAAAAGAGAGAGAATGCCCATCTTGCCTTCAATCAAGTCGATACAAGGCTGGTTGTCTGAGAAGTCGATGAAAGTCCAGTCGATCTGCTCTCGTAGATATTCTTCCTGCTCGAGCTTGAATACGTGCTGGTTAAACTCTTGCTGAAGCTTCTCATTGGCATAGTTGATACAAAACTGCTCAAAGGAGTTCTTTGCAAAATGCTCAAAGCCGTAAATATCCAAGACGCCAATAAATGAAACGACGCGGCTCAGGATCTCTTCTGTCGCAAGACTCAGATTGATGACCTCAACGAGCCAATCGAACAAGCTCGAGTATATAAACTTGGCAACTGAGTCACGCACAACGATGGCTTGCGCCTGACTAAGATTGGATGTAATCTTTTCGCCTCGAGTTACGAGCTGCTTCTTAACAATCCACTTGGAAAACTCAGTGGCGTCAACTCCCAGTATGCCAGAGGCGAGCTCCAGCGATGGCTCGTTTGGAGCAAGGACACTGTCATTTCGCGAAGCAGTGATCTTAACGTTGCCCAGGTGAAGCAAACCAGCCAGCAACTTGAAAATATCAGACTGCTGCGCTTCGGACACGCCGATGGTGCTCAAAGACTTCTTAGTAGCATCAAACTCGGCTTTGTCATCCACACCATCAATGGTTGGACAGTTGCCCTGGTTCAAATACTCAAACTGTTCGATGGGGAGGATATTCAGCGACTCCCGCTCTTCATCTGAGGCGCCTGCAACCAACTGGTAGAAGATGTGGTAGTTTCGCTCTTTGAGAGGCTGGAACACGAGACGTGATCGCTCCAGCAGATATGTGCGGATTTTGGCGCCAATGATGTTTGTCTTGTCATCAAACATGATTTCGAGGTATTTGCCGAATCGCGATGAGTTGTCATTGCGGGTAGTCTTGGCATTGCCGAATGCCTCCATAATGGGATTGGTTGCCAAAATCTGCTCCTCCGTCTCACTCATAGTCTCGGCTCCTCGCTTGGTGCGGGCACCAGGGTTATCTGGAGCCTCTCTCGTGGCGAAGTAACGCATAATGTACTTGGCGCTCACGGTCTTTCCAGCACCGGACTCGCCAGAGACAACAATGGTCTGGTTTTTGCCATCACGGATCATGTCCCTATAATAGAGCCGGTCAGCATCGAGCGCAGCTTAAAAGTTGTAGCGGCACCATACATGAAGGCCTCTTCAGCAATCGCAAACAAATGAGGGGCCTGCGTCGCGCGCTGCTTTCCAGCATAGACTTGCACCATGCCAGGGACATAGAGAGAGTCAACCCGAGCAAACGGGTTGGTTGCTATCAAGACGATACCACTGTAGGTATAGATCTCCTTTTGTAGGTAGCGCAATCGAATAGCCTGCAGCACTGCTCGCCCAGTCTTGTAAGCACAGTTCCGTAGCAAGATTTCCAGATGCGGGGAGCTACATACCGGCCGGCTCGTTAAGATGCGACAAGTTGGTAAGGTCATCACTCGCTTCCAGAATGGTCGGGTTCATCAGCGGCGGTAGTGAAGGATCGGAGCCGCCGCTCTCCAAAGCCTCCGTTGAGACATCAATAGTCCGGGTCTACAATGTTGGCATTCAGTCAGTCAGGGCCATCTATGCGGGGAACTTGGTGGGCATGGCTCTACGGCCGTGTAGACTGCGTGTATACCTCGCCATTGTCGAGCTGAAAGACTAGTTTTGTTTTGGAGCCTTCTGCCGTCTTGCTGATGAGCTCGGAGGCCACCCAGCCCTCGGCGGCGTCAGGCTGCCACGCTCTCGTACCGACATCGTAGGTCGCTGCCATGGAGGAGCTGGTCAGGCGGGAAGCTAGAGCTGCAAAGAGTAAGACACAAAGAAGCGGATAGAAACTAGACGGCCTGACGATGAACGAGAGACATTCATGGGCAAGTCAGAGCCAGGTCTGGTGTAACGATGAAGAGGTGTAGATGGGTAAAAATGAGTGCCTTCGCAGAAGTTGCGGCGGTGAGAGTCTTGTCCACTTCTCTTGAAGATTAGGGGATAACACCAGACTGGATGCTGGACTTTTCGACGGGATGCTAGTAAGGGACCAGTGCCAGGCCAGCACGCGCATCCCGCCTCAGCACAGTGCCGCCACATGAGGGTCAGGGGGTGAACTGGTGCCTCTTCCCAGATGGGCAATGCCACCCACGGTTGGCTCTAGGAGCTCGAGCGGCGGCTGGCATGGGCTAGAGCGCAGGCTAAGGCTCATCAGATGCCAGCTGGGGAGCATTAGGTGGTGAAATCTATTGGCGAGGAGCTACCTAAGGTATCTGGCCTACTGGACTAGGTAGTCTAGTGTGGGCCGGTTTATGCCTCTCATAGGGCATGGAGACCAACCTGTCCATCTGTCTGCTTATTACTGAGCCATACACTGGAGATACCTGCATATATTCATCTCCTTTGCGGCGATGCCGCCGCCTACACATACAAATACCTAGTAGTAATACCTGCTGCTCACTGCTGGGTATTCTATTAAAGAAGGGTGCAATTTGCAAGGGGGGATGCTCAGGCTTTTGATTAAGGTACTTCCAGACTCCATATATCCGCCAGGCACGCCTGGGTATCTGCCTTCCCCCTCACTGCCAGGGCCCTGCCAAAAAGCCATCCATGGATCCCATTGTTAAAAGGGGATGCTATTCTAGTGGGCTAGGTCGCACCCCCACCCGCCACCAACTTAGCCTGGGGCCAGTTTTCCTCACTGTACGGAGTAGGCATCTTCAGATCTGAGTGCAGCAGACGCCTTTGCTTACCCACGCGATTGCACCGCCTGATCCCTGGGCGGGCAGCCCCTATGGATGCCGGTGTAAATTCACTCAGACTCCCCAACGCTGCGCTAGAGGGACCGCCCTCCGAGTCTCAGGCCTCAGCTCGTCCTCGCAATGGAGAGCCGTCTAATCCTCGTCCGATCCCAGGCGTCAAATCCGACTTTATGAGAGCGTCTGCCGACAAGGAGCCGGCCCAGAGAGATGAAGCAGAGGCGTCGGCCACTCATGTGCGGGCCTTAGCAGCCGTCGCCCAGCAGCAGAAGACTCGGCGCCGCAGGGGATCTCTCCGAAAGGTGGCCCTTCTAGGAAGAGGTGCACAACGCGACAGGAGAGACAACTGGCCGCTGGCTATTGAGACAGATTCAATACCTGACGCCTCTGTAGCCAAGTCTGCTCGCTTCGAACCCGGGTCTGACATCACTGTGCACAATGCTCTTGGCCTCAACATCCCTCCCATGTCATCACCGACAAACGAGTATGCCTCGACACGCTTCAATTCTGGCTTGGACCCGGGCGAAAGACCGGCGGACGTCTACAGCCTAACAACAGATGAGGAGGACATAATCCAGCTACGACCTCATGCCTCTCCATCACTACGATCCAGTCTTCCTCTATCATCAGGATCTGAGTCCTACTACGCCGGACGAGATATAGCTGAACGCCAGAGGTCGCTGCAAAAGGCCAAATCTCCACTCTCCTATTCCGCCTCGTCGCTACCCCAGCCAGGTGCAAGCTGGGACTACGCCGAGACTGAGTGGTGGGGCTGGGTGGTCCTGACAGTGACTTGGTTTGTTTTTGTCATGGGAATGGGCTCTTGTTTCGACGTTTGGAGCTGGGCATGGGACGTAGGCAAGACGCCATATGCGCCACCGGAGCTTGAAGACGACCCTACTCTGCCAATTGTGGGATACTACCCTGCGCTTATTATCTTGACGTGCGTTATGGCTTGGGTGTGGGTTGTAGTCGCTTGGGTAGGCATGAAATACTTTCGACATGCAAAAATTAGTGGTGATTGACCCTGATATGTGTATTCGTTGATACACTTGTTCTACTATTCTTTGTTCGGAACGCTCGTGGTGTGTTTGATAACCACGACGCATAATACCAATAAACATGTTTATCATTCATTTGGTATAAGTCGATTGACACAACATTTCATGGTACCTAGTAGAGAAAGCCCAATGACTTGATAAATCTAAATGAGTAAGCTTTGGAGAGAGAGCGGGGTACAGAGAGGAGGGCAGATGTGATGTGAAGCAAAAAGGAATGCTAGATTGATTTCCTTTCGGTCGTGTGTCTTCACATGATACTGCCTGTTCCTACCACATCAAGCACTGTCCGGAAGAAATACGGAGTTTTTCCGGGCAGTATAAGATAGACCCATTTATTTGTCTACCGCTTTCTAGGATAGCTTGCTTGATACGCTCAACTGCTCACCGCCCTACAGGCGGTGGGGACAAAAAATTACTTGGGACGGCAGAATACTGAGATTTTTCCAGGTTCGTCCGCGGCAGGTAGTAACTTTTCAAGGGCTAAGTGAAAAAAAAACTTGTTGCACCATATAACCCAACAAGAAGAGACCAAAATGGTGACAAAAAGCAAATTGAAGATGGCCTTGGCCGCCGAAAAGGGAATTGACTTTTCAAAGTTGAAGCAGCAGAAAAAGAGCAAGGAAGCAGCCAAACGAAAGGCTAGCAAAGAGCAAAATGGCGAGGATGAGAGTGATATGGATCAAGCAGGCGAAGAAGTCGACGAAGAGAAGGTTGGTGTTAGGATTCGCCCAAACCCTCGTTCTTTCTCATGCTGACAATCTCACAGATGAACCTTGACGCGATTTACGAAAGCGATACTTCGGAATCTTCAATTGAACTCGAAAAGAAACTACCCAGAAAACCAAAGACTACTGCTCAAGCCCCTGCGGCAGATGTGGCAGCAGATGAAGAGGAGGAGGAGGATGAGGATGATGATGAAGAAGAAATTCCTGTTTCCGACCTTGAAGATCTCGAGGAAGAGGAAAAAGAGGACATTGTCCCCCATACCCGACTGACCATCAACAACACATCTGCTCTTCTGGCGGCACTCGAGAGGATAGCGATTCCAACAGACAAGAGTGCTCCATTCGCATCCCATCAGTCTATCGTATCCGCTACAGAAACTTCTGAATCCATACCCGACGTATCAGATGATCTGCAGCGGGAACTTGCCTTTTATTCTCAATGCCTGGAGGCCGTACGACTGGGCCGATCTCGACTAATCAGCGAAGGAGTGCCGTTTTCTCGCCCCAAAGACTATTTTGCTGAAATGGTCAAAGAAGATGCCCACATGGAAAAGATCAAGGCAAAGCTGGTAGAGGAGGCGTCTAATAAAAAAGCTGCCGCTGAAGCACGCAAGCTTCGGGACTTGAAAAAGTTTGGCAAACAGGTGCAAGTTTCCAAACTCCAAGAACGACAGAAAGCCAAGCGTGAGACCTTGGACAAGATTAAGACGCTCAAGCGAAGTAAGTTGCGGCCTGTTTAGTGTTTCCCACACCTACACTCACACACTCTTTCTCTCTCTCTCTGTCTCTCTCACTCTCACTCTCTCTCACATATATATAAATATGATTGTTGTTGTTATGACTATTATTATCAGTTGGCTAATCAGCTTTATATCTAGAACGCCAAGAGCATAATTCTGATGTCGGTACAAAAGAGGCCGACATCTTTGATGTCAGCGTGGACAACGAAATTGCCAAGCATTCACAGCGCTCTGGATCTACTCGACAGCAGTCAGGAGCTCATGCTCCGAACGCAAAGCGTCAGAAGAAGAACGAGAAGTATGGTTTCGGAGGGAAGAAGCGGCATGCAAAGTCAGGAGATGCTGCCAGCTCTGGTGATCTCTCTAGGTTTAATGTGAAGAGAATGAAATCCAAGGCATCAAGGCCGGGTAAGAGCAGGAGAAAGGCCGCCGCTCTCAAATAACTGGCACGGAGCTGTTAGCTGTATAATCTTTGTCTAACAGGCATGGTGCTCGGTTCCCCAAGTAGCGATTGGCCGTAGCCACAATTCCTTTCATTTTAGCACACCTTGTTGGGTACGATACTGGAGTTGATTCGCACTAAGTTGTGTGTTCATCAATTGAGAAGCGAATAGGTCTCAACTTCATCATAAAGTCTCTGAGGCCGCACAGGTACATTTATTAATTTTTATCGGTATATCCTGTACAGAATAGAGGCACACAATAAACTTGGTCAATATAATTCAGTGCCATCTTTCACCGTTAAGGCGCGGTAAAAGATAACGAGACCTGTAGCCAGTCTTTTGTGAAGATGATTTCAACCCCCAACTCCCAATCCCCAGCCGCCGAGCTACGTGAGCGTTACCCTGTATGAAATACCACGTGTTTAACCATCAGATATTCCAGAACGGAGGACGGTCATGAGAAGTAAGGCAATCGTAGCGGACTAACTACAGCCCGGTTCATCAGGGCACTTGCAAGCAAAGGGCTTAATTTCTATACTGGAGCCAGCACGAAAGACGTTTCTTACTGTTGTGGCACCAAGTCATGCAAGTATATGGTTTTCGTTGTAACTGTATTGTAAAAATGATGCAAAATAAACCTGATAATGTAGTGACAAATAACCCAATCATAAACCCCGCCTTCACTTAGCGATGCCTTTGCATCAATAGGTATCTAGGTATGCAGGCATATATATCATATATTGCAGTTTGTCTGTCTGATGCCTGAGGATGATGCCGGCGCAACACAATATATTCGCTATGAAACGCCTAGACTTTGAAATAAGATAATCTCAGAAAGAGCAAATTACCAAATTGAAACTAGAGGCAATGCCAGGAGCACAACTCAGTGCCCCGTGATTTAAAAACCCAATACGCCAAGACAACCAGTGGTATCGAGAAGAAATGCTATGCGATAACGAGACGCTTAATAATGTAATGAAGCCGCAATTTTCCAAAGAAGATTTCAAACCAAGAGCCGTGTGTTAATGAACTGATTTTTTTTATGCAATAAAAAAAAAAAAGGAGAAGGGGCAGTCCATCGCAGCGCGCTATAAGCCATCATTGCGCTGCAGCTACGCACCAATGGCGATGAAAAGCCCAAGCGCTTTTCTGACAGTCTTTGCTGCAGTATTTTGTTCGACGACATCGACGACATTTGGCAAATTGCCGGGTGAATTCCTCCCATTTGCCACATTGATAGTATGCGCATTGTCGAATTCCTCCGCGCGTGTCATCTTTTCGACACAGATTCCGCATCACCACTCCAGCCCAATACTGCATATCCGTGCTATGGTGCCGGACAGTAAACTTTTCGACTAACGGAAATAAATTGAAGTCATCTTCAAGCAAATATTCGTCGTCACTCTCGCTTTCGTCTTGAGTAGAAGAGGCTCTTTCTTCACCTTCTTCTTCGGTATCTGGATCAAAGAGATCGTCCCCAATTGCGAGAGTCGGCACAAGGTGGCTCTTCTGAAAGTATGAACGCAGGCAACAATACTTTGAGACATACGCCAATAGCTGCAGCGACATAAGCACATCCTCTTCGCGGGGCATTGCAGATAACAGCTGGGGATTGGGTATGAGATGTCGGTCGAGTAGATACCGAGGGATCGTAGAGCTTGGTGGAGGATGTGGTGTAACGCCCAGAGTCGGGCGATTAGGAGAAAGGCCCACAGGCGCAACTGGATTGTGCGTCATATTGTCTCTGATACTCCCATCGAGGTTCGTACGGTGAGCGATATTAAAAGTCTCAGCGTCTTGGTGGGCTTCAGACGCCGTAGGATTATTAAGGTCCAGCGAGTCTCCTGTTAAGATGGCTTCGCTATCATCCATCGTGATATCTTGAATCCCAACTGCAGACTGTATCTCTGCGGCTCCCGTCATTTCAGTATCCGGAGCTTCATCAGACGGCATGCTGTCCCCATTAAAGTCATCGGACTCAGCTGTTGAATTCTGATGTCTGATTGATGGCCGTCTTCGTGACCTACTGACCGTGACGTCTAGATTCGTTGCAGATCGTACTGTCGGCGGGCGCAGTTGAAGCAGAGGAACAGGAGTGGTTAGAGACGTAGGCTGAGTTACCAAATCAACAGCACCAAGAGCACTAATAGAGGTCAGGCGATCAACATCGCGCAGAACTCGAGTAAAGCTGTCGTTACTATCCCCAACAGGGGCGGTAACGAGAGTATGGAGCTCCTGACGTGCTGTAGTAGCATACGACAAGTCGGTTCCTTGTGCATTAAGGAGTTGGTGGTTTTGTGTCAAGGTTGGACGATCTGTGTTGGCGTAAATGAGGGAATACGTCGCAGAAGCCGTATCAATATTTTGCCCGCTTGAAGTAATAGAGGGGCCAGCAAGAGCCTCAGGAGCATCGGTAGCAGACGACGATTCTTGTCTCAAGGCGTATCTCAAGTCTCCATCTCGAGATGAACGGGGAATGTTGGACGATAAAGAAACTTTTGAATGCCGGTGATCGTGGTTCTTGTGCCGGCGGTGGTGATCATGTGCCTGCTTTTGTTTTATTTCATCAGATTTTTCGCGACAGCTGTCTATGACTTTGATGTAATTATCAAGGATCGTGGCTATGACAGGGACCATGTCTGCCTCCACTACCCTAGTCCGCACGTTCTCTGTTCCTCGGACGCCGATATTGACAACACACTGAAAGGCGAGATTCCACTTCCATATACTCATCATATCTCCATTTCGCCCTTCTTTGAGGATACAGACCAAACGTTCTATACCTCCATCGACGGTCAGAATATCGCGAATACGTGCGGAGGATGTTGTGAGATACGCAAGGTGATTAAGGGAGTTGATAAGCGGTAATGTGGAGGTACAATCGAGTGCTCGGCGATCGTATAGAGCTGTGGTTATTCCCACAGACGCCTTGTTGACGTTGGGGATGCTGAAATTGACCTCTCTCATAATGGATGAGCGAATTCAGTCAAAACTAGCCGAGGCCAGCCACAGCAACAATATTGCGACAGGTCACACCAAGCCTGATGGTTTCAACAGGTAGCTATAACCCAGATTGGCGCGAAGAGATGAAATTTGTCAAGCCACCCGTGATTAAATGCGATCCGAGAGATATAGATATTCGAAGGCTACAGTCTGATTTGGCACGAGCCAGTTGGTTTCGTAAGGCTCAGATCGCGTGATCGTTATTTGCAATAATACCGTTCCGAGAGTCGGATGAAACAAGGGCCAAATCCTGATGCTACCGCTTCGAAAAATGCAATATGACAACGATGAAATATCGAGAGAACAGTTCGACGGAAAGTTATCGAAGAAGCGTGGCGTTGACCCTTAGCTTGGCGGCTGTTTCAGGCAGGGATTTGGGCGAGGGGGCGAGTTCCATAAGCGCTCTTTGGATGAGAGGCAATCAGGGAGGCAAAACAATGGAGGAATGAGAAAAGTCGAGGCAAGGCTCTATACAGCGCTTGAGAGAAACCGAGATAGGTCAGGCCAGGAATGTACCGGCGTCGATGATCATAGAACGTCAAGCCCAGAAAAGAGGCGCGAATAGCAATGGACGTTAGCGCCGATGGGAGATAATTAAGGGCTGAGGATATTAGTGAGCATGGGGTCACAAGAGAGAGAAAGCCTGGGTACATGCTCTCTATAGCTTGCATTTACTAATACAACATAATATACTAATACAACATAATATAATAAAATATACATTAATAAGTATTTTAAAAGTAATTGTTAAAGTACTAAGATTATATTAATAAATAAAAAATAAAACTATTATAATATATTAATATTATTATAAAATTATTAAAGTATAAATTTTAATTTTATATATATTTATATATTATAACTAAAAAAATAAATAATATATAACTATATTTAAAAAAATTTTTTATAAACCTTATGTAAGCTTAGCTTATAAATCCGATTGGATACTAAAATTAATACTGTTTTTTTATAAAGATTCTAGAGTTGTCTACGATATACTGCTTAAAACCTGCTAGGATAAAATTTTCAACTTCAACAAAAATCACTTCACCATGCCTCATAAGCACAAGCTAAAAAAGGGCAATGACCTTGAAGCGCAGTATGTTGTTAAAGGAGTATACACGAATGAATGCCTTTATCTAATTTATATCTAGGTTTAATCTCCCACCAACGGAGAGCGCTCGGCCTCTCCCTGTAGTCAAGCGAAATGGAACGACGTCGGGAAAACCAATTGCGAAAAAGCGTCCACGTAGCTCAACAAAAGCCAGTGACACTCCGCGAGCCTTCAGGCGACTCATGGCCGTGGCCGGAGGCAAGAAAATCAGATCAGGCTTAGATAACGGGGAAACTGGGAAACAACCAATACAAGATTCTAACGTATCAAGCGAGAAGCTACAAATTCGTCCTGGCGAGAATTTAGGAGCCTTTGCCAGTCGAGTTGACGCGGCTCTACCAGTATCAGGGCTTGCAAAGAAAACCACAACCAGAGACGGAAAAGATGAATTAGGCTTAAAGGTGTATCGGACTCGCAAGGAGCGCAAAATGCATAAGCTTTACGACCAATGGAGAGAAGAAGAACGGAAATTACAGCAAAAGAAAGAAGACAAATTGGAGGAGATAGCTGAGCGTGATTTAGATGATGATGCTGCTGGTATTCTTACTTCTGCAGCATTTCAGGATGAAAATAATCAGGGTATAAAAAGGAAAGGGAAAAAGAGAAGAAAGCAAGTAGATGAGGATCCTTGGCTGGTATTAAAAAAACTAAGAGCTGAGAAAAAACCAAAGGTATATGAAGCTCCTTTAGCTCCCTTAAGAGTATAAGTAATTAATAAAAGAAGTTAATGTAAGTATTCCTATTTGTACTATAATATATTCTTATTTGAATTATAGTAACCTAAAGTAGCTTATGTATTAGAATTTTCTAAAGTATTAATTATTTTATAAAAGTTTTTAATTAATAATATAAAAAAAATTTAAATTTTTTTTTTAAATTTATTATATAAATTATATATAAATAATTTTTTTTTTAATTATATAACTTTAAAATAATTATAATATTAAAAATTTTAAATTTTAAATTTTAAATAAAATTTAATTAAGTTTTTTATAATAATTTAGTTTTTAAATTTTATAAAATAAATATATATATATATATATTAATAAATAAAATAAAATACTTATTATTAAAAAAATAAAAAAAATATAATTTATTATAATTTATTTAATATATTTACTTTAATAAATTATAAATTTAAATTTTATATATTTTATAATTTTAAAACTTTTTTATTAAATTTATAAATTATTTAATAAAAGTAATATTATTTATTAAAATTTATTTCTAATATAATTATATAAGTTTAAAAAACTTATAATAGCTAGTATAATAATAAACTATACCTAGCCCTTAGTTTAATAACTAAGTAAATAAAAATATTTAAAAGAAAAAAAAAAATATTATATTTAGTTTTATTAAGTTTAATAATACTAATAACACTAGATTATTAAGATTACTTATAAGGTTTAAGATAAGGTTTTTATATTAAAAATAAAGTTTTATATTAATAACTTAATATAATATAATAAAAAGGCTACTTATATAAAAGCTAATAAATATAAAAGGCTTTTATAGTTTCTTAGAAAATAAAAGAAATCTTTTAATTATTAAGTATTATTATAATATATAAGACTTTAATATTAATACTATAAGAAAAGCTACTATTTTTTTTCCTAAAAGATTAGTTTTATAAAAAAAGTAATATATTTTACTTAAGATATTAAAATTAGTATTACTTATAATATAATAAAATAATCTTATAGTAGTAAAATAATCTTATAGCTAACTATAATAAATAATAAATAATAAAGGGAAATAATAAAGAAATAATAATA